GAGCGTGTAAGCGGCATGCGATGTTTTAGGCAGGACGGCAGTGGTGATGCTGACCACCACTTTAGTCGGCATCCGCACGGGATTTACTGTTCCTGAAACGCTCGCTAGTGATATTTTTGATCGGCTCAAGGCCGCGTTTAGATCCCACCACGTGGATAGCAGCGGTTCGGTTAATAGATGAATGGCCAGCGCAGGTTGTTCTTGGACTAGTAACCCATGAACCTGGGGCGAGACGTACTGTCTATATTTGTCATTTTGTTTGGTGCCGGTGCTTTGCATAGGTAGGAGCTGGGTGAAACATCAATCTCGATACTCCGCCATCCTTGGAGCATGATTGCTGTCCGAGCCAGGCCCCAAGATGTTTTCAGATGAGCAGCGGGGAATCCTCGTGTGCTCCGTTTAGTTGTACACATGTATAACGGTTTGGTGAATGAATCATCACTCACGCCCGGTAGAGTAATTGTGTACCGACAGGTACAAAAATAGAGCAAGGTGATATGCGAGCAATAGTCTTGCACAAGCTCTGGGGCGTATTCGTTTTGTCCAGTTTGTTGAATAATGCTGCGAGGCCGTTTTCGACGCTTCACTCTGGATACACCTGGATCCATCATTTCGAATTTACACTGTGTAGCCAAGTGCAAGGTGATGGAGTCCAGGCAATGAACCCTGCTCGACTCCATGATCTACTAATGCAATATTAGAACAATTATAGGCATGGATCTTGACCCTCCATCCACTAGTTTTACGTACCGAGGACTGTCCCAACCCCCTCTTGAGCTTGGATCAATAGGAGCGGCTCCAAGCGGGATCGTCCTAGCTGTGCTACTGCAACGCTGCGACTGGCACAAACCGGCGTCGGATGGGTGGTAAGACGCGCATGCGGGTTGGTGTATGTACATGTATGTGCAGAGATGGGGGCTTCGGTGATCCAGCCGCCGGGAACAGAGAGCGGCAGGCTTGCTTTACTGCACAAGCATCTGGCCTTGGTTAGCGGGTCCGGGTCTCTGTCCAGGCCGCTGACGCTGCAGCACCCGCAAGCAAAGCAAGGTTGGTTTGATAAACTGTGTGGTTGATCAAGAATCTGGGCGCATATTCTAGCGCCAGCTTGGCAAGGCCTTTGACGTAGGTACTGTCCCGTAAATCCCTATCACCCAACCGGGGGAGCAGGGAAGGATCTCCATCCTTCTCCTCCATAGCTGGGCGGAGTTCCTGGCGATGCTACCGCCCAAGCGTCGTCTGATCTATTTGCATTAGCATGTTTCCTGGACGTCGATGCGAGTGACGCCTGCGGCTGCTTGCCTAGGTAGGTATCAAATGCTTCCTGGCTCTGCGAGTGTATTCGTGCCGGGGAGTAAATGAGATGCATGAAGACGCACGTTATCCACTGCCCACTTCACAAGAGATAGGTAGCAATCTGTGGGCTGGGCCGGAGAAGCCATTTCCCGCGCGGCATGCCTGATGTAGGTACTGGTACTTGAATGCAACCCTCTATAGAGGTACCTTGTGTGGGCAGTTGTCAATAACGTGGCTACCATGGACGGCAGTATCTCACACGTGGTAGGTACCTCTTCAGGCGACCACGTGGGAATCCTCCTGTTGCTGCAATAGCGCGCCATCTCTGGCTCTGGAGCAAGCTGTTTGCTCGTAATTTTCCATTTCCGCTCTCAATGTTTTAGCCCCATGAAACAAACAAGCAAAGGATCAAACAAACAGGCAAACGGAAGAAATAAAAGATGCCGTGGTGTAGCTGGAGCTTGGGACGATCGATTTATCAAGAGTGCCTACATCAGCCGGCCGCCAGCCGAACTTGTGCGACCAACTTCACTTTGTCCAGGCGGGAGTCATTAAGATAATGTACACATCAATCTAACGTACGCATATAGGTGCTACGAAGTACTAATCATATCTCTAGGAGCACGTACGAGCCGTGCTGTGCGATGGATGCGTCTGCAGGAGCAGAGCGAGAATATACGAGAATATACAACATACAACGGCCGGCCACCTTGTGCAGCAGCCGCGGTGGAGTGTCTGGTTCTTTGGCCCCCTCAGTATCTGCACGTCGCCGTCCCCACCTCTGTCTCCTCACCCATTGTTGCTGGAGCACCAAGGTATGAAGTACCTGCAGTACTCGCATCAAAAAGATATAGCTTCGGTATGTGGGAGTATCCACTGGGGTCGAATTATACCTCGCAATTGGCTCATAAACAGGCCGGGTATGATCCAGTGTGTGATATAGGCTCCTAGTGGAATACACAAACGCAAAGCTAATGGCAAAAGTATGATTCGATATGGAGTATCTACTCTGATGGATACAAGCGAGGCGGCATTGAAGGGCATTTGATATTGCAAGGATGCCATCACTCACCTACATGCGCCCATTAATCCGTGCACCTTGGCCGCCGCCTGATGGGCCCTAGTTTGCTCCTCATGGGATCCAACTACCTAGATAAGTATGCTCCAGAACCGTATCTACACGAATCGATGCAGCCTCACGTAATACCCACCAAAGCAGCAATCAATATCTGCTGATGCTATAGACCAGGTATAAGTGATGCAAACACTTATTGAGCTGAGCCCAGAACCACGTCGTTGCGTATAAGCCGCATGCCGAGTGCCCGCTAATCAAACTACATGTAGGTGCGCTGGCTGCCAGAATTCAAATCCTCCTTGGTAGGGAAACAATATGAGCTGCATATCACACACTCTTCCACGCGGGCATCCTAGTCTGGCTGGTCTGGGTGGAGAACCATCTTGGTGAGCCCTGACTAAAGTTTAGTGGCAGATCCGACGCACGTCCATCCGACAACCCCATCCATTCATTCCATGGCCATTGTTTCACCCGCCTGCGGCCGTGGGTGATGAGTTATGGGTTATGGGGGGTTATGGGGTTTGTCAAAATGAACATCGGGCCAAGGCTCTCCGCAAAATGGCGACGCACAGGCAGGATCCATCTCGCTGGCAGGCTCCCTCGTGCCAGGTGCATGTGCTGTATGTATAAACGCACAGCTATGGCAGGGTTCAGAGGCTACGCCCGCGGCCATGGCTTTTCAAGAGAGCGGTACAACCCAAGGTAAGCTCATTTGTGATAATTTCTTGCAGTAACACTATAACTCTTCCCTATAGTACTACAGGTAAGCACAGCCTACCATTCACTCGATAACACATGCTTCCAAGGAGTCTCCACTTCTACTACTACTTCTGGGTTCCTTTTTTCCCTCTTAATATACCTGTGCCTTGTTTTACTCTCTCTCCCTCTCTTTTGTGCTATTATCCACTCTACATTGTCTGGCGATCCTCCCCTCCTGCCTAAGGATCAACACGCCTTGGAGTGTGGGCGTCTGAAAGCTTGCAGGTATGAAGTATCAGGTACATGCAAAATATGATGTACTTGATCGATGATAGGTCTCAAGCATACAATCCAAGCTTCCAAAGTATAGCACAACATGATCTACTCTGTACGAGTATACTTTCACCTCGTGTATCTAAAACCACTCACTCCTCCAGCCTCCACCCCGGAACATCCGCTAGCCAATACTCTACTAGTGGTAACAAAGCCACGCCCTTGTCCTTGTCCTGGTGTCAATCAAGTTCCCGGAGAGGTCCGTATGGCTGTCTTCCATTTCTGAGGCCAGGTTCGAGATTTGGCTCGGACGCATTAGAGCTATCTGGAGAGAGGCTAGTGAGCTCCGTCTTGAGTTTTGCTCCCCTCCTTTGTTTGACCTTGCGTATTCCCCGTGCCTCATGATGAAACACTCACGAGACCCTCCAAGGCTTACCTGCAACAGAGAGCTTATCTTTATGCCTATACTAACTCAATCAAGCGAGACTTGGCTTTATTTGCCGGGTCCAAACTACTGCAATAGCAGTCATATAATAGCTAACCTGAAATGACTAGAGAGTGTGCCTTTTCATATGCCGAAATAGGACGATTGTGAAGAAGAAGAAAGAGGGAGGGGGGGTCTAGCTTTTGATCTGCCCTCCCACTACCTATTGCCCCTGCTATACACTATACACGTTTTCGTCAAAATCGTCCAATGTACTTCTGCACGGTTGCGACCAAGAATGGCTATTTTGCGTAGCTTAGCTTCCCAGAGAGATGACGGCTACCAGTTCTCCTCCCACGAGAGCTATTTCGCGCTCGCCGAACCCCTGCCTCGTTCAGTGTATCATATCGGCGATTATATCACAGTTCTATATTTGTTTACTCGTCACAAGGAAAGGAATACGCACTTACATGTCACCTATATATATGGCATCGCATCTTTTCTCGCTCGTTCGGCTTGCAACCACCACGGATCATCCCCAGGACTTGTCTATCATAAAAGCCGTGGGAAGAGCTCTAGAAGAAAAGGAAGAAACAACCCCCACTCCTTCTACTTCTTTTTTCCTTCTTTTTACTACATTCTCTCTTCACCTTTCCCCTCCCACCTTTTTGACCCAGTCCCCAAGTTTGGCACCCATTGCTTTTACCAAAGCCTAACGTGACCACCCTCAGCCTATCATCACAGCCGGATTGTGTCCAGCACTCCAGAGTGACTTATACTCAACTGGCCTATCGGATCTCTCTCCCCGCTGGCTCACATCGCCAAGTCTATTATTAAGACCAGCTATTTCACTCCCTTCTTGCCTACCTACGTTACACAACGCCTCTGCAGCTGCTTTCATTATTATTACACTGTGCTAGTTCCGGATCTTTGTCTCCCAATTCCACGGGGGCCAGTGGACTAATATCTGCACGGTTCTTCCGACTCGTTTCTGGCCGCCTAATAGGTCGCTCAAATCTGGCTGGCACAGTTTAGGATCCGCAATTGTGCTGGCGTGGAACATACTGGCATCTTGTGCCCCAGACACTCAATCGTTTCTGAGCTCCAGCTGAACAAGCTGACTCCATCCCTGGATCTTCTGAGAATAAGAGTACATTCAGCATACGTACATATATACCTCCCTGGTATCCCAGTTTACAAACCATTTTTACCTTCTTTTGTCACATCCGTTGCATTCATTTATCCCTCTGGGTATAAAATCCAATCCCATCTGCCATCTTCTGTTCCACACAGCCTCAATTGGCTGAATTCCTGCCGCTGGATATACTCAGACAAGCCACCCACTTCTCTGATACAGTCGTATGTCACAATGATCTCCCAGAGATTAATGTGCGAGCCTGACTTTCGACCATTTCGCTGCAAATGGGAGTCCTGTACCAAGGTAAGAGAGATGACTCACTGCGCGATCCCAATTATTCTTACCTAGTTGCTAATTTACTTGTGCCTTAGGCTTTCAAGCGGAGATCAGATCTGACGAGACACTACAAAATCCACACGGATGATCGACCACATCCATGCACGGCGCCTGGCTGTGAAAAGCGGTTTATCCAGCGCAGTGCTCTCGTTGTCCACACCCGGACGCATACTGGCGAGAAGCCGCACGAGTGCCAATACCTTGGCTGTATCAAAAGATTCTCCGATGTAAGTTTCATGCAATCACAAGATATTTGATGCAACCAAAAGCTCATAGCAAGATCAGTCTTCGAGCCTTTCTAGGCATCGTCATGTACATGCCAGAAAACGCCCTCGTAGGTGTGGGCATATAGAGTGTCCCAAGGGGTAAGTCTCTCCTCTCTCATCTTACTCTCAAAAGTGGAAGCATAGCTGACTCCCTATTCAGCCTCTGCCGCAGAAAATTCTTAGTCAAACAAGAAAACCAACTTCAACAGCGTAATTTTTTCCACGCTCCAAGAGGAGAAAGCATCTCTGATTCAGAGTCAAGCCGGTCGCCATCTACAACTGCTCAGCCAGATACACCCACGCCTCTCCAAGACAACACGATTCCACAAATCTCGATATTTCAGGGGAGGGCAGCTGGATACTCGCCATCTGTGGATCCGCTGGATGAGCAGGAATATGGCTATGATATGGACAAGTTGTTTGACAACAATGGACTATTGACTACTGAATATCAGTGCTTGACCGAGCAAGTGCGCCAGCCTACGATCAACATTACAGGCTCATCTTTAAATTTCGCCAGCACTTCAAATAGAGGAGTTGCAACCCTACAAGGAACTCCACTATTCCATTTTGTCATGCCGCCATATGGCGAAATAAGTCATGACTATCCTCTGTTAAACAATCTCAACACATCTTCAATGGAGCAACTTGAACGAGCAATGGTATATCCTCAACAGCCACAACAGTCGCAGCAGCAAACGCCAATCGCAGCACAGCAGATTTCAAATCATGGGGTAGAAGATTATAGTTCTCCTGCACTAATCAAGTCCGAGCCTTGGTTCGGATTCGAATCCCTCTTCATTTGAGCGACTGCATGTAGTCACCTGCTGGGACTGCCCACAGTCTCAAGCTTGCTTCAAACAAAAATAAAGCAGAAAAGACAAGAAGAAGAAAAAAAAAAAAAAAAGGGCAAACATTGGAAATTTGAGGAGTCCAGAGGGAGTGGGTATGTTTTTCTTGGGCCTCTCAAACGGCACCCTGTACAATCACAAACTTCAATGTTCTACCAGGCGGTAGCAGCCCTGTTACATGAACATGTATATATACGCACGTATTGGTAATTCTATTCGAGGGGGTTCTATGTATGAGTTATAGCTTTATATGAACGAAATGAAACTTGTCTGTATTTGACTTAAACTTTCAGCACGCTCATCGTTTCGCAGCTGTCAAGTACAAAACCATAATAGAGCGCCAGGGAGCTAAGGATTTCCTAAAGCGGAATGACAAGCCGGCTTTCTATGAGCTTCTGTCATGTGACACATCACAAGGTCCCGAGATCGCTGACTAAGGCGCGGTGAAGGCTCGGAAAAGCTGCTCGACCGATCGTCGCCGAGTGTTGGGGCCAATTGAGTGGCAAGTTCTCTCCCATTCTCAAACGCGAGTCCAGGCGGCACGATGAGGACTTCGGGGTAGATTTTTGTACTCGGAAATCCCCTCATCCACGATCAACTACCATTTCCCTTTCTCAACGACTGGAAAGGGCCACGATTTCAGCCTCAGGCTTCTCTTCTCTCGGCTTTGCTGGAGTAGGCGGGCCTCGATAGCGCCAGGTCCCGGCCGGACAGGCTGCTACACCACGTCATACGATAGGCCGGCATTGGCTGTCGCTTGTCTCACTGTCTCTTGTCTTCTTTCATCCCGACTGTCGCTGGGCTTGACATTCACCGTTCAACTCTCGCCTTGATATAGGCGACGTCATCCGTGACGATGGCGTTCCACGGTGGCCTGCTGCCTGTAAGTACTTGCCCTCTCGCCTCTCGCCATCCATGCCGAACTGAGCGCCCTTGAACTCCGAAAACCGAAGCCAGGTGCTGACAGATCGATGAATAGTCAGTGGCAGCAGCCGCAGCGGACACTTTGCCTTCGATAACAAGCACTCTTGCGAGGCCCTGGCGACCTTCGGCCGTGCCCCACCAGCAAATCGATGCGACTGCTACAACCGAGACTGCGCGATCAGACTCCTCTGCCGAAGCGACAGAGAAGGTGAATGACCTCTTGCGAATCATCTGTACGCACCCATAGATCTAACTTTGATTATGTATCTAGTCGACGCGGATCCAGTTACCCGATTTCCTCCAACAGGCACCGGCGTCCGTTCTTAAGGCTACCACCCCCAGCGTGATGGCACCAACCGACATTCGCGCATCCGTCTCTGGACTGGGTCGGGTTGGTTTGCTCGCGGCGAATCCAATCCTTCGACGCCCTTTCTTCCAGCCCATCAACACCGTCTCGCCCCCTCTGGTCAATCTGTTCATGCGATCTGCCCCCGCCGTCTCGACCCCGCTACGCGCAATGTCCACGACCCGGGTTCTCTCCGGAACAGTCGGTATGCAGCACAGAGGCTTTGGAACAGCAAATGGAATTTCTCGCAGTCAATTAGCTTCTGTCGAAGAATCAGCAAACAGGAACCCCGGAAACGCAAATCTTCAAAACGCCTTCTACCAGCTCCTTTTGAGAGCAAACATGCCCGGCATCTTGGTGGAAAGATATCAAACCGGCCGTTTTGCGACGAATGCAGGCACTGAGGACGCTTATAAAAGAGCACTGGCTGCTCTCAACAGCGGTTCGAGCACCGTGGCTACTGCTACAGCGTCACCTGGATTTGCGCGTGGACAATGGGCAGGAAACGAACAGGCCATCGCCAATGCCGCTCTCAGTGGCTCAATGGGCGTCAAGGGAGAGCCTATCCATGTTGTCGTCCAAGAATCCACTCGGTCGCTTGTCTTTCGCTGGGTCAAGTTCTTCGCTACTTTCATCGTATTCACCTATCTGTGCTTTGCAGCTGTGACAATCCTGATTGAGACGCTGAGCACCTTTAGACGTGGGCCAGGTGCCAAGGCCGACTCTGAGGTCAAGGCTGAAAAACAGACAACTCGATTCGACGATGTCCATGGATGCGACGAGGCCAAAGAAGAGCTACAGGAGGTTGTCGAATTTCTCCGCAACCCCGAAAGTTTCTCTGACCTCGGTGCTAAGCTGCCCAAAGGTGTTTTGCTGGTTGGTCCCCCCGGTACTGGAAAGACGCTTCTCGCTCGTGCTGTTGCCGGAGAAGCTGGCGTTCCTTTCTTCTACATGTCCGGCAGTGAATTCGACGAAATCTTTGTCGGTGTTGGAGCCAAACGCGTTCGAGAACTGTTTGCTGCGGCCAAGGCCAAGTCCCCTGCTATCATCTTCATTGACGAACTGGATGCGATTGGCGGAAAGCGTAACCCAAGGGATCAGGCTCATTCCAAGCAGACCCTGAATCAACTACTCACAGAACTTGATGGATTCGACACGGATACAAAGATTATCATCATGGCAGCTACCAACTTGCCCAAGCTTCTCGACAAGGCTCTTACTCGACCTGGACGATTCGATCGACACATCAACGTGGATTTGCCGGACGTTCGCGGCCGCATCGCCATTTTGAAGCACCATGCCAAGAAGATCAGGCTGTCGCCTGACGTGGACCTTGAAGCCATTGCTGCACGCGCTCCTGGACAATCCGGTGCTGATCTTGAGAACATGCTTAATGTCGCGGCGCTACGCGCTAGCAGGGCCAAGGCCCGCGAGATCTCTAAGAACGACATTGACTGGGCATTCGACCGAATTACCATGGGCGCAGAGAGAAAGTCAATGGTTGTGACGGAGAAAGAAAAGGAAATGACGGCATACCACGAGGCCGGCCACGCTCTTGTCCAACTCTTCGAAAAGGAAAGCTCCAACAGACTTTACAAGGTTACGATTCTTCCCAAGGGCCCTTCCCTAGGCCATACCGCCCATGTTCCTGCCATGGATAAGTACTCTTACACTGCGGCCGAATATATGTCCAACATTCGCGTGCTCCTCGGAGGCAAGATGGCGGAAGAGATGCGATACGGTGATGACAAAGTCACTTCAGGTGTTTCCAATGTATGCTTAGCTTTTCCTTGTTGCTTTTATAAATCTGCGTGCTAACCACTGCCATAGGATCTGGAGAGGGCCACTGATTTGAGTTTCATGATGGTCACAAACTTTGGCATGTCCAGTGCTCTGGGGCCTGTTGAATATGGCAGACGATATGAGAATCTCAGCTCCGAGACCAAGGCTTTGATTGAAGGCGAAGTGCAGAGGTCGCTTAGGAAATCATACGAAGATGTGAGAAAGATATTAACGGAAAAGCGAAAAGAGCTTGATCTGCTGGCGCAGGCACTTGTTCAATACGAAACGCTGGATAAAGATGAAGTAGAGAAGGTGATCCGAGGAGAGAAGCTACTTGACCGAACAATTGTACCCAAGGGACCCCTGACCCTGCCGATCCCTGACGACATTCCTCGCCCCCCTGGCCTGGGCGTTCCTCAACCTCACCCACCTATTACACCAGCTCCTCCAGCTTCTGCCAAGTCATCTGCTACATAAGAAGCAAGGTGGCATTGGCGATGCCAAAGTGAAGATTATGGCTGGGTTGTGAAGGCATCATTTGGCATAGCGGAGCACAATATGGTATGCGATGAAGTGATAGATATCGAGCTGGGAAAGTGGGAAAACCACACTCCTTCTGTTATGTACATGGAGCTCTTCATTTCGCAGTAGCCAAAGGGATTTTGGCTATTGAGCAAGCCGAAGCGATTTTTTATGTTTATTTTTTTTTTTTTGTTTCCTCATTCGGAATGATTTTCCATCTTGGGACTATTGAAAAAGCAGATCAAAGCAGAACCAGTCCCAGCGGCTCGGATGGGTTTGTACCCGTTTATTTCCTACCATGGTATGTGTCTGGAGGGAAGAAAGAGCTACATCTCACCGGAAAACGTATGGGCAAAGAGAGGGGGGGGGGGGAGAGAGAGAGAGAGAGCTCCTACGCAGTGAGGCGTGGCCTGAAATGAATACATTTGAACCAGAAATTGGCTCTTGGAGGGTGGAGGAGGGTATTTCTTGATGACGAAATGCTACTGTATTGTATTACAAAAATTCTATTTGTACATTTGATCACCGCTAGGCTTTTCATATACCTCGGAAACTGATGTTTCTCTTTTCAATCTATTCCATCTGTGAAGCACGACACTTGAAGCTTGAGGGCACGCACCTAGACGACAGAGTGGTGAGATTTGGAATTCACAAGATTGTACCTGCATCAAGCAACCTAGCTATTGCTGCTCATGTGCATATAGGTACGGAGCATTATCATCATTGCCGGGGGTAAAGAAATTCCTAATCTTGGTCAAAGGTGAGATCGCTCGACTCCTTCAAGATGCATCCGAAGCGTTACGTTTTACTCCATACTAATCATTGATACCAAGCAATAGTAACCAATTTATCTTTGTCACTTATTCCAGCCCCGAAGCCCGGACAGATGCCGGATATAACTTTTCTGCCTAGCCCACGGGATTATGTGAACTTTTGCCCTCCATCCTACGGAGCACCGTCGCATCCAAAGTGGCTCCCCAGCCCGCACGGCTCGGAGACGCTGCTGGGGATCCCAGTCTGTGCATCTTTGTCTTATACGCTTTTGGGGTTGTAGATTCAGATTCAGCTGGAGGCGGTGCCCTGTTGGTCGCTTGTGCATGTTACTACTCCGTACGTACATTCGGAAATATGCGTATGAGCTCTGGGACCACGTTTGGTTGGAGGAACCCTTTTTCCACCCCGCGATGATGCGACATGACGGGACTTGACGCGAAAAAAATGTTTGACAAGAAAAAAAAAATGATGAAAGATGTGATTTGAAATCCGGAGGGGTTTTTTTAACAATTCCGAGAAGATGTTGGAGCGGTAAAACAAAGTGTTGGTGACTTTTTTGTTTTATACCGGCGTTTTTCTTCCTTTCCACCGCTGGGTTTTTTTATAAGTGCGAAAGCATGCCTTGAACAAGAGTTGTTTTTTTTTTTATAATCGACAATTCTCGCAATAACAATCTTCTGAAAAACTCTCAGCTGCACGAATATTTGAATTTTTTTTTTTATAAAGGAAAAAGGCAATATCCAAAATGACCAAGGTTCTTCTCACAGGTATGTTGATGCTGCGGATCCCTTATTGTGTTGAGTGTAAAAGCGCAGCTTTGCTAACAAAGGGGGAAAACAGGTGGTTCTGGCTTCATCGCCGGTATGTCTATTCCGTTACTACAAGCTCATTCAAAACTGCATCTCAGTCCCAAACCCCTTGATTCAGAACAAAATCCAAGCTTGCAAGCAAAGCAAAAAAAGAGAAAAAACTGACAGATTTCATCCAAAAACAGCCCACATCCTCGAACAGCTCCTCGCCAAAAACTACACAGTCATCACCACCGTCCGCACAAAGAGCAAGGCCGACCTCATCAGGGAAGCCCACGCAGACCTCGTCAAGAGCGGCCGTCTGTCCGTCGCCATTGTGCCCGACATTGCCGTCCTCAGCGCCTTTGACGACCTCGTCGCCAAGATCGCCTCGGGCCCCGACGGCGATCTCGAGTACGTGATCCACACGGCCAGCCCCCTATTCTTCACCTTCACAGACGCCCAAAAGGAAATCATCACGCCGGCGCTCAACGGCACGCGGGGCATCCTCGAGGCCGTCAAGCGGTCCGCGCCGTCGGTCAAGCGCGTCGTCATCACATCCTCCTTTGCGGCCATCCTGTCCGAGGACGACTTCACAAACCCCAACGCCACCTTCTCAGAGTCCTCCTGGAACCCGGACACGGTCAAGGACGCCAACCGGTCCATCGCCACGGGCTACCACGTCTCCAAGGTCGAGTCCGAGCGCCTGGCCTGGGACTTTGTCAAGAAGGAGAAGCCCAACTTCGACCTCGTCACGGTCAACCCGCCGCTGGTGCTCGGCCCCGTGGCGCACAGCCTCGCGTCCGTCGACGCCATCAACGCCTCCAACGAGCGCATCGCGGACCTGCTGCGCGGCAAGTGGAAGGCCGAGATCCCCGAGACGGGCCCCGTCGACCTGTACATTGACGTGCGCGACACCGCCGCGGCGCACATCAAGGCCCTGGAGCTGCCCGAGGCGAGCGGCCACCGCCTGTTCCCCGTGGCGAGCAGGACGTCTAACCACGAGATTGCAAAGATCATCCGTGACAACTTCCCCGAGTTTGCGGAGCGGCTGCCCGGCCCGGAGGTCAAGGGCGGCGAGCACGTTGATGAGAACAAGGCGTACAAGTGGAACTGCGACGAGACCAACAAGCTGCTCAAGATTGACTGGATCCCTGTCGAGCAGAGCATGATTGACACTGTCAACTCATTGAAGGACAAGGGCATTTAGATACAACAAACGGTGTGAAAAAAAGATACACAAGTTAGAACAGGGGGCATTATGGTTAAGCTATAAATCGAAAAGGATCACATCTGTCTATCTCAAAAAGCTCGTTGTATAAGTCGACTTACCTGTTTCATTATTTCTTCTCTTAAATCCACCCCAACGTATATCTCTATGCTTATGTTTTCACGGATGATCTTTGCAATCTCGTGGTTAGACATCCTGTTCGCCACGGGGGAAAGTGGGTGACCGCTCGCCTCGGGCAGCTCCAGGGCTCTGATAGATCGTATACTTCTTCCCTTTTTCCCCAATACATCCCAGCATCCGAGTAAATTCACACTACCTTGTCTAGACGCACCTCATTCAACAACGGGCTCCTCACATGCCTCACCCTCCTCGGTGACTTCAAAGGCACCTCTATCGATCCCCTCGAACCGCTTTGGCTATTCCCTCCCTGCGGCCTCTGAAAGTCTCCATTTCCTTCACTTACACCAATAGATGATTCTGACATAGACCCGATGCTTGGTGAGCCTCTTCGGGCCAGGCTGGTAGGTGATAGAGGCGATTTCAAGGGACTAGCTCGACCATCCAAAGGGAGGCTCGGAAGCGCTCGAGTCGGAGGCGGCCCAGGGCTTGCCAAATGGCCAACCGGTGATGGCATTTCATATACACGCGACGGCAGCCTTGGAATTTCCGCAGCCGTGACACTATTATACTTATTTGGCGCCGAGCTAGTGGATGCATTCGACGTAGCCCTGACTGTGCTAACGTGACTGAAGACGCTGGAAATGCTAGTTTCCGACGGGGTGTCGTTCCTCGGTGGTCCAGTGGGAGAAGTAGTAAGTGAAATCGTTGTCGTTGCCGTTATGGTCTGGCGCTCTCCCTCTCCAGGGCTTCTTCTCACTCTGGACACCGAGAGGGGCGGAAGCGGCGCCAATGGCATTCCGGCCTTGTCCCGTACAGATACGTCTTGATATTGACGACGCTGGTTGTTGCGACGAAGACTCAATGCGCGCGGAAGCAAGAAACGGCGCTCTTGTAGCCGCGCAGGCGGCGTCAATGGAGCCTTTGGCGGGGCGGCATGTGAGCTCGATGGCGAAATAAGCGGCGACGCGGGAGGGCTACTGGATTTGATGGGACGACGACTGATCTGTCTTTTGTTGCGAAAGCGTATCTTCATCCTCAGGTGCCACACAATGAAGCCAATAATGACGAGAACCCCAACCATGACGGATACTCCAATGGTGACTTTCGTGGTGGAGGATACTTGGTTTGCGACAGTTGACCTCTGTCGATGATGGTACTTTGAACTCTCTGCAGGGGTAGCCAGATGAATGGCAGAGAGGCCCGAAGCGGTCAACTCGGGTACTGTAGAAGGAATATCAGAGAGGAATTTTGTAATTGTGACAGTATGGAACCCTTCTTTGACGAATTCTGACGGAGTTGCAGCTGGGAAAGCAACAGCTGGTGCAGTGGACAGTTTGTCTTGTTGATGCATGTGTTTCTGTTCATCATCTGAGACGGCGTGAGCCTGACCTGGCTGTTCCAAGTTGAACAATCTATCACCACAGTCCACGTTAGCAAGCGTGTAGTTACCACAAAGAGCAAGGGAACTATATAATACCTTTCACAAGAGCTGATAAGTCGACTGATGAAGGCTAACACAAGAGTTAAATCGAGAAAAAAAGCACCATCTTTTCATGTATTCAACGCACATTGTTGATCAGCATCTTCCTTGCCGCTAATCCTGCATAATTGCGAGCCGCAATGATAAGGAATATGAAAAGCATCTCTTCCACCTCCGTGTCTATCTGGGAGCGCCCGACATATTGTGTCAAGCATCCCATTGCTGGATGCCAGCAAAGTCAAAAACTGAGTTTGGCATTCAGCAGAGCAACCAAACAAATCTTGAATGACATGAGAGCCATCAATGCAATTAGTTTTGTCCATGGCGTTTCGTCTCTAAACCTCTTGAGTGCTTATCTATCTGAATGTCATAGGAATTGATAGTATCGTCGAGTCGTTAAATTAAGTACTGACTAATAAGCAAGTCATAAAGAAAGAGTCATGAATCGATATCGTATGAAAGCCAAGTGCCGTATATTGTAGAGGAAGAGATCAATGAAATTTAATACCAATCACCCCGTAAAGCCAAACGGCATGAATTGCAAAACGATCAAGGCGGCATATGGCCTCGAGAGGCTCGTGCGCCTACTATATATCCCGGATAAGTCGAAACACGGTACGAGAAGGAAACACAAGTGCTTAGATGATCCATGGTCTTTTGGAAAGGGACACAGAGTATTTCAATCCCAAAATGGGCAAGTACCGGACGGGACCATATGCAGGTTTGGTTTCACACGGCTCCGCGGTGTACCGCTCCCGATGAAGCGGCCTCGTATGAGCTTTGGACTGGAAGCGAAGCTGCTTAGGTATGATTGCAGTGTAAGAGCCCAATAGTCTTCATGGGTTTCGGAGGCCATCGGATACGGCAACAGCGCTAATGCTGGAGTGGAAGCCATGCAGATACTATATTGGATGGCCTTGTTGGAGAGGAGTGTAGCCTAGGGACCCGCAACCTGGCCAAGCTGTAGATTATTCGGTGTCAGCTCGCTTCCAGAAATTTTGTGTATCGTGTGGAACCATCTCGTAGGGGAAAAAAAGACCCCGGTAACGGATGATTGCTTCCTAGTGGCTTTCTCGGCCCCTGTTGTCTCATGGCTTCCTCGTGGAAGATCGGAACCTACATGGAAGAAACAGAGATCCGAAGGCACAAACAGCCCTGTGGTCAGTAAACCCCTTATTCTTCTGATTGCTCATAAAATGGATTGCCTAGCGATGTCAGCGTGATAATCTTAGAGTAAAAACACTAGACTATTTTACTCTGTGATGAACCCGTGTGTTCCATTTCCGAAAGATTAGCCGCTTTCGTTTGTTCTAGAGCTGAAATTTTCACGCACCAGTGCTGCCCAATAGCCTGGCAGCAAGCTTGTACAACATGAATCTAGTTGAGCTCGAGTGTGTCCTGCAGTTGCTGGCGCTGCTTCACAAATCAGGCGACGCCTGGCAGAGGTGGTTTCTCAAACCAGCCAGTAGCATTATCTCATTCACCGCAAAATGGTGGGTGAGAGAGTCAAGCAAAGGAATACGATATTATTCGATGCAATGTTGGAATTTTCTGCCCCTCTCTCAGAATTTGTGACCGAAATTCATCCTGGCCCCAGCGAAAAGAAAAATTGAGCAACATCTATTCCTCTCTTCTAAATCAAGAGATCAAAGAAAAGGAAAAGAAAATCATTGGTAGTAGGGCGTAGAACGAGACTAGTCATGCCTTTCGTAACGCCCCAAGTTCATGTAGGTTTGCGATAAGCAGGCATTGGTTCAATAGTCCCTGGGATAGGCAAAGCCTAGCAAACAAAAAACCAACAGAGCACGCTCGCTTCCAATCCGTCACGGTCACTAATGAACCCCATGACAAGCGATATTCCATTTGCGGCTACACCCTGGTAGCAAGATAGAAGCCACTTGGCTGGGAGATAATGCAAATAGAATGCTGCCAAGGCCGCACTGAGGGTAATGGCAGAGAAGAAAAGAGTCAAGGTATCACCGACCACCAGAGAATAAAAAAGATAGCGAGGGACGGTGAAACCAACACGTGTGCATAACAACCACCATAATCCATTTTCGTCGTCAAAAACTCTATTTTACCCAGCACCACTGATAGCAAATGGAGGGAGAGACGCAGAGTCTGATCTGTAGGAGTAGAGCCGCCCATGCGGCTGATAGCGTCGCGGGGGTCTCGAAACTTGCACGCTGGTGCAAACAAGCTGATGAACAGACTCTCAGCTAGCCACAACAACTTTCGTATTCGCTCAACCAGCATCCATCATCCGCCAGCGACTGAGAATAGAGCCTTCGACGTTTCAGCTAAGAAAGGCTTCGTTGTACTATAACGACTAAAATGGAAGAGGAAGAGAAGGAGAAAAGAAGAGACGTGACGTCTTCGGTAGCGTTGTTTCCCTAGCTCATGCTGTCGGGGCCCGAGTCAAATATGTCTTCGTTATCAAAGGGGCTGCCTAAGCATGAGCGTAGATGTACCCTAGAAGAGCTGGCGCTCTCATGCCGTGACCCCAATGAACGATGCAGGGCGTCCGTATACAGAGCTTGGCTTACGCGACCAGGTCACAGGCCAATGCACGGAACCGCCGCCGGGGCACACAATCACAATCCTCCAGCGGTGTGACAAAGTATGTGAAAAAGGCCTGGGAGCAGATATCGGGCCTCTCAAAGGTGTAGTTGCAGGACGAGCACAACGTTAGCTTGCGCTGTAAACCCCAGCGCAGGCTCAATACGGGATCAGAGTCTGGATGCCCATCCTAGAAGAGTCTGGTCAGCTGAGCTCGTAGGAGATGGATGTGATTGGAAAACGGGCAGCCCTTGCATGAGTGCAGCTGGGAATCCAATGAGATAGACGGCGCTGGCGATTGCTATGCACGATTAGGCCCTTGGGGAGCCAATTAGAGGCGCATCCGATGGAAGGAAGGTTTATGCATCTCAGATATGTAGGCACTCTCGTATCAGGAACAGAAATTCAGCTCAGCGCATCCGTGTCTAGGTAAAGCGTGGAACAAGAACGAATGATGGTAGTAGTTTTAGATTTCCGGTCTACAAGCGTTGCTACTGAGGTTCCTCCTCTGGGTGCCTGAGGCTGATCCCCTGACTACCTGTACAGAATATAGCAGGTCTCGCTTCTAGTCCCTTCAACCATCCTTATTCAAGCTCCAAGCATTCCTACATTTTGGCAGAAACAACACATAGTTGTACAGTAGTATTTTGGGGCCTCTCTCCCCACTATCGTCGCAAGATCTGATCCTTGTATATAGACCGTTTAAATATGCGGGGAGAACCCCAAGCTCCACACCGAGTCTTCGCTCAGCCAAGTCCTCGGCGCGCCAATGGCTGTGCCTCGGCACTTTGGCGGAGTCTCCTCTGTTCCCCGGAGATGGATATGAGCTTATACTAGCAGCTTATATGCAACATCGCTGTCAATTACCGTATTCAATTTTCAATACATCATCTTACGTTGTTTTCTTTTTGTAACCACAGCTCAGCCTTTGTCTATCAATTTTTTTTGAAGAGAAACTTGCCTGACGCGCTCAACTGGACTGGCTAAAATCCCACGCAGCCACAACTATCTTGTGCAACCTCTTCCCACTCAACCATGTCCTCTCAGCTCCCTCCCATTGCCAAGGTTGCGGCCGGATCCAGCAAGCCTCGAGCCCAAGACAAAGTCGTCATCATCACCGGTACGTGGCCCCTCGCTGTGTATGACAAGCTCAGTTCTAAGCGCTCCTCTAAACATCTCCATCATAGGCGCCAACTCTGCGCTTGGCATAGGCCGGGCTACAGCCCATCAGTTTGCCGAGAGCGGCGCCCGAGCAATCTACCTTTGCGATTTTGACGCATCAAATCTTGAGGCCCACAAGAAGGAAATCAACCAGCTGTATCCCAATGTCGAGATTCAGACGCGTCAGTTTGATGCCGCGGATGAGGCCAAGGTCAAGGCCGTTGTAGACGATGCAATGGAACGCTACGGCCGTTTGGATGTCTTCTTTGCCAATGCCGGAGTTACAGGCCCCAACGTAGTCTTTACTGATATCAGCGCTGAGGACTTCATGAATGTACACAAAGTCAACACTCTGAGGTCTGTTTTTCTCTTCTAGATCCGCATCTTGGAAATCAACGCCTCATTCAGAAACTAACGACAATTTAAATAGTGTTTTCCTTGCTACCAAATACGCCGCCCCGGCAATGAAAAAGACATCTCCGCAGAAACCCAAGCCCAGCGGAAGCATCATCGGTACCGCCTCTGTTGCTGGCCTGCGCTCAAACGCTGGCAGCACCCCCTATTCATCATCCAAAGCTGCGGTTGTCTCCCTCGCCCAGACAATGTCCTACCAGCTTACGGGCACTGGCGTCCGCATCAATGCCATCTGCCCCGGCATCATTGAGACGGGCATGACTGCACCCGTGTATGAAGCTGCGCGCGCCCGCGGCAATGAGAAAAAGATTGGCCAGCTGAACCCGACGAGGCGGGGTGGACATGCTGACGAGGTTGCCCGCGTAGTGCTGTTCCTGGGCAGTGATGAGTCTAGCTATATAAATGGGCAGGCTTGGGCTGTCGACGGAGGACTCAGTGCAGGACACCCCTTTGTCCCAGGCAAACTGGCCTAAGGGATCTGTGCAGAATGCAGTCGGTTACAGAGTACTCGTATGTTGTATATTACGTCGAGGTAGGAAATTTTGTATATAATCATCTTGCCATCTTAATGTTGAGAACCAGGTGCCGTTTGGAACTGTTCATTGGGTATCATCTCCTCCACCGGCCTTTTCAGACGCAGACAACGCAGAAATTTGCCGCGCCGAGATTCGCTCTAACCAGGCCGCCCTCCATATGGCGTACTCCTCTCTACGACTCTCACTCAGGTAATCATACTTCTCTTGGAACATTGTATCTGCTCGCTGCTGCTGACCTTGCAGCCCGCCATCCTCATAATGATTCTCGGCCACGCTACTATCATGTTGGACGTTCATACTGATGACGTCTGCAATTCCATCGTACCAATCGGCCTCGAGCCATCCGTTTCCGCGGACTCTTGACACCGCAGCATCAAAGTCATCGTCGGTAATATCGGCCCAGCCTTCCCAGAGGGCATCCGGCTCTATTCCTTCAACCGTAACATCTTGGCGTGCTCGGCTCAGCTGCCCGACAATTTCGGTGCGAGTAGGGACGTAGTTTTCAGGCTGGATAGCCTGATCTTGATCGATATCTCTAAGTCGCATGGCGACAAAGAAGATTACAGCCGCGCATAACGCAGTTGCGTGCTCCAATGCCCATTCATCCTTTGTTTTACGCCCTCCTGGCAGTAAAATCGACTCCATGCCCGCCAGCATTGACGGCGCTAGTTTCTTGTGTCCAGGTTCAACGCATAAATGACGGATGACGGGTTGAATCCAGGGGTATATATCCGACTCCCTGACGCTTGCGTGCGCTTTTCGGTCTGATTTTAATGCAGTTTTCGTATCTGAGCCGGATCTCTTTCGGAATTGGGCCAGACTGCTGTCCTTGCTGGGCTCGGGCCTTGAAGGAAGAGGTCGTGATTGTGAGGATGCTGGCGATTCCCCGGCATTTCGCTGTCTAGAGCTTGCTTTTCTCGTCCTACGCCCACTCGCTGATGTGTTGGGGAGGATATTGTCAAGATGCGTATACAATCGCTTGTATACTCGGGGTGGGATCGGTGGGCGCGGCTCAATTGTCGGGAGATCTAGTGTAATCTTGAGTCTATCGCGATTGCAACTGGTTAGCAGCCAGCAAATTCATCAGTGGTTCGGCGGATGCTATCGTGGTTACCGGTTGCAGGCAATGTGGGCACAGGCATAGAGCCGGGCAATCTCCTCGTCCGCCTTCAGCGTGCTGGCTAGATGTCGAGATTGGGCCAGCAGGGAGCCGGCAGACTCGACCAGAGTTGAGGGGAGATCGGAGCCATACGTTGGCATCAACGAAACAAGCGCGAGCTCGACTTGCTTGCTCATTGTGATTGCCCGATGCTGGTGGTTATTACGTGTTGATGCGCAGTACAATACCAGAAAGCTCGTTTTGGAATAAGCGGCAGGCTCTCTTATTCGATGTTAGTTTGGATCTAGAAGAGAGACGCGAGGCGGGGCATGACGGGAAACGCGAGATCACGGGGTTCAGCTGATACTTACTACTAGTACCTATAGATAGCACTTCATCTTTAGCCAGGTATAGAGTATATGGCATTTCCACTTTGGCGCTTCAAGGATTGCTTTACACCGATTCTTGATTACTACATGTCAGCTCTATCGTTTATTCTCCCAGAAGCCAATCAAGTGGTAATACGGCTCTGTAAAGCACCCTCAGGCAATGGTTGACATGGGATTGCATCCTCTCTAGATAAGCCTAATCCGGCAACTAACTCTAGTGGGCGCTCCCCTGTTTGCGACCACCCCCGCCGCTAAAGCCAGGGCCTGCAGTCACCGCCGTTAGCGATGCCGCTATCACTGTGGCTCTGCAGAGTACCTGGCGGGACTCCATAACTGCGGCGGCCACCTCTCTTCCGCTCGACGTCCTCCCATTAGCATCCAGACAAGAACAGAATATTTGTTGCGCCGCTCTCTGCATTGCATCGCATTTTGTCGCATTGTATCTCAGCCTTGCTCTGTTTCATCGTCTTCTTACTTGATTGATAATCCCTCTCGCGCGACATCATGAGAGCGTTCTTCCTCTGCTCCGCCATTGCGGGCCTGGCCATCGCCCATGGCTCTCATTCTCAGAAGCCAATTGTCGATGCAAACGCCAATTGGATGACGAAGCACATGGCTGGTAAGTTTCTCTGGTATTTACTTCATCATATCGCTTTGGCTATATTCCGGGCCATGTTCCTAACAGAGAGATTTTACGCACAGAGGAGCATCACGTCGACGGCTGGGACGCGGCCTCCTTTTTCACTCTCCACGACTACGACAGCGACGGCTACTGGAAAGGCGAAGAGCTGCTCCGCACCTACGGCCTCATGGACGATTCCAACAGGCACGTCTCCTGGGAGCGCCGCGATGATATCCTGCGCCAGCTGCTCGAGCTCATGGACCCGAATCGCGACGGCGTCGTCAGCCGCGACGAATGGACCGACTACATCTCACAAGGCAAGACTCTTCCGGACATGGGCACGGGGCCGGGCCACCACGGCGACGACGAATACGAATATGAGATTCATCATTGGGAGAAGTACCATGACGAGAACTCCAAGTTGGAAGACTTGAACCATCCGGAAGACATTGAGCATTTCCGGAAACACGAGCAGATGGAGGAGGAGGAGGAGAGGCTGGAGAAGATGGACCAGATGGCCATCATAGAGGAGAATATCCCCAAGAAATTTCTGCGGGGCAATTAGGAAATGTGAGGACGGCCTTCCAGGCGTTAAGAAGAGACGGATCAAATCCAAAGTTCATATGAGAGACGACGACGCCGAGAGACACGAAATTGATGTAAAAACATTTTGTTCATGTACCATTATCATATATACTACTACCGCCTGTAATACGAACATCAAAGACGCAATGCCAGACCCCCGGCGCAAACGTCTTGACCTGCTCAGCGTGCTCAACCTTTGGAGTCCTCAAATCTGCTCCCGAAGCAGCAGCCCACGCCTCAAAGGTCCCTTGAATTGATCCTCGCCGGGACTGGATATCCCCCACGCCGACATTCTCGTGCAAATGCAGCCATGCTTCCGGAGCAAACCTTGTCACTTCCCAAGCGCTTTTCCAGACCGGCTCGCTCGTGGGCAAGAAGCCGCAGTTGACGTGCTCAATGTTCCTTGCGAGTCCCGTCTCTTGCATCTCCCCAACCCGCTCCAGCGCCTTCTCATTGCTCTCTAGAAAGACAATGATCCTCTCTTCTCCAGCCAGGAGTTGGCTCACCGGCAGTAGCAAATCGTCTCCCTCAACAACTTTGACACTCCACTTGTTAGCCAAAGCACCACGTCGAAGTCCCTCGACACTCCAGGGATTGATCTCCCAACACAAAACCCTCATCCCTAGCGCCGCATAGGAAAACACAAAATACCCAATTCCGGCATACAAATCAACCGCCCAGATCTCCCCCTGCTCCTCTCTGGTTCTCTTGGTCAGAGAAGGACGATTGAATCCCAACAGCCGTGCCTTCTCCTTCACGTTGCCACGAGAAAACATGGTCCATCTCGGCGCCCACTTCTGGAATATCCCGTTTTGCTTCGTGCCAACCCAAAAGGCGCCTTCAAAGTCACTCTTGGTAGGGTAATCTCCGACGCCTTCTGATGGTCCAAAGTCCCCAAAGAGCATCCTCAGCCCGCTTGGGCTCCTTCGCACATTCTCGTCCTCCTCTCCTGCCTTGTGCAGCGGTATGCCCTCGTTAACAGCTAGATGCGTCACGACCCCTTGCCCAGTCTTGGAAATCTCTTGCAAGATGGATTGCCACAATGAGTTACAGACAGCTTCATCGCAGACCCCTAAGATGGAGGCCCATGTTTCGCTTGTGAAACTTCCAGTCGGGAGCAAGGCGAGAGGCTCATAAATGGTAAAGCGTTTAGGCGCGGAGTTTATTAGACTCTCATTTCGTAAATCCTGGCCGTCAGATTCCAACGGCGGAAGAGATGCAGTGATCCAGTTCTGAATTGCCGCAGTGATGGGGTTGACGGGCCGGGGGCGTGCCTTGGGCTTTCTGTGCGAATTTTTGTCGTCCAGCTGCCGAGACGCCATCGAATTGAAAGCTAAAATGCTGTGCGTGGTCTGAAGTAGAGACTTAAGCCAAGATCGGTATTGGATGACTTTTCTTCTCTATCAATTCGCATTAGGTATACCAGATTGTAGACGTAATCGGTGTGGTGGAAGGTAACGGAGGAAGAAAATGTCCAAAAAGCTTAGTTTTTTGCCTGCTCATCGACGCTTTTCACAATGCTAGCAATATGACAGTAGCTTCAGCACCACCAGCTTCTACATGGCCGAACTAATCCAAATTCCCAAAATATTGGCAAGGCAGGGCTATAAAACTTCTTTATCGAATTTTTTTCCGCTTTTTTTTTCTAATCAAATGAAATCGTCACTGCTGTTCGTTTCCGCTAGCCAGATCCCCAGCCCATCCTACCTATATTCCTAATGCATTGGCAATTCTTCAAATTCATGGATATCTCAACCCGTGTGCTAGTTTACATGCAAAAAACCCATCCCAACTCAACCTAGTCTAAGTTATACTGTGTACGCTCTTCACGTCTTGCCTGCCTTTACAGTCGAGGTAGCCAATCACAAAAAGTAGTCGCCCGGCGACCTTCTGCTTGCGGGCACGTGTCTCTGGTCATCTGGTACAGCAGAGAAAATGCTAAACTTGGGGGCCAAATCATTGTCCACCGTCATTATTGACGCGACATTGCCGCATCGGTAACAGTAGTTGGGAGCTGACCATACTGTTACGACAGAGTTCTCGTCGAAATGATACTAGGTTCCAGCGTATTAGCACAGCGCCCTCATATAAGAAGAAGGGAAAGGCATAGGGAAGGCTCCAACTCACCTTGTATCCTTCATTTACAAGTTGATGCGCTCTGGCAATCAATTTCAAGCCGTTGACATGGTTAAACTCCGTAGCAACTTTATCTCCAAACAGCCATCCCGCTCCTCTTGGGCTCACCGCCCACGTATCTATGTCGTCGGGATCTGACCATACAAGGTCGCAAAAAGCACCTTCATGGGGAATCTCCTGAGCACGTGCGACGACTCGAATCTGATCTATGGTTCTTATCTCGGGGCTCAAGCCGCCATGCACGCAGAGAAGCTCTCCATCAACTATAGCGGCGAGAACGAGGAAGTCAAAAACGTGGCAGCACGCCTTCCATACGGATGCGTTGCCGTACTTCTGCTGGCATTCCTCGTAGAAGCCGTACACTTGTGTGATTTGGCGCGATTCGTGGTTGCCTCTGACGAGAACAATGCGGTCTGGGTATCTATAGCGGTGTCAGTATCCGCACACAAAGGGCATTGCTGGGCTGAAAAAAGAGCAGAACAAAAAGGGAGTCGATGGTATCGTACTTTGCTTTCAAGCACATGAGCAATGTAAACGCCTCCAAGCTAAAGTATCCTCTGTCCACGTAGTCTCCGAGAAACACGAAGCGAGTCTCCGCGCTCTGCGAAGACGTAACTGTATTGATCGCGGGCACATCGTGATCTCCCTGCTTCTCATCCTCCACATCCTCGTCCTCATCAGCGTCACCGGGGCTGGCCCCGCCTCCCGGAGACTTTAGCTTCCTCCTCAGCTTTGGGTTTGTGATTTCCGTCGGGGGCTCGATGTCCTCTGATGTGATGACCGCGGTCATGGACTTCGGCGCCTGCACGTCAGTCTCGCCCGGCATGCCGCCAGCAACGCGGAAGAGCTCGAGCAGGTCGTAAAACTGGCCGTGGATGTCGCCGCAAACAGTGACGGGGGTGCAGACGGGCTGGATGTTGGACTCTGCGGGACTCATCATGTCAGCGCCTCCATGGACTTCCATCTCGCCTGCTCCCGGCGAGGGCATTCGCAAAACGTCAGCTACAAGGTGATGGGCTGCGTACCCTCCATCAAGATCTCCTTGACCTTTTCGCACAGCTCCTTCATGGCTCGCTCAGGCAGATAGTGGCACTGCTTGGCCTCCTCCAGCCACTCGTCCAGGCCGGCATTTGGCCCCAGGTTGGCAGGGCCGGGTCGGGGTACGTTTGCCGTCATCTTGGGGATCAAAGTATGGCAACGGCGCAACGGCTGGGTTGATTCAGCCCAACGCGATGCCAGTGCGTGCAAGGGATGATGCTTGATCAGCGGGCTAGAGATGACGGCGACTGAGGGCTTCGCTTGGTGGGGTTGGCCTCTCAACGCTTGTGGTTTCAGGGCGCCAGGGGCTGCGCTTCAGCGGGAGCAAGGCGCCGGATCTTTCTCGGAGGCCTGTGCGCTCGCTGTAGCGGCGAGTGATGGCTGCAGTGCCGCTGCGCTTATCGTTGATCCAAGTAAAGCGTTGTCCGATTCCTTGCATCTACCAGAGTACCTATTCAATATACGAGCGATACTGCGCTGAGATGCCTATTGCTATCAATATTATTTACTTTACAGACTATAGCCATTCTAAATAAACACATCTTCGCCCTTGTTTGTCTATTTTTAGCAGACGTTGCGCATGGTACGACCTACCTTGCAGCGATGCCAACAGAAAAGCAAATTCCATGGCCGCTCCCTCAACTCGGCTGCACGTGACTGCTCCATATTAGGTCAACCGCATCTTCGCCACAGAAACGCTCGAATAAGCCGGCACTAACTCCGTCTGCATCTGTTGCGAATTTGCTCTTATATTCCATCCAGCAGTCTATACGCCGCCATTTAGTGGGCCCGTGCTTTCTCATATGACGGAAGGCTACGACTCTTTTGACACTATCAAGCCTGGCTCTGACCTGGGCCTTCAAAACCGCGGCTGGCCGAGCCGAGACACCTTGATGCCCGTACATGCGCCTTTAGAACCCTGACGTTGCCCCCAAATCTTTACGATATGCACAATGGCGACTCAAGCACCGCAGGTCCTGTCTCGCAGGACAAACGGGGCGGCTTCCGCCGCGGCAAATGAGTCTGCCAAGGTGAGAGATGAATGTGAGATGCCCATCTTGTATGGTTAACTGATATGTCGCCTTGCACAGAACAAATCCGTGGCCGAGGGCGGCGCGTCTCGTCCTAGCAAGGGCAAGGGAGTGGCTGACAGGCAAAGCGAGGTTCGGAGCGCCACTCATGATGCGGAGTCGACAAAGGCCCCCAAGACCAAGACTCCTCATGAAGGTGAAAAAGTCATTATCCGCCGCCTGCCTCCGGGATTGACTGAGGCCGAATTCCTCTCCATCTTAGGCTCTGAATGGGCAGTGGGCAATGGCAAGGTTGATTGGTCTTCTTACGCCCCAGGCAAGGTTTGCAATGAGTATGTCCTTGGGATATTACAGCTGGATATCCTCAACCCCTTTCTTGATTTTGTTTTGAGACACTAACATTGGGCAACCCAAGGATCTCAAAACCATCACGGCCCTCTAGAGCATACCTTCATGTGATGCGTAAGGACTATATCATGCCGCTGAGCGATATCGTCCGAAATGCGGCGTGGGAGGACGCCAGGTCCACCTTCAATAGTCCTTCTCTTATTGGACCTCCTGCTTTGGAAATTTCCATCTACAAAAAAGTCCCGGGGAATAAAAAACGGGTTGATGCTCGTCAGGGAACCATCGATCAAGACCCAGAGTTCATGGCCTTTCTCGAAGGTCTCGCCAATCCAGTGCAGCCAAAAGAGATTACTGACAACGAAGAGGTCGAGGATGCAGCCGAAACTAAAGTCACCACTACCCCATTGATTGAGTATCTTAAGGAGAAGAAGGCAAATAAGCAAAAGGAAGCTGCTTCTGCTAAAAGCGCTAAACACTCTAGAGAGGGCGCAGCAACTAAGGGAAAGTCTACGTCCAAGGAAGAAGATGGCATGAAAAAGAAGAGCAAAGAGAACAAGAGTTCCAAGTCTGAGAAAGCTGCTCCCAAGGAACCTGTTAAAATTCTTACCAAGAAGGCTGCTGCTGCTGAACAATCTGCCGAAGCCGCCAAACCAGCTGCGAGCCAGGCGGCTGCTGCAGAAGCACCAACCCCCAAGAGTCGCCGTGCCGGAGTCTCCATCGCTGCCCGCATGCTGCAGCGAGATCTTGGTCTCAGTCCAGGTAGTGCCTATCGGCGAGCCCGACAAGATGCTGCTAAAGCCGAGTCTGGCTCTAAGGCGGCCACCACCGAAGAGAACAAGGAATCATCCGGGGCGGCAAAGGAGAATCAGCAGCCCTCTGTACCAGTTCCAGCAGAATCTACCAGTACCCAGGCGTCTGCTAAAGCTCAGCAATCGACTAATAGCTCTTCCAAGAGCCAGCAGCCGGCGCGTAAGACTCGCAGTGGTAAAAACGCTGAAAAGACCAAAGTATCGGAAAAATCTGGGCAGGGTGCAACCACTACTCCGCCAGTGATCCTTAAGAAGAAGCCCGCTGCCAATAATGACGCAGATTCACCCAAGGCTGCTGCTGAGGCCGCCTCTGCCACTCAACAAAACAGCTCCAAGTCCACGGCCAATGCGGCAAACGGCCAAAAGGGCGGCTCTGCCAAATCTTCAGCATCGCAAAAGAAATCTGTCGCGGCGTCATCTTCCAACGCCACTCGTGGCTTTGTGAAGCACGCCAATTCTTCTCAGGGCATCACCGAACCTGTGTTGAAGCAAGCCTTGGAGGTATTTGGTACCATTACTTTTATCGAGGTAGATAAGCGCAAGGGCTTCGCGTACGTGGATTTTGCAGACCATTCCGGCCTTGCCAAGGCTATTTCTGCCAGCCCCATTTCCGTTGCACAGGGAACTGTTCAAGTTCTCGAGCGTAAGGATAAGAAACCTGCACCGGCTTCATCTGGTAGCGGCAATGCTGCTGCCGCTGCCACCCCATCCAGCGCCACAAGTAATAATGCTGCTCCTGAGAAGAGCTCAAGCAGCGGACGTGGAAGACGTGGAAGGGGTGGAAAAGGAGCTGCTAATACTGACAGCAATCAACCTGCTTCTACTAACAGTACTCCTATTGCGGCAACGAACGGCGGCTGAGCGATTCGCGACTAATAACCAAATCGACATCTTCCATTATCATTCTGATTTTGATCTCAGCGAACTCGTCAGCGCAGTGAATGTGCTTCCCCTAGTTGGGTTATCTCAAATTGGCTCCGCTGAATCATCTTCCTCATATAACAGGAAAATGGCCAGTGTCCTATCGAATACACCAAAAGCAGCGATCTATATGAGCCTCAACTCCAAACAGCGCACAATATTATCAGCAATTAAAGATTCCGTCACTGAAAGCGCAAAGCAAAACCCCCTTGAATGGGCCCACGCCGCTTTTTTCTACGAGCTGGAACCGGACCATTGAAGCCGTCAAAATTGGGCACAACCTACTGCTCCTGCGACAAATATTTTGGAAACGTCGTTAAAATCCTTTGCTGGGTGATCTCGATTTTTGACTCAAGCGATATATGAATACACACACATATATATCTTGACCAACAGACGCATAGGAGGAGAGATAGACTGTAAAGTAAACTGCAGGTGCATTTTTGGGGGGAGGTAAACTCGCTGGAGATGATGAGCTGCAGCTAGCTATCTATAACGTTAGTTTGGAAACATTGCTATTGCAAACGACAAGTATCTCTCTCGAACCGGCCTATCAATTATGGTCTCTGGGGACAGATGTTTATGTTCGGTGCCAATGCTTAGTATTAATGCCTTACAAGTCACTCGTTTAACGGACCTTTAACGAATTTATAACAGATAGCCAGTTGTTTCCGTGAATGAGTTGAATGTCCACTACGAGTAGATGTAGACCGTGTACGAAAAAGTCCATAGACGAAATAAGGATGCAGACTGTTGTTAGTACCAATTCACAGCTACAAAGGAAGAAGAGCAAAAAAAACAACAATCTGTTGCATTTAATATCATCGTTACCCGCAAGGGACCATTTTTTTATAAATCTATGACTACCTAAGAAGAATTTTTGAAGGTAAAAGGACATCGTAACTTGACCTAACATAACATGACCATGGAAAGAAAGAAATCGGCAAAACGTCATCAAAAATACCCAAAGAAAGAAGGGGAATGTGGTAATAAAGGTGAAAAAAGGGGGAGGGGGAGGTGAAGAAAAGGAGAAGAAGAAGAAGAAGAAAAAGAAGAAAAAGAAGAAGATAATGAAGAGAAGATAGAGAGAAAACGCAAATACAAACAACCCATCCCTCCATCTATCTCATACCATAACGTTACAACACAGCAATATATATCCCACGTAAATCTAATCCAGAGAAAACAAAATACAACAAAACCGCTAATAGAAATCCTACTGCGACGGCCTCGCCTTCCGAAGCGATCCTTCGCAGCCTAGCCTTCAGGTCGCCCACCCATAACACCTGTCCGGCCTCACGCCTTGCTGCCTTCAGCCCAGGAAGCCCATCAAGACTGCGGGTATTGTTGGTCACCTGGTAGTCCAGCATCTGGTTGCCTTGGGTTTTCTTGGTAGCCCAAGTGTCCAGCGTGGGCCGCTGTTCAAAAACAGAAAGCTCATCAAGCTTTTCGCCGTCCTGAACCCCCTCGCGGAGGATTTCATCAACCCCTCTGGCGAGGCCAGTGCCATCTTCAACATCTCCATCAGGGCTATAAAGCCCCTTCTTCACACGTGGTACACCAAATCCACAGCTAGTCTGAGTTTGCCAAATATCACAGAGAATGACGGCGCGAGCTCCATCAAAAATCTCTCGCTTACCTTTGGCAATTTTGCGTATCAGAGCAGCAAAGGCTGGCTGATCCCACTCCACGACCGTAACACGACAGAAGAGTCGTAGGATTCGCGGGGAAGGACCAAAGCTCATAAACATGAGACAGAGGCGTCCGTTTTCGTAAGCATGAGAAATTGTTTCACACCCAGACCCAGTGCGATCAATGTAGGCGCATTGGTTGGGGCCAAGAACAGAAAAGTGCGCATCTTGTCCTTTGGGAGAAACATTGACGCGACGCCCATGGGTAGCAGCTGAGCCGGTGAAAAAGACGGGCTGGAGCTCTGCCCAGCGAGCAAGGTCATCTGAGAGCGAAGGGGAAAGCTTCATCTTGACAAACAGTCGCGGTGTGATGGCGGACCAGTTGTGCTAGCACGAGACACTGGCACCAAACAGAAGGACACCACAACTTACAACGAATTCGATGACAAGTCAATAAAACAATTGATAAGGATAAGATGGGCCGCTGAGTACAACTGGCCGTTGAGAGGAAGAAAAAGTTGTAAGAGGAGAAGAAAAAAAAAAGAAAGAGAAGAGGAAAACCGAAGGAGTAAAAAGCCACAAAAGGGTGGTGTAAGCAGAGGGGAAGGGCGCAACTCAAAACGTCAGGCCTGAAGCCGACATTGGCGACCAAGCAGAAAGCGTCTTAATAGTCATGGCATTTACTGTTGACAGCGTCCCAAGCGGGTCAGGATTGATGTGACTCCATGGGTTGCAGTCAACAAAAAATACCGGTCTCTGGACACAGCTATGCAGCTAATATCCAATCTGCATAGCGCCAAGGAGTAGCCGGGTGGGTAAAAAGCAAAGCGGAGAAAGGACTGGTCCAAGTTCCATTGTTTATGGGCCGAGAGCGGCAGAGGACCGGTTGACATCCCCGCTGAAAATCCCGGTGGCGGAGAAGTGGAACCAGGGCCATGAAGGAAATCTTGTGCGTGGCCGTGTCCAAGGATCAGAGAAAAGCCAAGAAGTAAGGCTGAGGGAGCCAAAGGAAAAACCAACTGGGAGCACCATAATACAGATATAGCAAGGGAAAGGAAATCAAGCCAATCCACCAAACGAAAAGAGCAACTAGGCCCTAGCAACAACCGCTGCTTGCATACCATCCATCGTCTGGACAGCAAGCCATTCTCCGTGTAATCCACAATAGTCTGGCAAGAGCAAGTGGCCCCGAGAGAATGGAATTGATTGTGCATTTATCGGCTGATTGGATAGGCATGATAGTTGCCATCCTCGTAGCCCCCGTCGTCATCGAACACGGCGGCTGTGCTTCCAGCGGCGCTGTAGATACGAGGAGTCATTGGGTTGGTAGCAGTCCGGGAGATGTTGGCATAGGGCGCCTTGTTGACAGGTGTGACAGCAGGCACTTGCGCGTGTCCATTGTGTCCAATGTGTCCGTTGGGTCCGTGGGGTCCGTTGGTGTAACTCCGAGTGGAAGATCCCGAGGCTGACGACGTCCGGCCGGCGGGGCCCCAGCCCTCGATGAAGCTGTTCCGTCGATTTGTGATCGGTGGAGGTGGAGGCGCTGGAGCCGCCGGGGCGGGTGCAGGCGGAACCACACGCCTCTCTTCAAAGCGACGAGAGAGCCGTTCCTTTTCAGCTCTGTGCTCTTTCTTTTCCTTTTCCTTTACATTTTCCTTGTCCCTTTCTTTTTCTTTCTCTCTCTCGCGCTTGTCCTCTCTCTCGCGATCTCGAGACTTTTCCTTGTCTCGAACCCGGCTGCGCTCCTCCCGGCTGCGCTCCTCCCGGCTGCGCTCCTCACGATCCTCCTTGCGCTCCTTCTTGCTGGAGGAGCGAGAGAGCTTGGGACGTTCTGCCATCGACCCTGGCAATCCGTTGGTAGCGTTGTTAGAGAATGGAGGAGGAGCGCTGTTCAGCGCATTGAACTGATGAGACAGGTTGCTGTATTTGGCCTTGAGCTCGGCGTAGTCCTGTGCCAGAGCATCATTCTCAAAGCCGAGCCTGTCGCTTTCTTCCTTACCGCGCTGGATCCTCTCCTGGAGAGAGGCGATGGTGTCTTTCAAGTTCTGGTTCTGAGACTTGAGGTCGGTATTAGTGACGGTAACCTCGGCGAGCTTCTTGTTGGCCTGTTCGAGGAGGCCTAGATAGCGGTCCCTTTCCGAGTTGGTCTTGTTGAGCTCCGTGTGAGCCGTGTTGAGGGAGTCGAGCAGGCGCTGCTCGTAATCGGACGTCGCTGCAAATGGGATTGAGCGATTGGGCACATGTGAGAAATTATGGGTAGACAAACCGTAAGCCGCCGAGTGCGAGACAGAGGCCCTCCGCCCGCCATTGGCGGATACTCGCTGATGGAGCGACATGGCTGGTGATGATGCGATGCAGTAATTTTTTTTTTTTTTCTTCCTTCTCTCTTAGAAGGCGAAGGCGAAAATTGATTCGACTTCTGGAGCCACCGACTGCCCAATCGTAGTGGGATGCAACGCTGCCCAACGCCCGCTGGGAGGGTGGCAGGGGTGCAGAAGCAGAAACGAAACGATGTGGGCGAGCCACAAGCAAGGCGACAGCGACCGAGACCCTTCACGCAAGGTTCATTCGTCAACCCAAGCGCGCTATATGCACCGAAGAGCAGCGGAATATGCACGTCGCAGGAGAAGAAAAAAACAGCTGAGAGAAATGTGTCTCCGAATGCACAAATGCCTATGTGCGTCTGCGAGATCCGCACGCGATGGATGGGGTCGTCCTGGTATGGTAGGCCGGCTCTGCAAGGGCCAGATCGCTGAGTAAATGCTTTCGGATGCTGAAAGCGATGGTGCGCGAGAGTGGAAGAAAGAAGATGAGGAGGAAGAGATGAGTAGGGAGAAAGAAGATCAAGTAGGCAGGGACGAAAGATTTTTTTTTTCCTTTGCAGCCCCCGGCAGAATGCGGAATAATAACGTGGTATTATTATCTCAAGCCCAAGTCTGGTTGCCCGTCAGATGGAAAGCCCGTTCACACACACACTCACACACACAAACACAAAATTGATAACAGAGGTGAGAAAAGGAGAAAAGAGGGGGGGGATGGCTGCAGTCATAAAATAGGAATTTCAAACTGGATGAAGCCGGGGGATCGCTGCCACGGGCACCAATTCCTGCCTGGGGAGGGCTCGCATATGGGCGAAGCCATAACGCCTGGTGTGCGCATAAGAAAGACTCTGTCACCGACGGCCACAGAATGAACACTATCAACACTCGGGACTGCTTTGACGAGTCGAGATGGAGGGTGGCGCCATGTCAGCAAGGTACACACAAGTAGACAGTACGGGCAATCACATCAAAGTCCTAGACGCGCAATCGACACTCGTCGAATAGGCTTTGCCAGCGACTTCTGCTACCGTCCGGTCTCATCCATGCAGCCTCTTTACGGCGTCGCTGGCTCATGTATCTGCTACAACGCCAAGGATGGGAGCGCCAGGCGCCAGTCCACCACTCGCTCACGCAAAAAAGGGGTCGAGACAGAAGCTCCTTTGCGGCGCAGACTCAGCAAGAAGCCCAGCCACGAAAGCGACTGTCCCGGGTCGACGCGATTCTGCGCACACGCCGCCCAGCGATTCCCATTGGCCGCGCATCAGCAGGGCTCATCAAGGCATCGAAGCCGTAGCGGCGGCTGCCTCGAGTCTAACGTCCACAGACACCCCTCCGGCCCTCCATCTTGTGCGCCATGCAGGAAGGCCAGAGGCCTGCGAGCCACAGGAAGCTTTGTCTACGGCCACTTTGAGCCGGCGCTGCAGCCTGCCGCGGCGTGCAGTGTGCTGGCACTGGCACGGGCGAAACGAATCGAAGGCGGGCGATCTCGCATTCACTCAAGTGTGTGAGTCACACCCTTCGGAAATGCAATGTGATGCCAGATGAAGATGCAGATAGATGGCCGTAGAATCACGAGGAACAGCTGCTTGGACGAACAAATGGCTGAGAGGCGTTTCGTTGGTTGGTTTATACTTTGTGCTTGGTCGTCTCTCTGTGTCAGACACTTGTTAGGTAATGGACGACAAACAGATTTCTCTAGAGTGTCTGCCCACCACGCAGCTCCCCACATCCTTTGCTCCGTTTGATACGGGCACCTACTCTACTCGTGCTTGTACCAACGAGGAACGGCCCGAGTCGTGTCGCGTGTGAGCCTTCGGAGCAAGGAGCCGTGATAGCTGATGACGAGAGATTCTGCTGGGGGCCGATGTCTACGAAGAGAATAATAATAAAAAAATGCCGACCACCTGCCCAGAACAAGTCTATGCGGGCATCGTACAGTAAGCTTTGAGGAGAGTTCCGTGTGCTGCCGTCATGTCACCGCCCATGCTCGTATCTGCTCTCTGCCTTGTGTTAGAGCCAAGACATCAAAAGGCAAATCAGACTTTGGAGATGCGCGCTAGGGTGTTGCAGAGATCGGGTCGCAGGCACCTGCAGGCCTATCACGACCACCTCAGCCACATCTACTTACGTCATGAGAAAGAGGAAAAAGAAGTAAAGGCAGAATCTGTATTGTAGAGGATAATAGGCGGGTCAAACATGCAGATAATACACCGCTACATCCGCCAGTCAGCTGGGTGTTGTTCATGCTGATGTGTCTTCTCTGAGCGATTCAAAAGAGAAGAGAAAAGAAAAACCTCAGAATTCGCATGTTCAAAACCAGTCTGTTCAATCAGGTGACGAGAAGTGTCAGGGCAGGTACTACCAGAGACTTTTTGCTGTCATGTAAAGTACAAAAGCCGGACCTCGCTTCTGTTGGGAGGAAGGAGGGCAGAGGAAATAAGACGTACCTACCTGCTACCCAACGGCACCTGAATAAACATAAAACACGCCTCAACAACAAAGAAGCAGCCCGCACATATTCTATCATTTATTATAGTTTAGCTTTTATCACTTTTGTAAGGGCGCGCTCGAGCAGTCGTAGCACAGTACTTACGCAAAGCATCTTCAGGTCTCACGAGTATAGAGACGACAAAGTAGGAGCTAAAGGACTGGCACCCAAAACTACATAAGAATTAGCAATTTTTACTGCCTATTTGGCCTATTCACAGAGAGGAAGAAAAACAAAAGCAATAAGACTTATCAAAGAAAGATGTTTACTTATGAAAAAGCGACACACTGAGAGGATTGTAGGGTAGCCATTTTTGTTTCGCTGGGGGGAAGCCGTAAAAGCAGTAGGTACAATATCAAACAGCCAACATGGTCCTTTGAGATGCTAGTACATCATTTCTGTAACATTGATGCCACGTGCATTGGCACATTGACCCGCATTTGTGCACACAAGAGCCCAACAGCGCATGAGCATAAATAAAAGAACTTGAGATTTCAACTCATCCAAAGCTGCTTACATCAGCTGTCCATACATGCCCAACTATTCTATGCTATTCTGTTACAGTATAGATCCCATCTGATGAACCATGGCAGGGATTTCACTGCCCCACGTCCGAAAGCAAGTGGCTCAATGTTGATGTAAATGGTACAGTATGAATCATAGATGCGGTAACCCTATACGAGCAACATCGCTGGATAAACAGCCCATGTTTCCAGCGTTAGTCAGGATTAAATAGCGTTGCACAACAGTATACAAACGTACTACTACCTGAATATAGTAGGTAGCTCGATTTGAAAAGCCATCCGTTGCAGACCTAGTACGGCAAACGAAGCTTCATCAAGGCAGTAGTAAAGCTTCATGATGAATGGAGAAGATGAAAGATACTTGCTCAGTAGACACAACGCATTGGCCAATCAATCGTCAGCTACTTCCGCTTCCATCCCCAATGCCCTAGCACTTCTTGAACTTGATACTACTGTAGCTAGCGGTCGAGAATCCCTGAAGTCTTGCCGCCTACCGATAGCCAATTCCCTGCGCTGGTTTCTTTGAGAGTGGGCTATAACTGCCCAGGATTGGAGGTTAGCGCCAATCCGTTGTATTGGGCGTGGAGAAGCCTTATTTGATCCTGATAAAGAAGAGCTTACCACATCCATAATAGCAATAAGAACGTTGCATTATTAATAATGGCGATGAAAATACCACCATCTTTTACAAAGCAAAAGACAAAGAATCAACAGCGTCTCAATACATCCTTTTACCGATTCTTGGTCTTGTCAACTCCTTGTAGACTGTTTTCCTATTTCAGCAGAAATACTGGATCAAAGCTACTGCTGCTTATAAGCAACTATTGACTTGATTAGGAAATAGTGCTCGTACGATAGGTAAACTGCATTTGAGTTACTGCCATTGGTTGCGAAAGAGAAAGGAAAATGAAACTACCGTGTTTCTGCAGCCAGACAAAGGGGGGATCATTAATCTCGAGACTTGTCCCAACTCGCAATTGGTATCACGATACTTGTGATATCTATGATATCATCCTTAATCATTATTAGCAGACCCTTCTATATAAAGAGGCAAATGCCTACAATTTGCCGTCCTCCATCAGTCTCTTGATCGGCCATCTCGTAACCAGATCAGCAACCGTCACTTTGCCTTTCTATTTTCCACCTCTCTTCAAGTCATTAGACGACACACAAGAGTCAACCATGCACTTCATCAACATCCTCCTTTCCCTGGCCAGTGCTGCCTCAGCGGCCAGCGCCGCCCCAGTAGCCAGTGCCTCGGGCAGTAATTGTCGAGACAGCGGTGTCTGCGCAGGCATCAACGCCAACCTGAGCTCTGTCATTGCACAACTGAAAGGAATGGACCAGCACCAGCGATTCTCAGACGGAGAGCACATCACCTGCGTCGACGCGAACAGCGAGGGCGGCTCCTCCCTCTGTCTCTCCTACCAGGGCACCGGGCGATCATGGACCGTATTCCAGACTGCCTGGTTTGCGCAGTCGCTGATAGAGAAAGGTTGCCAGGCGTGTGGAAGCCTGTCCCTGGGCTCTGACCGCAAGCATGGAGAGCTGACCTCTAGCGTCATCACCACGCCTGCTGGCGGTCTATGAATCTCTCAAGGTCGTCGCGTGGTGGACACGGTTTAACTGGTTTCAAGATCTGGAAAGCGATGAGGGACGAAGCGATAATAGCAAAGGGGCATACAATCCAGTCCCCTTGTAAGAATCCTGCGAAAAAAAAAAAAAAAGACTCCGTTGCCATTACAGGCAGCCCGCAACGTGTCGCCCTTTTAGCCTAAGTCTCTGTAACCTGATTCGGAGACTTTGGGTCGAACGTCTTTCGGAGGCTTCGGGCTGCTAGCAGCTGAGAGGAAATCTGACGGGGAAGGGAGTTGGGCGTTTGATTCGGAACAAGACGGATTTTACAGGACTGAGAATTGGATCTTTTGCATTGCAGACTGCACGGTCAGCGTTGGGCATTTGGGAAAAGGCGGGTGCAAGAGGCGTTTATGTCATTGCTTCGAAGTTTAGGATTTCAGACGGATGGGCGGTATGGATGGTAGATTTAGTCTCAGTATCCCATTACGATTGCCATGACCCAGACAATAAACGAGTATTGAGCAAGAACATGAAGTCTTCAAGATTCAACTCATGTTGTATCCCCAGCCAGATTTAGACTACAGGCTGTGCCTGGCCTAACATCTCTAGCGGACATGCTGGCGCTGCCGCTAGATGTGCCTAGCGCCACCAGACTAATGCTTAACCCCGTGGCCAACAGAATGGGTGTACTGGATGCCTAAAAGTGGCAATACAAGAAAATAAATATGAGTGAAATACAGTAAAAAAGCTAAAAGAAAAGATGGATCAAGAAAGAAGCGCGAATGTTGTTGACGAGTTGCAAGTTCATACCAGCGGTGCTGTCAATTTTGAAGCCTCAGTGTACAAAATCGTTCTTTGTGCCACTAACCAGCCACACCCGTCATTACAAGCCGATGCCTAAATGAACTGCATCTGTAGAATACCAATAGATTCAACACATGGCTTGTTTTGGCAGTGTGCATGCAAGTCTAGGCCTATCAGGGAGAGAAAAATATAGCAGTGGCATAGTAGAGAATATGACACCGGAAGTTGAAAGAAAAGAAAGAAAGAGTAAAGGACTTCACCATCGCCACCCTCAGCTCAGCCGCTGTTCCTGGCCCCTTGCGCTGTCTCCCGCTCAATCTTCTTTGTTAAACACAATAGCAAAGAACAAGCCAATCAGAACTACCCAACGCATCATTCATTTTAAATCCATGTCAACATACACATCTACATGCATCTATCCGCAACTTGATTAATAAGAAGCCATCAACGCACGTCATCATACTGCGCCAACAGCCTCATTTTTTTTTCTTATCCTGCAGTACGACCCAAGAGAAACGGACCCTCACCCCAAGTGTGAAAAACCAACTTGCACGCATGAATAGGACTTTTTCACACCCCCTCGGGTGCTATTGCCAGGACTTTCCCTCTTTTAGCGTAATTTACCTATTCTAGTATTCTTAACGTGGCGCTCTTTTCCCAGCAAGGCTTTGCAGTATCGCGTGATGACGTAGGTACATGTAGTTTCAAAGCGCTGATAACCAATAAGCTCACATGACGCTTCCAAACGAGCAAAACTTTGAGACTCGGCACCAGCCGGATACATCACGAGGTGTGGGACGATGGTAGATGGATAAATAGTGCCTTTTTTTTTTGTCCCAACACTTTGGCTTTTTATGCTGTGTATTCATGTATCTGTGCTAACTCTAAAAAAGGTAATCTGCAGGCGGTCTGCAGTAACAGCGAATAAAGGGAGCTTCGGTGAATGAAGCCAGAAGAAGTGAATTGCCTCTGATGGTCAAATAAGAAAAAGAAATAGCGAGCGAATGACAGTAGAAAGAAAAAAATATTCATAAATAAGCCATCAAAATGAGAAAGGTAGAAGAAAAAAAAGGGCATTCGTGAATGCCTAAACAAAGCGACAAAGGAGAATGTCATACCCCAAGAGTTCCCAATAGCCCATCATTCATAATAACACAGGACAAAAGAAAAAAAACAGCAAAGACAAGGCTCCAAGTGTGGAGCGCTGTCTGGTCTATGAGCGAGGAAGAACCAAAATACGTCAGTGCAAGCCTTCTACTCTAAGCCAAATCCCTTCACATACCGGAGAATAGATAAAAAAAAAGCCAAAAGTAATACAGCCATAGTAATCTCTCCTGTTGGCAGCATAATCGATGTGATTACACAAGCAACCTCAAGTTTCGCAGACTGGGAAACATAACAACAGAGAGACGTGGTAGAAGATGAGAAATACAGGGACGCAGAAGACTTAGATCATCTCGTTTCGCCGCAGAATGTCTTCATATGCAACCGCCTTCTCCTCGTAGCCCTTCATCTTCTTCGTTCGAGTCTCCATCAGGTCGTAAAGGTCGTTGTAGCGCTTCAGGAGCTCTTTGTAGCGAGCATACCAATGGCGGTAGTGGTATTTCCACGTGTCGGCCTCTGCAACAAGCTCAGACACACGACGGCTGAAGCTCTGGTCGATCTGTCGAGACAGGCTGCGGTTCTTCTCTCGCAGAGTGGCATTCTCCTCTCGGAGTGCTAGATTATCGGCCTCAAACTTGGCAGCCTTGTAACGCAGTCTCTCTTCCTCGCGGTGGTGCTTGGAGGAGCTGTCGCCGGTCTTGTCGATGCTGCGGCGCAGAGCCTCGTTCTCGATGGAGAGCGAGGCAATCTGCTTCTCGAGGCTGGGGACGACAACCACGGCTAGGCGCTTAGCCTCCGCCTGGGACGTGGTCTTGAGGCGGTTGTTCTCGTCCACGACCAACTTGTTGATCTCTTCGAGCTTGCGCTCCTTTTCCACGAGGGAGTTCCATTCGTCGAGGCTGACTTTGACGTAGTCGATCTCGCGGACTCGGTCTTGGTGTCCGGCGTAAGAACGCGATCTCTTGACGGACACAAACTGCTGTCGCCCCTCCGGCGAGGTTTCGACAAACCACCGCTTGGTCATGGTGTCGTTGTCGAAGGTCTTGCTCTTGTAATTCTCCAATGCTGGCTTCGGCGTTCTTGTTTATAGTAGTATCGTATGGGATGTAGAGTGTCGAGTAAGTTGTGTACTTGAGAGTGTTTGGTCGAAGCGATGACGGTCAAGATATTCGACGGTCAGTTGTGTTAACGAAGAAGGATGATAAGTTGTGGATTCAAAAGGTCAAGGAATTCAAATTGATAAAAGTAATATGCTTAGAACAAGAAGATGTTGTCATATGAGTATGGGGTAAGGTAGAGTATATATGCAAAGTGTCTCTGAGATGGCCCCAAGCAGCTTCGGTATGATTGCAGGCTACAGAGCCAAAGCAGCCACTCGGTCAGTCCAGGTGACTAAAAGCAGACAGACACCACACGCTTGTATCCGATATGATGATGGGCCCCCAGCCACAAGCCAAAGGCAGTGAGTCTTCAATAGTGTGGATCTATATAAGCATCCTCCAGAAATAGGACTTTTTCTGTTGGAAGCACATGGAAGAGCACGTCAAAAAATGGCATGGCCTGGGGCGGGAAGACACACCCGATTCACAAAAAGTCGAAATGCAGGGCTTTGCGCAACGGGAGATGACCACCATCAAGAGATGTGGCGTGAGTTAGTGAGGTGGCTTGCGCAGGAAGCCGTCAACCAGGGATGGGGGCGTCAAGTCTGATGAGGGTAGGAGGTTGATAATGACATGGTTGTTCCGAGTTGTGGTGACTTGATGGAAAAGTCCTGGGGAGAAGATGGCAGAGTCCCTATATGAGAAAGAGAAGACGTAGAGCACGAGGCGGAGTCGCCTGACGAGTCACCAGGGATCCGCCATTTTAAAGAGCAAGCAAGCGAGAGAGAGAGAGAGAGAGAGATGTAAAATAAGATTCAATAAAAGCCTGCTAATATTAGAACTGTGCCGTGAAAGAGAGGCAACGTGAAGAAAGGCAGAAAAGAAGACGAGGGACAAAGCAATAGACGGGATCAAGCATCAACAAAGCAGCGTCCAACTCTAGACGCCAGAAGCATCCTTGTTTCTTTCACGAACAAGACGAACTTTTGTCACTTCTGCGCCTAAAAAAAGAGGGTTAAACGGACAGGAGATGGCCAACACATGCTCAACACCAGGTGGCTGCAGCAGACTGGAATAAGCGCGGCATGCCGTGCGTCCAGTGGCGGCCGCAGCGGAGCAGCAGAAGCGACCACTGCAGGCACGCTGCAGCTCTGGGAGGCCCGATCACCGGTATCGATACCTGCAGCGCCCAGCATTGGCCGCGTTCCTGAGGCGATGCCAAAACCCGGCGGCCAGGCCCAGCAGACGGGAGGCAGCTGGAAGGATGAGGGTGGTGGTGTGGAACTGCTGCTAGTAGTACTGCTAGTAGTAGGTGTCTTGGTGCGGAAACGTTCAATGGGACAGGTACTGTAGGGCTGCCAGGCGACGAGCGTGGCTCAGGCGACGCGGCCCGTCCACAGGGAGCGTCAGTTGACCCCCCTCCGCGCCGTGGCGGGCCGGCACTGTGCAGGTGCCCTATTCCGGCAAGGCCTGCAGGCGAGCTGCTGCTCCGACAGGTGCGCCGGCGCCGTTTGCCACTGCGCGGCGCGGGTGCTGCAGGCGGAGCGCGCACTGTGCCCCTACGGCTGGGCGCACTGCAGATGCTTCTGACCTGCATACACGCGCGTCTGGCCTGGCGGACTGACCTCGATGCGCGTGCGACTTTGGGCGGGAGGCCTAGAGGAGGTGCGCTAGCGGAAAGGTAAAATTCTCATCAAGACGCCGGATATGTCATCCACCTTTGAGCCGCATTATTTGCTGCTTGAGCTGCAGCCTGGCTGGCGCTATAGCTGTACGGCATTGATGCTCAACTGTTGATGTGCCTGCGCCACAGCCCATGGCCCCCGCTACCTCATAGACCCGAACATCATTTCCATCGCCTGCTTGACGCTTGGCTCCCGCTTTGTGGCGGTGCTGATGCGAACCAAGCTTGGAGCTGATGGACTATCCGCTATGGCTTGCGCTGGGCGATAGGCAGGGCTTTCTTCCGGCTGCTGAACCTGCATCAGACCTTTATCGAGCCCCCGGGAACATTAAGCGAGCATGCAGAACATGCAGAACATGCTTGTCTCTGGCCCTGGTCTCTTGTTTGCATCTTCACGTGCGAGTACCACTTACAGCCGTTTACAAGCACTAATCAACCAGAGACAAGCATCGTCAGTCCTACTGTCAAAGGCCATAATGGAAAAGAAAGCCCAAAGAAGAAGTCCAGCTAGTCGAATCCGCCTCGCGCTCACATACTAGTAGATTGTCACCAAGACTTCCATGTTACACACACGCATTCATTTTGTACTAGCTCCTCTCCCCGTCCTAACAATCTTCACCACCATGTCACGCTTCAGCGCAAAAAAGAGGCAACCCACACCTCCCACCAACTTCACCCACAACTTGTCGATTTCGTAATGCCCACTGCCATGACTCCATCCACCTCAGGCTATGGCTTGTTTAAGCTAAACCCCCAAGAGACTCGCACGTCACCTTTGGTTCTGTCTCTGCTACGCTCAAGATACGTACCTCTCCAGAGATTGTGTAGTCTTAATATCAGCTCGTCGACGGGACTCACACAGACGCCGAAGACGGCGGCAACCAGCCAATCACGGCGAGGTGGCTGCCTGAGAGCCTTCCCTGAGAGCCTTGTTCTGATCATCAGATTTCCCTTCTTTCATAATCATCATCTTCTTCTTCTTATTTCTTGCCACTTCTTTTGCCTTCTACAACGGGCAGTCCGAAAGTTCTAAACTATTCATGGCCTCGCTCTTTTCAGCAAGACGTACACACACACACACACAAATATTGGATGACATATTCATCACAAGAGCAGCAGACATTGCACAGGTATCAATACCAGCAGGCAGCTATGCGACGGCTTGTTGTTGGTTTCCGTCCTCAGCCAAGACCTACATAATTAGAAACTGTTGGCTGACAAGAAAAAACAGTTCGGTTGGAAGGATTCATTCACTCTTCCCATTACGACTCGCCCCTCTTCTTTAAAGGTATCTAGGACCTGCTCCTTGAATAGGCTTACGAATACGAAAAGATTGTGCTTTTTTGTTTTCCTGCCGTCAATATAGACAAAGATGCCGAGATTCGTAATCGGCTTGTAAGATAAAAAAGTGTTCATCGGGAATGCCGACGTCTGCTGGCATCGTGTTCTAGGCTCTCCAAGGCAGAGCGACATGGCTATTAATAAAAACGATGTAGTAACTAATGAATACCCCTCGCGTTGAGAGGAAGCCGTTTCTAATATAAGGAAATTGGCCCTTTTCCGGCACAAGCCCTCGCATGATGAGAGATTCGTTTCCAACTAGAGAAATCCAGCCCATCTCTTTGCTTTCGGCATAATGCCCTTGTTATTTCCGTTATCATCGGCTGAATATTTCATGGGAAAAAAAAAGACACACCAGATTCAGATCAAGAAGACATCTTTCTCGCAATCAAAACACTTGAGAACCAACGTAAGCAAGGCTGAGTAAAAGTATCATCACAATTTTTGGCAAAAAAACATTCTTGGATTTTTGCTAGCGACAGGAGCAAAACGAAGCCTACGTATACTATGTGCCGGAAAGAACTTTATGAGATGGTAAAAGAGCGAGGCTACGGATAATACTACAGTCATGGGACAAAAGTCTGGAAACGCGAAGCATTAAAAAGGCAACTAACTTTATATGGGCGGATTTTTCTACAATTTTAAAAACATTTATAATCTTAAGATTACAAAATCTAATCATTTCACAATTTAATCATCTTGTTTTTTTCTTAGAATCTTTCTAGAATTATTTATCAATTTTTGAAAATGATGAGATTTGGGTAGAGCTAGTACAGCTTACACATAACTGTACCCTTCTACATCGCCAAAAACCCACGAACAACAAGCTCGGGACACGCATCAAAAAGGTTCAACCCAGAATTCAATATCGTTTATTCTAATCTTCCATATCAAGTATAACCGACTTGCCTGGAATAAAACTCGCTTGTAACCTTTGTAGCTATCCATCTGTGGTATCATAAGTCCTCCCACTTCCCTTCTCTTCCGCCACAAGAGAAAAAATAACAAGAAAAAAGAATAAAAAAAAAAAAGAATCAATATTGCCGCTCCCCTCTCTCTGTGCAAGCTCATGTAAACAAGTAGTACCCATATATACATACACCTTTTCATCATCCCTCTCAAAGACGCTTGAACAGGGCTAAATCAAAATTCGAGAATCCCGAAAACAGCCTCCTGCTATTCTCTCACGATTCAGCTTCTGTCAAGCTTGCTCGTGTAAAATAAAACGACACATGTATATAGGTAGGGCATATATATATACACATTAAAGAAGATATAAAAAAAAAAGAAAATTTAAACCAAACACCAACCGGCTTTTCATAAACGCTTTTCAAACGAACCATCCTCAAAGAGCGCCACGGCTGGAGAAAAATGGGGGAAACCCAACATTGTTCAAACCTGTCATAGCCTTTGACAACACGAATTGACCAATCATTCACGCAGAGCCGAGGTTATGAAGCCAGCGCCTGTGCGACAGCAGCTTGCAACCCTTCTATCAAAGCAGCCTCAGCAGCGGCCTCATCATTCTGAACCGCTACAGCCTCAGACATTGGCGCTTCCGGCGCTGACACAAATTTGTGTAGCTCAGTTTGCGCCGGCGTGGATGGCTGTTGCGGCTGAGGTGAAAAGGTTGGTGCGGGCAAAGGCCGAGGAGGGGTCTGGATGTGCTGGGAGAGCTGAGTCGGCGTTGGTGTTGGTGTGGCCGCAATTGGTGTGGAAGGCGAAGGATGGGATCCCATCCCGTTTGGGAGCTGCATATTGGCAATCGGCGTCTCAGGCCGACTTGGCGTCGATTGCTGTTGCTGTTGTGGGAGTGCTGGTGAATGAGCCGATAGAGCAGGGGGGGAAGACTGCGGCTGTGAATGGTATTGTTGTTGAGGTTGTTGGGGTTGCGATTGCGGCTGAGACGGTGTAAACGTCTGTGTATGTGGCTGGGCTGGAGCCAGAGGTTGTTGAGTAGGTGTTTGTAGTTGAGCTTGTGTCTGGGGATGTTGATGCTGTTGCTGTTGATGCTGTTGTGGTTGTTGCGGTGAAGGCTGTATCGTCTGCGGCGTCGGCGTAGGTGTCTGCATCGGCGTCTGTGTCGGCGTCTGCGGCAGGTGATGAGGCTGTATTTGCGGTTGGGCCTGGGGCCTGGGGACCTGGGGAGGGAGCTGGGTCTGTGGTCGTGGAGGCTGAGGAGCTATCGCCGTTGGCTGTGAAGCAGCGTGTTGTGCTGCTATATGGCTGTCGGGCTTGATTTGCGCCGTGTTGGGTAGAATGATGCCGCCACGGTTCATAGTTGGTGCTATGCTGGCTTGCGGTGTGGCCGTCATCGTCGCCGTGGATGTCGTTTGGTGAAGGTGTGAGGCATGTTGTTGAGCGGAAGATGCTGACTGCGCCGCGCTGGCGGCCTGAGCGGGCGTCACTACACTCTGCCCTACCGCAGCCGCTACGGTAGCTGGTGGTCGGGCTTGATGTTGTTGAAGTTGTCGCTGCTGGTGTTGCTGAAGCTGATGCTGCGGGTGTTGATGGTGTTGCTGTTGTTGAGGTGGGTGTTGCAGTCCTCCGGCCAACGCCATGATGCCCTGCAGCTTGGCCTGCTCTTCCTCAGAGTTTAGTCGTGCCCTCTCCTCGGCCTCCTTTCTGGCCGCTTGGGTGGGAGCACGTGTCTTGAGCTCTCCCGTCACAGCCTGCAAGTAGTACGGCATTTCAGAGTTTGTCTTGAGGAAGAATAGCTTCAAGTTTCGTGCCTTGTCCTTCAGTTGCACTTGCGTGCGATCTTTCAAGATATCAGATATAGTTCCGCTCTGGCCAAACAGGGTGAGGATCTGGCTCCAATGAGGGCCCTTGACCATATCAAGTCCGGCCATGAGCGCCTTTTCCTCCTCCTGGGTCCAAGGTCGTCGAGTAGAGTGGAGGCCTTCTCTCCGCGTATGCGCCGACGACTTGGATAGCGCTGCCTGGCGAGCTTTGTCGTATAAAATGGCGCTAGGAAACGTCTGATTTGGCGGCAGGTTGTCGGGGGTCCCGGCAGGTTGTTGAGGCTGCTGCTCAGGAGGTGGTTGAGCCGAATATGAAGTATAATACGGGTGATGGGATTGGTGTTGATGAAGATGGCTCAGATAAGGTGATTGTGCTGCCATGGTTTCGGCTAATGTAAATTGTGAGTAAACTTGTCTCGATTCAACGATTCAATCGCAAAAAGGGGGCTTACCTGTGCTCTGGGGTACTGTAGGTTGGTAGGGAACAGCAGACAGGCCGTTGAGTGTCGTTTTGACATAATTCGACGTGCTCTCCGCTACCAGTGCCTCCAGCTCCTTGTAATCCGAGATGAGATCTAGCTTGGGAACGCTAGGTTGAGCAGTAGTTGCTGGTGCTGGTGTTGTTGATGTCGCAGCTGGTGGTGCTTCTGGAGCCGGCTCGCCATTGGTAACCTCCACTGGCGTCTCAGTATTCTCAGTCGTCGTAAGAGGCTCTTGCGTAGGCGTCTCTTCAGTCAAGCCAGCCAGCGCATTCTGCACCAGACCAGAGGTTGTCTTTTCGAAGAATGACGAAAGGTCGTCCAGATCCAGTTCACCGTCGCCCGAGCTGCTCGGTATTGCTTCTTGATTCGCAACGTCGCTCAGCAGCGCCGAGATGCCTAGCTTCTCTCCAATCTCCGTCATGGATGCGAGCGTCGTCTTAACATGTGCCGAAAAGCTCTTTAATACATCGCCGGTGGGGAACTTGTCCTTTAGGGCGCCTGGTTCTTTGTCCTTTGTCTCCTCAATAAGAACATCTCTCCGTGATTTGACCGCGGCCAATAATTCTTGCTGAGAAGATGAACTTGGCTCGCCGCCCGTCGCCGTCGGCTCTTCCAAGCCCTCCATCATCTTGGACTGTATAGTCTCTCCTATTAATGATTTGTCTGCGTCCGCTATTAGAAGTGATTCGATCGTCCTGTGCGTCTTGATTCCGAGATAAAGCTGAGAGAGGCCAGGAGACAGCTCTGACAGCTGACATCGAAACACGGCATTGAAATGCGCAACGGCCGCAGCGAACGAATCCAGCCCCCCCTCGACCAACCACGTCCCAAACTTTGCAATGTTGGCCAATTCTAGCAAAGTGCGGGCTTCTGCCTCTTGTATTTCCAGTTCATCGGCCGACAGCACCTGGCCGTCTGAGAAGAGCTGCCACGTCGCATCGAAAGATCGTTTTAACCGGCCGTACGAGCGTCCATAGCCCGAGTCTGCATCTCCCGCCAGCTTCGACATGTCGTCAATGGGCTGCTGAAGCAATATGAGTAGTAATGAAAGCGCCTATGGCAACAATTAGCCTCTTCTGATGAGCGTATGCAGGCCATTGGAAACAACAGGCCAGAGGTAAAGTCGGCGCAGCATCGACATACCAGATTGCCCAGCGCATGCGTATTCGCAATGCGCACGTACTTCTCCGGCTCCGACAAGAACGAGACAGGAGCCGGTCGCGCATCAGTTCCATGCGCGTCATCCACGTCCAAGGGATCGCTGCCATGCGCCTCTTCTGGCTCCACGTTGAATCTGCTGACCAGGTCGCCAACATTGGAAAGCGCATTCTGCACGAGCAGCGCCAGTCCGTCTTCCAGAGAAGACTCTTCTTCCGTGGTAGGGTTCTCCGTCTTGGGCCTCTTGGCCTCTTGCTCAGGCTGCTCGTGATTGTCCTGCGTTACATCCTCGAATGGGCGCTTTGACGCGAGCTCGGCGAGAATGCTAAAGTCGAGGCCCTCGAGGCCTGTCGGTTCGTGCTCGTGTTCTTGCTTGATCTCTGTTCGACCCGAACGATGGAGCCCATACGTCAGCCACGTCTCTTTTGTTGTTCCTCCACCATGATTCGCATTGCCAATGCCAGCATCAAAACCCCCCATTTTCGACCATGCATCATCCATCGTCTTACCTCTCGGAGAGCCGCTGGGCGCTGCTTGTAGCTGCGCCGGCTCAGCCATCTTGCCAATTGCCTCGACCAAGGCTCGTCAGGGGAGCATCTGCAAGTCTCGAGGCCAGTCGACTGCTGAGTTTCGGCGGCAGCACAAAGCAAGTTGGGCGGGGGTCGCGGTGATCGGTTCGGTCGAGGCTCTTTCGCAAACTACAAGATCCAGATGGCGTTCGCAACCGATCAGCCAAATGCGGGATGATGGCGGGCGGTCGGCAGAAATTTTGCTGAGTCAGTCAAGCACCGATGCCCTTATTTCTTGCCCCAAAAAGCAGCTGCTCAGAGATACACAATGGGCACAGACTTGGCGGCCGGAAATTTAATTGAGAGTCGAGAATTCAAAAATGGCCAAAAAGGTTGAGTAGCGGAGCAAGGCTGCCGTGCATCGATAAAAAAAAATCCTTATCCTAGCTTCTAGCCAGTAGCAAAATAGCGTGCAACGGTCACTGTTCGGTTTTTTTTTTTTTTTTAGAGGCGGAATGGCAGAGCACTCATTGGACCGTTTTCGGTCGCTACGATAAGGCTTTGGTGGGTAAAGCCTCTCTTTTTCTCTGCGCCTACGGGAAGTTTATTGTAGAGGGGAAATTTCAGCAGTAGCAGCGCAATTCAGAGGCACTTGCTTAGTTGGCGTCTTACATAAGGCGATGGAGATGTCACTCTGCGTTTACATTGTTCTCTCTATTGTGTATTGCCGAGACATCTTGCCTTCTTTGACGGAATATCCGTCGCCATCTTGTGCAGTGTCTTAATCATGCTATTGCATCTCTTCACCCATGTTCATATTTACCTCATGTCTGGACTTATAGCCTCTGTGTTCAAGTTCTCTTAATACGGCACTCCACTCATCCAGCTCCATATTGCTCTTGCTATCATTCCATCAAAGATGCCATCCTTCTTTCCAATTAATCGTAGTCCATAGTTATGCCAAACATCATTACTTGAGATCCTAGAAAAAGTTAATGCCATGGATGATTTCTTCTCATCGCCATTTCCAAGAAGACGCTACAAAAACAATCCTGCGAATCTCATCATCGCCATTCCTAAAATATCCCTATAAAAGCAACCCTATTATTCAACACAAACACCACAGACATCATGATCGACAAATTCCAATGCCAAACTCACACCCGCACTCCCTGGGGCTCAAACCCCCACCGCTACGACTACCGCCTCCGCTACCTCATGATGGGCCTCCTCTGTGTCTGTGTCTTTGCTATCTTCATCGTCAGCCTCGTCATAACCGGCGACAGTGCCCTAAAAAACTATCAGATTGATCCCTCCGACGACCAAAGTCCCACGACGACGGCTGGGCCGCCTTTTTCAACTCCCTATAACGCCACCGTTACGAACTCTGTGGCAAATATTACCACGTATTACAAGAGCGGCAGGATTACATGAGTCCTACGGATTGAAGTGTTGGAGGGCTTGGAGACAAACAGCTATGCAAGGCAGTATATCCCAAGAGTGGTCACAGGCAAAACAATGGCTAGCACAAAGAGACAATTGAACAACAAGGCTCGTCAACATTAAAGGTATCACAAGAGCACTAAAAATAAGGCCATTGACAGCTGATGTACAACATATCGTCATGAATTAAATATAAACACCGCCATGCCCAGTGACGTGGCACATTTCATGTAAAACATCTCTCCTCCCCAATCATATAAAGTCATAAAAAGAGCATTAAAAGAAGCAACTGTAATGTTTCTGCGTTTCTCTCTCGCCTCGCACCTCCCTCCTCTCGTCTCCTCTCTCCCTCCTTGAGTAGACCAACTGTGCCCTTTTATAAACAAGATGGCACAAACGCAGATAGCTATAGTAGCCAATAGGATTGGCCCAACCTGACCTAAAGAATCATCTTGTTGCTGTAGCCATTTGAAATATTAATAAGCGAAGAAGAAGAAAGCAAGATATTAGATGGGTATCTGATATTAAGTTGGCAATACAAGTCCCTGAGTAACATTGTATGATCCTACAGCAGGATAGCAAAGGCGAGAATAGCACTGACAAGGCCAGCACCAAATACTGTGGGCCGGTTGACCGTAGAAGCTCCCTTTTTGGAGGTTGTCGTAGCTGCGCTTGCGCCAGAAGTGGTGGAAGATCCCGATCCGTCAGTAGCAGTTGATGGCGGAGCTGTGATGGTCATCATACTAGTAACGACACTCCCTGAGCTGTCCGTAACAGTTTCCGCGGTGACGACTGCCGTGAAAGTATCGGTAGGTGTAGATGTGCCTGTGCTCAGAAGCGTCGTGGTGGCCTTGGGGCTCACAGCCAGTACCTGGCCCAAGGTAGGCAGTTTGACATCGCCATCAACTTCCCACCAGCTGCCAGCAGAAGACTTGGGGCAGGCTCGGGTTGAGACACTGTCTGGGTCATAGGCGGATTTTGAAACGCCAGATGGGCTGATGGTCGCCCACTTGGACTTGAGGTTGGGAAAGTCGGGCGACTTGGGCTGAGGAGTGCCCTTGCGCAAAAATCCGCCCTCAACATTGGGGCCAGCAGGTTGGTCGGGAGGGCCATAGGTAATGATGCCGTATGAGTTTTCCTCCTGAATCCATTCGTAGACGATGGAACCGCTCCAGTCATTAACCATCTTTGGGCCAAAAACAGCATCCTGGTCATCCCAGAGGCGAGGGCCGGGAATGATGCATCCAGTCTCGGAGAAGAAGATGGGGACGGGAAAGTCCTTGGCGTACTCCTCAAGCATATTGTAAGTGGACCCAACATAGGTACTGGGGTCGCACCACGAATAAGAGTTGAGGGAAAAGAAGTCGACAATCTCAGACGAGTTGCCACCGCAGGTGAGGTAGTCCTGAAGCGCAGGACGGAGCTCCAGGATATCGGCCGCCGAGTAGCCGACGGGGATCTCACGATAGCCCTGTGCGTCGCGGTAGGCCTTCATGTCGCGGGCGGCAGCCTTGAGATAGGGAGCAGTGGGAGAATCATCTTTAGTAGCAATGTTCTCATTTCCAATGAAGAATCCCAAGATGTTGTCGTACTTTTCAAAGGCGTCCATCACCGCAGCATAGCTTTGGAACTTGTCCTTGTCCCAGTAGTTGTTGTCCTACAGGAACACAGTTAGCTCACAACTCATTTCAAGGACAAGCAGAGAGTGCGCACAGGAAGGATGTAGGTATCAAACGTGTCCAGATCAGCAAGGACGTAAATGCCAGCATCGTCAAATGCCTGCATGCAGCCGTCATGATCCGCAGTGGCATTGACGTGGTAGACGCGAATGGTGTTGGCTCCAAGCTCCGACATGAGGCTGGCATCACGCTTGCACTGGGCAGTATCAATGAGGGGATCCTGAGGGACAAGCTGGTACGCAACGCCTAGAGAGATGATTGGTTAATATGATGCAATAGATTGGACGTGTGTCAATAGTGCAATTCATACCTTTGATGAAAAACTGCGAGCCATCCTTGTTGAAGAACTTGTTGCCCACGACCGAGACGGGATCCAGGGCCACAACCAAGGATTTGGCGCCAGCGAGCACAATGGCAGCAGAAGCCCAACGCATCGTGAGTGATTTCAAAGCAAATTAACGACTTGAAAAGAAAGGCGGTATGGTATCCGAATCGCTGTTCAAAAATCAAAACAACCAAAAAAAAAGAAGTTGTCAATGCCGAATGAAGCGCATGCGAAGAGCAAATCCAAAAAGCCAAAAAAAAAAGAGGTTTTGCAGAGCCTGAGATTGAATAATAAATCTCGTAGTGCACCGCCCAAAAAAATCTCAAAGCGATTCTTTCGATTAAAGGAAAGAAAAGAGAGAGAGAGAGAGAGAGAGGAGAGAGAGTTTGAACGCGGTGCCACAAGAAAAAATCCCCAATGGCGAGCGAAAAGGGGAGCGAGTGAGGAAAGTGACCAGGGCAAGTCAACGAGCGAAGTTTGCAGGCGGTAACTCGAGTTGTTGCTACAGCTGCCCGCCAGTTTCGAAAGAGCGAATGCAAGTGATTGATCAGCAACGACAGACGGTGCTCGATGCAAGAAAGAGCGGCTGGGGGAGGCTTTGGATAGATGTCAATTATCTATCAGGAGAGGCGCAGATCCTCCGCAAAAAAAGAGAGATGCGAGGAAGGAAAGAGGCGAGAAGAAGCTTGACGATAGGATTCGCTGCTTAAAGCACCGTCCACATGCACACGACAGGCTGGGGGAGCATCCATGGCCCCCCATAATTTTGACGGGTTCAATACGCCCTAACTAGAAAAAAAAACAAGGTTGTTGCGGGATCGTATTTTTCACGGTAGCTTGTCGCTCTTTTCTCTCGCTTCCTCTCTTATTGTTCATTTTAGGTTGTTTGACCTCTTGTTGGCTGCCAAAATGCGACTAGCCGTTTCGACAATGAAGGATGTGGAGGCGAGCCTGGAGCTTTAGTGATTTCATGGGGGTCACGAGGCTAGGCCGATGCGAATCTATTTCCTTTTTTTTCCAGGTAGTCCGTGTCTTTTCCTCGTGTTCCCACGCTCGCCAAGCCAAAAAGCAAATTTGCTTCTGCTCTGCTTCGAGGAAGAGGAACCCGAGAGCCGCCGGTAAAGATGGCAATTGTGAAAGAAGAAGATGGAAAAAGCCGCAGCGCGACCAGCATCCCCATGTACAATGGGATCAATGCATGGATCTCATGTCTCAGTGACGTGTCTAAGACCTCATCGCAGCTGCATCATGACATCTTGCATCGCAAAAAAAAAAAAAAAAAAGCACAGCAGGAACAAAAAAGGCGAAGACGCTCCAGTCCCCGCCAGCCAATGGCGGCTCCAAAAGTGCCAGGTCCCAGGAGCAAATCAGGCGCCGCCTCGTATAAGCTGCAATCCCACGCGCTTGGCACTAGACAAGTCTCTTCTACAGCATCCCGTCATCGACTGCTGCTCGGTCCTGCGATATTCCCGCAGCCAGGCACTGTCCAATCGCAGCCGGCGGGACAGGGCAGCCCATGTCTCTCTTATCCAGCCAACCAAGACGCTCAAAGTCCGGGGGTGGCTGCGCTGGTGCAGATTTGCTGCTGCCCCTGACATGAAGCGTGCGGCGCTAAAGCAGTGCTAGCGGTGCCTCATTTCAGAGCGCGGATTCGCGCGTATAAGCCTGTGACGGAATTGCAATGCCATTGATGTTATCAGCCCACCGGTAAGCCTTGTAGCGAAAAGAGAATTTCTTTGGCATTTGCTTTTCACGTGGCGGGCTTGCAGGGCACGGATATGAAGTTGCTCTAAACGGCCATGTGGCTCGGATCATCCCGAAGCGTGCTGACACGATGATCATTTCGGCGATACTTGACTGCATCATTTGCGCCGACTATCAAATACGAGCGTGGTTCATTTGTTGAGTCGCTTGAATTCGCCGAGATTGGAAGCTAGACAGACTACAGCATGCTAGGAAATATATCAGCGGTCTCTTTAGCAGTAATACTGATACTAATCGACAGCTTCAGACATCTGATAAGCATCTATGTGGGCTACACATCAAATGACACAACAGTAATTACTGCCTTTGCTCAATGGCTTAGGGATTTTACAATTTACAAAAGTAGGACATTCGAATCTTGCGTTTTAGTCAATGGTATTGTGGCATTGAGTTAAAAGTTGTTTATATAGCGGTAGATCATTATTGTAGCTCTAGACATCCATCCTCTTTTTATAATGAGATATCAAGAAAAGGACGCCAGCGCCCATTCTCTCTCTTCTCTATTCTCCATCTCATCCCCCCTCCTCACTTCTTCTCAGCAGATCCCTTCCTGCCAATAAACGTCTCCATCCCCTTATCCACACCCGCAACCCTCCTCGCAATCAGCTGCAATCCCACCGGCAGCATGTTATAAACGTCCACCCACCGCGCGTAAAACGGCATCGCCGCGGTAACGCCCTTGCCGCCATCAATCGCCGCCACAATCTCCTTGGTCACGTCCACCGGCTCCACCACGGGCGCGAAGAAGCTGTTGGGCGTCTGCACCCCGTAGAAGAGCGGCGTGCTGAGCTGGCCCGGCGTGACGAGGACGGTGCGGATGTCCGGGTGAGACTCGCGCAGCTCGGCCGTGAGGGACTTGTGGAGGGCCGTGAGGCCGGCCTTTGCGGCGGCGTAGTCGGTGAGCTGCGCGGCGCCCAGGTGGCCGATGACGGAGGAGACGTTGACAATGGTGCCGCCGCGGCCGCCGCGGATGATGGCTGGGAGGAAGGTCTTGAGGCAGTAAAAGGGGCCGAGGAGGTTCGTTGAGATGCTCGTCTCAATCTCGTCGACGGACAGATCGAGCAAGGATTTTCCAATCACAACGGCGGCGTTGTTGATGAGCACAGTAGGTGTTCCGAGCTGTTGGTGAGATTCCCAGTCAGTCACAGTGTATCTTTTTAAAGAGCACAGCATCAAATACTCACATCCTTCTCAATCTCAACCGCAGCCTTGGCCACCTGCGCCTTGTCGCTCACATCGCACTTGTAGTACGTGACGCCCCTCGCCTCGGTGTGCTCCATCTGGTTGACGTCCAGCACGGCCACGCTCGCGCCTCGCATGCCGTAAACCTCGGCAATCAGCATGCCCAAGCCGCTGGCGCCGCCCGTCACGACAATCACCTCCTCGCTCAGGTCCACCTGGCGCGGCGGGCCATGCGCCACGTACTGGTTGACGGCGGCGGCGATCCAGCACAGCGAGATGAAGATGGCCCAGGCAAAGGCCGCAACCATGGGCGGCGCCTCCCACTTGGTCGTCTGGGCGCGCAGGCAGAGCGGGATCAGCCAGCAGATGAAGGGGTGGAAGAGTGTGATGTTGAGGACTTTGAGGAGGAGGTCGACGGAGAGCGGCGCGAACCACGAGTCGCGCTGCGGCGGGCGAGAGTAAACTGAAGGAGGCATTGTGAGGGGCTCCTTTTTGGATGTATCTGGCGATGTCGTTGAAGAGTGAGTGAGGTGAGTTTGAATGAATTGTTGCAGTAGGGGGGATAAAAGGATATCGATAACGATGCTAGAGTGGCCGCAGCGGGAGGGTATCACATGAAAAGTAGCTGTCCCAGTTGAACACCCAAAGAAATATCTATTTAGATAAAATTGCTTGAGAAAAAAATTAAGAGAAGAAAGAAAATATCATTAAGCTTTGAAGAGACAGAAGCAAGAGGGATCAAAGGCACATTTATCTCCCAGAAAAAAAAAAAAGAACATGCCACCTAAAGTGACAATGACCACCTTCATGAAACAGTTTTAGCGCTCCCCCTTGGCGGTTTCGCGACTTACCCCTGGGGGCATCAGCCTTGCACGCCCCGAAATTCCATTGGCCAGACGATGCTCTGAAATCACACTTGAAGATTTTCGAGAGCGGGAAACGGGAGAATTGAGATTTGGTAAGCGGAGATTTTGGGGGGTGAAACGCTCTGGCCCGCGTTTGAGCTTCCTGTGCAAAGAGAAGGTTTTATTTGTTTCACGTTGCGGTGATGGGAGCTTGGATTTCGTTGAGTGCTCTCCTTGTTATGGAGCTCATCTCGTTAATCGTTAACTATTGGAGATGCTGTAAAAGTATGCAGAGTAATGCTGTACAAAATGTCCTGTATGCAAAAATATGTCCATGCTTCAAGTGATGCCGTGATATATACCCAGAGCAGAGTCGAGTCTCGCTATCCATGTCGCCATCGAGTTCACCTCCCGCCAACTCCCTGTTTTTTCGTACACATACAAATCCATCCAATTCATCTCACGAGGCAGGCTGATATATAACCACCATCATGATGCCGTAGTCATACATCACCATCCCTTTGTAAACTCCGTCTTCTTCCTCTTCTTCTTGTCCAAATACGCCCGATACTTGCGATTCTCCTCCTCCTCCCACTCCCTCTCCCGCTGCGACGCCTTCCTGCTCCACTCGTGATAGCCCGGGTCTCGCGCAACGCCCTCGACGCGCCACCTCTGCGGCGGCTTGATGCCCAGCGCGGCCTTTTGCTCCCACACCTGCTTGCCGCGCCGGAACCACCGCTGCTGGCGGTCCTCTTCCTCCAGCGACGACGGCCGCCAGTGGCTCTTGAGGATCCTGCGTATGGCCTCGCTCGAGACCTGGAACTTGTCCGCCAGGGCTTCCGTCGTGTAGGTTTCGGGGAACTGGGCGTTGAGCGCGCGGATGCCGGCGAGGGCGTCTGGGGAGAGGCGTTTGCGCGGCTGCCAGCCGTCGGGGAATTTCTCTTTGAGGGCTGCTTTTTGGAGCTGCCATGCTTCTTGGTTCTTGCGCCTTGATGTGGGAGAAGCGTCTGCGGAATCTGCGGTTGGTGAATCTGTGGGTGTCGATGTGGCTTTTCGCTCTCGTCTTGCTATCGATGTCGTGTCGTGTGAGTCGTCCATCTCGCTGATAGATGACTCTGCGTTATCCGGAGCAATGGCCCTTCGATTCCTATGTCTATCCTTCTTCACCCGTGTTCTTTCAACCGGCTGCTTATCTGTCTCGGCATCTCCACGCAGCGGTGTCTCGCCCATAGCTTTCGTCGTAGCCGCACGTGCATCTTCCACAACTGTGCCCGTTCCCTGCGATTGCAACTCCACCTCTTCAATTCTTTCAGCGGCTACCGCCGTGGCCCCTCCATCCTGTCTGTGAAATTTCGAAGCCTGAAATCCGCGATTCTGTCCAAACGCTGTCACGCGACGATGGCCCGGCCATTGAAACTGCGCTGCCGTAGAAGTTTCCGGTCGATGAATCTGTGCAAGGCCCCGGGCAAACGTCCGCCATGCGGCTATGCGGCACGAGCAACTCATTGTTTGAAAGCAATGTATGCAAAGCACGGCAGAAATGGACAAAGCCGCCTTGTAAAATAAAAAATAAAACAAAAGTCACGGCACTATCCAGAGCAAGGCTGCATGCAAGAGGAAAAATCAATTTGGGTGGGGTTTCGATGTGGGGCTTGCCACACACACTGCAACCTTCTGCGGCGCGAATCTTCAGGGTCTGACAGTCTCAGCGCTAGAAGCAACCATGGATTGCATCAACTATTTGACAAAAAGATCATGATCAAAGATTGGGAAAATAATAATAATAATATAGTTGAATAGTTTGATTCAATTTCACGACTTGATAAAGTCGTGTAATGGCTACTAATATTGTGCCCATCTAAGTAGGTATCCAGCAAACGGCATGTATCTATTCAAAGACGGGAATCTTTCTGTTTTCATCAACCAACTCCCTGCAAAGAAAGAAAAACCAGTAACAAAAAACAATCATCCAAAACTCCAAACCCAGATTAGATTGATACCACGAGAGAAATGTCCACAGGCTCTGTAAACCAATCTAATCATGCATCGTGTGTCCACCAACGCCGACCGAGAACCCTCTTTCTGCTCTCCAAGAGTCAGAAAGTTGAGAGAAAGAAACAAGGAAACAAAGAAAAGTCCATCATGTAACCGCTCATCGTATTAACACCGTCCAGGAATTCATTTACAAGTCGTTCATCAGCTCGACAGGAGGTCGCGCGGTTTGAGCCATGATGGGCTTAGCAGCATCAAGCGGGCTCACGGCAATCGGCTCGTCCGTCATGTCCTCGACAAACACGGCAGGGAGTCCAGGGCTGGTCTGCTCGTCAGGCTTGTAGATCAGAGTCGAGCTACGACTCCGGGTGCCAAAGTGCGGGACGCCGCCGTCGGTTGGGGTAACGGGCGAGTCGTAAATAGGAACTGGGCGGTGGTGCAGCTTAGCCAGAGCATCAGCAAGGTCGTCGGCATGGACCTGCTTGTTGGGCGCATCTTCCATGCGCATCTCCCAGCCGTGGGGAGGGCTCGCGGGCGGTGAGATGAAGAAGAGCTTGCCGGCGTCGGGCAGTTCGAGATGCTCGGGTCTGACCTCAATAGGGGTGGGCTGGCCAAAGTAGAGTCTGATGCGCTCGCCCATGATGGCCTTTCCGTCCCAGATCTGACGAATGGCTAATGAGGAGTCGATGTCGAAGAAGGAGACGATGATGCGACGGAAGGATTTGAGCGGCGCAAACGAGTGGATGGGCGAGACCTTTTCGATGAGGCCGCGGATTTCTTGCAGGTTCTCTGGCAGGAAGATGTCGAGGTTGTTGAGGTTGGTGAAGAGGAGCGTGTTGGACGGAGGAGTGGGTTGGATCAGCGGCGGGAGGTCAGAGAGATCAAGACTGAGATTGGACTTGTTGCGAGAAGAGGTGGAAGATGATCTTGAGGGGCGAGGCGTAGGCTCCATTGTGAAGGAGAGCTGTGTGTGGTTTGTGGTGGTTTGTGTGGTGTGTGGTCGTTTGAGTTGTTATAGCAACGATTGCCGATGATGTCGCGACAGGCTGTATTATAGTAATCAAGTCGTCTTGTAGTTCTGCAGATGTGCTCTTTCGAGTGGATTGGATCTGGATTGCTTGTGATATGAAGCGAGAGAAGAAGCCAGAAACGAAGAGGAGCCACGACTCTTATAAAACGGCCCCCCCAAACTAGAAGGCGGAAAGATTGCAAAAAAGGTTAACAGTTGGCCACGGGACTGAGGCGGTACAGGATTGGCGCAGACGCTGCCGGTGGAGCCGCGACTTGGGGGACCCAGTGCTTAGCGCCTGCGGTCCCCCGTGCAGCGCATTGCAAAACGCACCGATCAAGTGGCTGGTGACTTGTGGTGCTTGCATCTCGCTATCTCACAGCAGCTGTTGGTTTTAGTGGGTGTCCCGGGCCAGGGTTCAGGGAACAGCGGACCAATTCGTAGGAGGGCAGTGCAGCCACTCCACGAGTAATGCTTGCGGGCGAATCTCGCAACTCAACGAGGACGCTTAATTTTTTTTTTCTCGTGGCCAAGGGAAGCAAGTTGCCACCGATTTGCCATGGGGCGCATTGCGTCTTGATTACCTGATTGTTCATGAGCCGGTGGCTAAGACGGTGCCCGTCAGTATCAAAGCCACTGCGCATTATGCGTTTGTTCTGCCGGGGCAGCTTTGTAGGCGCCTAGAAGGAATGGATGTCACATGGCGAGCGGGGGTACATGCGCGCAGTCGGGAGCTCCTTGATCCGGATACTTGCACAATACAGGCTGAAATGGCAGATTCCACGCTTGTCCCCAAAGTACTGCCCAGGTTGCCTTTTGAGAGAGATGCAAGTACTGCGGCCGAAAAGGGAACATGCACCATCTCCCCGCCTTTCCCTTCCGCCAGGGAGCCCATTCGGGGCTGTGCGACGTCGACACGCCGCAGCGGTGCAGCCGAGAACTGAACATTTGGCACTCCGGCTGAGGAATCTGGAATCTGCCAGAACCGCCAGAGCCTTCGCATTGATGCCAAGATGGCTATTGTTTGCTGTTCAGAGATGTGTCCGCCACCCATCCGCCTGTTCCTTGCCTCCGGATTGCCCTCGCCTGCATCAAGAACAATGGTCGCATGGCCTATCTATCCGCCGGGCCTCTCCATCCACATCCAGTAAAACGTGCGACAAGTACCTGCATATCGATGCATGGTCGGAGGTCACGGCGAAAGAGAGACCTCCTCATCAACTCAGCTAGCAGACCCCCGTCTCTTCCCGGGCGCTTAGATGCCTACATGCAAAGCAAGTGCCAATCATGCTTGCTTGAATTTACATGTAGTGAATAAACGTAGCAAAGTACATCCCGGGAGAGGCCAACCATTCGCTCCCCGACCTTTCCTTGCAAACCAAAGCCCCCAAGTTTCTGTAATCAATCCGTGCTCAGATTCCACGCTGCACTGCTGCATAGTCTGATCGCGCCCGCTTTACCCACTTGTTTTGATCCAGGGCGATCAAACACGGCGGCAGTGCATCGTCGAAAAACTTACGTACGGCTCCCCTCTCTGCCATCACGTCCGTAACATGGGCTGTGTCAAGTCATGCCATTCACCTTTGACTGTCATTTTGTGCTCCTCCCTGCTACCTAATCTTTGATATCACCAGTATACGCCTCGTCACTCGCCTGACAATAACTAAGTTTGCTGTGCTGAGCTGTGCTGAGCTGTGCCGTGCCGCGCTGATAATTCCAAGCCCAGCCAAGCCCGAGACTCCCTCCGAGGGAACCTTTGTGCATGGTGCTAGTATGATTGCAGCAGTCTATTCGATCGAGTATCCATCTCGGGGGAAATATCCCTCCCGACAGACTCCATGTCTTTTTGTTCCAAGTGTATAGTGCAGTCGTATCTTCCAAGATAGGCATGTAGCGAAGGCTTACTGTGTTTGTGAAAGTTTGCATGAGCTGCTATCAAGGCTCGCATTCGCTTACTCATTCACTCGTTTTACAATCGCCCGGCCGCCATCCGGGCATTACGTTGAGCTTCGTCTCCTCTCTTTTCACAACATCCGGAAGCGACATGCCCATTACTAAACCCATGTACTCCGTAGAGCTACAATGAGTAATGTCTGTGCCGAAACAAGCCACGAGGCAACCTTAAAAGGGCTGCGTTTCACCTGTCCAGCCCAACGGGATGCCTCACACAACGTCATTCTACCAAAAGACAGCTGACTCATCATCCCCCTACCAAAAACAAGGTCACTTGCGTATTCGAGTCCAGCCACATTTGGAATGCCTCTTGTGGCTCAGCCTCACTCCCTCTCAACAACGTTCAACATGGCATAAGAAGGAACATCGTATGCACAGCAACACCTCATTTCGCTTAATTACCCCCAACAATCCATTGTTCAAAAAAAAAAGTTTTTGCCGACTGTCTAGATTCGTGCCGAACGTGCCGCAGCGCAGCTTCTTTCTCTGCCCTGCCACGTCACCGTCGGCTCCGAATCCAGCCTTGCTCGCTGGAATTCTGGCATCGAGTACAAGCAGGCCGGCATCTGTGCTTGTCAAAGCGGCGAGGCGCAGCAATACCAGTGATTACCCTGTGTGTGCCCTGCTAGGTTGACTACGGGGCACTCGTGGAAGAGTTTTCATCCTTTGCTCACCAATAAACGTGTATTGATTATTCGTATACTCTGTATTGCCGTGTTCATGTAGCGTATTCGGAGTGTGTCCACACAATTGAGGCAAATGAGGTTCAAAATATGGAGTAGATGTTCAAGATATGTGAGACTACTACTAATATAATACAAGGTTGGTTGACAGGCTTGAGTTGGCACGTAACACCCGTCCACGCTTCTCATGTGATACAGAGATACAGACAACCAACACATATCCCGCTTGTTTCGAGATCTCGATTAAGCTCGCCAAGCTCAGCCCGGGACTTGCCCCCCCTCACCCCACGGCTCACTTCTACAGCCTCAATGCTACTCCGACATCAAAGCTTCCACAAGCCATTTTCGCTACGGCGAATTCCTCTTTCGCGCCCCCCTTTTTCCTTACACGTAAGACTAATTGATAGCCTACTGGCCAAGCCTCACTCAGCCCCCTCAATGATATGGAGAAGAAAGCCAAAAGACAGCCTCCCCCTCAAATCATCGCCGGCTGCATTGTCACCCATTCACCGTAGCTCAACGCCAAACTTGTCCACTAGGGCCTTCCTCACCCTCTCATGAAGGTCATTCGTCTCCTTGCCCGTCATTGTGCGCTCGAGATGCCGGTAGACGATGCGGTACGCCACGCTCTTCCGCCCCGTCTTGGGATGGACAAACTCGTCAATGAGGTTGACGCTCTCAACCTCATCGCCCCCAATGCTGCGGACCAGCTCCATCACGTCGTTCTCGTGGAGAATGTCCCTGTCGTTCCCACCAGCCGCAGACGACGTCGAGCGAGTCCAGAAGGACACGTCTCTGGGGCTGGGCGGGTGCTTGGAGAAGGGCACGAAGCGCTTGAGCGTATCCAGATTGGCCGAGACGCCGGTGAATTGAGACAGGAATCTCTTGTCCTCGGACCAGAAAAGCCGAATGTCCGGAATCTTGAACAGCAGCATGGCGATGCGGTCGATGCCGATGCCAAAGGCCCAGCCCAGCTGCGATGGCACGCCGGCGTTGATGTAGAGCTCCTGCTTGACCACGCCACAGCCCAAAACCTCTAGCCAGTCTCCCGCGTAGTACACTTCCAACTCCCATGATGGGCTCGTAAACGGAAAGTATGCCTCTACCCACCGCATCTTCAAGGGCTCGTCCACGAAATCCGGGTCGTCCTTGATTGCCGCTGCCTTTGCCCGCGTAAAGATGTCGACCACCATGTTTTCAAGTGACCTCTTCAGATGCCGTCCCAAAGCCTCAGCCTCTGCCGCCGAGTGATGCGCCTCCTGCAGCGGGTTCCGCTCTGGGTGCATGGGCGGGTTGGGATCCTCCACCACCACGTCGTGCTTTGGCAGGCGTTCAAGATCCTCCAAAACGGCGGCCGCAATGTCTCCGTTGGGCACCTTGTTTCGGTCCCATGACCGGGCACCCTCCATCTGGTGAAAGATTGGGTAGTGGCTGCGGTCGATGGCGTCTCGCCGGTAGACATCCGCCGAGATGAGGTACCCATCGCTCTCGTTGGCCCTAAAGGTATCTGCCTGGTGTGCGCTGGTATGTGTCCTCAGCAGCAGCTTCTCGTTGAGATAATATGTGTCAGTAAGTGCTCGCCCTGGATGATCCGGCGGAAAGCCCAGCGAGTCGAAGTTCTGCTTCGTCGTCACCACGGGGCTGTACTCGTTGTAGTACTTGTATGTCGGCTGGGGGAAGTTGGACTGGATAATCTGCCGGGTGATGTAGACCGGATGGTCAGGCTGAAGATGCAGACGCCTGGAAGTCTTGGAGACGATGTTTGGCGGAACGTTGAACCACGGCTTTGCTGTAGGGTGTGTGTCTCCACGGATAGTGACTGTTGATGCTGCAGTCTCGGATTTGGGTTTAGAGGCTAGAGGTTGATAATAGAAGAAAAAACTGTTATTTCTTGCCTTCTTCTCTTTTTCGCCTTACAACAGGCTACGTGTGGAGTTTGTCTAACCTGCAGAGTAGAAGCGAAAGGCAAATCCCTGTCGCAGCGGGTTTGAGCTCAATGAAGCCTGTCGAGCTCTGAACGAAGGGCCAAGCAAGCAGCGCATGCTTCCCATTCTGGCAGACGCCATTTTGGCAACTATTAGACAAGATGCTCTCTTATTGAGTCATTGAGAGACAGCTGAAACGGGCCCCAAAAATTGCCGAGAGCCAAATCAATCGTGAAAAGCCGTCATCCAGTCTTGTCTCATTGATGAGTTTGGACGACTGAGCTCATGCCATCCCGCCAATGCCCGCTTAAACGCATATGCCCCGAAGTGGGGAAGAGAGAAAAAAGAGAAGAAAAAAGAGAAGAAAAAAAAGCGATACCCTAGAGCTTGGACTTCATAGTCGCATTCTCGTCCGTTGCCTCAACATTAGATGGATTGGCGAGATGGCCGAGTTGGTTATGGCGTCAGGTTAAGGCTACCTTAACAGCAATTCCTGGTGGAGCAATCCGCGTGGGTTCGAGTCCCACTCTCGTCAAATTGTATTTTTGCTATTTCCCATGAAATGGCCTCGATGTGCTTTTTTTTTTTCCCCCGTTCTTTTCTTTATAAAGAATTTCTCATTGCCTAGTAGTGCAATGTTTGCACAGGTAGATTGTGTCTAGATGCTGGGTTCATACGACATGTTGACTTGAATCAGACGCTATATACTATGCATGCTATGCTATGCTATTTGACAACCTACTCCATGAAAATGCTCTCGTATTCTCCTGCTACTTCACCAGTTAAATCTTCAGACATTGTGTCCCAGCAGTCTTGTTGTGAATCACAACTCATGCCTCAACTTTTACCCACTATCAGCTCCATTGCTTCCACCTTTTATAACACCCTATGCTCCAGGCATAATATTTCAACACTCAAAACTCCAGATCAAAAGCCTTCGGCTTGACCAACTGCTTAAAGCTGGTAAGAATCCTGTTTCATCATAGCCTCAAAGACAGCTTCCGGGCTAGACTTCCACAGCGCCTGCGCCCGTGCACAAATCTTGAAATGCTTCAGATATCCCTCTCGCGAGAAGACTTCACTCCAAGGCCTCTCATCAAACAAATCATTATACCCAAACGGAGGATTCAACCCGACGGGCTGCCCATCTTCCGTCCTCTCACAGCCGGCACATGAGATGCCGCTTTCAACCACCTGGGTCTGCGGATCATAGTATGGAAGTTCGCACGACGCCATGAAGTTGTGAACCGGATCCCAACATGGCCTATGCGAATGAGCAGCCCCCGTCTCCAGCCGGTCTCCAAACTCCTTCATGGCGGGGAAATAGGGCACGAGTTTGATTCGATGTTGCTGGTAGGACCTCCTCATCGAATATAAGCCCTCGGTATACAGCCCCGGCAGCGATTGAAACGACCGCTGCTGGCTGACCTCGGTGCGCGAGAGCCGAAACAACCTCCTCACTTCGGCCACCCTCACCATTCTTGTTTCCGGGTCCTCTTCGATGCACTCAAAGCAGCAGCGTATCCACGTGGGCAGGAACACAAAACCGCCAAACTTGCCGCAAAAGGCACAATCCTTGGAGCACAGCACTCGGTAGAAATCCAGCAGCGTGACATGTGTAGCGAGCTTGGTTCGCAGCAGCGCGCAGAACGCTGTCAGGCCATACGATACGGCAGCCTTGTACTCTTTCAGAGAGTCCACAAGCTGGCGGGCCCTGAGGTTGGTCTGGCGGAGGTTGAAGAGCGACTGCATATCCATATGGCGGAGAGTCTGAAACTGCAGCTCCACGGGGAGCTGATCAAAGGCACCGAGTCCCGCCCTGGGAACGATGCTTGATGTCAAAATCGATGACTTGACGACGTAGTGGTCGCTGTGCGAGACACACACAGTCAATATGGCATAGTCCTCTCGACGGTAGCCCGCAACTCTGATGATGGCGTCACTCTGCTCCCGCTGGAGCGCGTCGTATGGCGATTCGTGATGCGGACGCGAGACGACTTCCAGGCCAACCGAAGCCATCTCTGGCCAGAGTCGTCGCGTGCCTTGTTTTTTTTTTTTTTTAATATCTCGACGCCCTCTTGTGCCACGCCCTCCCTCACTCAAGTCACCTCATTCATGCAATATGCGGAGCCCGGTTCACAATTCACAGCAACGTAAGCATAATCACGAAATAAGCGGAGCAGCAACACGCGTAGCGAATGAAGATTGCCGAGCGCCGGAGGAAGAAAAAGTAGATGCAAAGAGTATGGATGAATGAGGAGAACGAACGGTGAAGGGCGGTCCGACAGCCGTCATGCGATTTTGATGTCTTGTCCTGGTCTCTTTGGGAACCCCCGCCAGCCGCTCAATTCACCGACTAATAGCCTATGCTGTAGTTCGCATGTAACAGCCGCAGAAAAAAAAAAAAAGTCCGGCTGTGCTGCTGCTGCACCCTTGGATACGTAATAACGCAGCAAAAACATGCAATGCTCTTCGCCTATCAAAAGGGAAAAGAAGAGCAGAACTTGACAGGTTACAAGACAGGACAGTAGACCTGTCAGCCCAGCCCAATCCAATCCACTCCAATTACAGCACATGCATGGCCCTGTAAATTATGCCGCCGATTTGCGCAGCTCGCCAGCTCTGACCGCCTTTCGGCCCGGCGCGGCAGTCCGCTCCGAGAGAACGAGACGCTGTCAACGGACGGAAAAGCTGCAGAAAAATTAGCCGATCGCGATAAGAAAAACCAACGGGGGCTGATAAAGGCCGTCTGTCAAGTGCGAAGTACGGAGCATCAGCAGCCAGACCCAGAAATCAACGGCCGACGACGCTGATCTTTTGTGATTGGTCTCTTTTTTTTTCTCCGTCATACATGCATATCGTCAACTCTTTTCTCTCTCATCTTCAATAGCCTTTTAACACGGCTCTCGCTTTTCGAAGCTTTCGTCTGTCGGTGCACCGGTCGTCCTCTTCTTATTCTCTCTCTCTCTCTTTCTTCACATCTCTTCTAAACTCCGTCCTCATCTCTCTTTCCGAATCTCGGATATCGTGGGAATACCAAAAGAAAAAAAAAAGGCGGGACAGGGGAAAAAGCTCTTTTGTCGAGATTCGAGAAATAAATAAATCTTTGTTTCTTTGCTCAATTTTTTTTTTTTTTTTGAATGCTTCCCTCCGACGGAATGTCCCCGTAGTTTCCCTCGTCGTCGTCCGTCTCCTCTGCAGCAACCCTCTTGACAGACAACGCTTCTGGTGTTGCGCGCAACTTGGCCCAAGATGACCTCAGCAACTCAAGCCGCCTCCTCGGCTCAGCTTCATGCCGGCGAGAAGAAGCAGAAGACGAAGCAGAGGGCGCCGGCCATGCGGTATCCCTTTTGGTTTGGAGGCAGCGCAAGTAGTATGGCGGCTTGCGTCACACATCCATTGGACTTGAGTATGTTGCGACTTCTCTCTTATCTTGAACTCTCCCATGTCAATATCGCGCCCTTTTAACTCCGTACTGACCAAGTTATATATAGTCAAGGTACGCAGTGTTTGATATGATGGCAACAAGGATTGCGCCAGTGTTTTTCGACGCCAAGGACTCCCATCGCAATGGCACAATCCCGAATTGGACATTCTCTTAATAAGCAATCCAACGTCCCATCGTCTCTAACTCCATAACCCCCCAGGTCCGCCTCCAAACGCGCAAACCCGACGCCCCCAAATCCATGGGCGGCACCTTTGCCCACGTCCTCAAGAACGATGGCCCCCTCGGCCTCTACAGCGGCATCTCGGCCTCGCTGCTCCGCCAGCTCACCTACTCGACCGCCCGCTTCGGCATCTACGAGGAGATCAAGGCGCGCTACATGCGCTCCCACGACGGCAAGGAGCCCTCGTTCCCCGCGCTCATCGGCATGGCCATGGCCTCAGGCTTCGTCGGCGGCATCGCCGGTAACTTCGCCGATGTCATCAACGTGCGCATGCAGCACGACGCCGCGCTGCCGCCCGCCGAGCGCCGCAACTACAAGCACGCCGTCGACGGCATGGTGCGCATGGCCAGGGAGGAGGGCGCCCTGAGCTGGTTCCGCGGCTGGCTGCCCAATAGCTGTCGCGCGGCGGTCATGACGGCCGGGCAGCTGGCCTCGTACGATACCTTTAAGCGCCTGCTGCTGGACTACACCCCCATGGGCGATAACCTCACAACGCACTTTACGGCTTCGTTCCTGGCTGGCCTGGCTGCGGCGACGGCAACGAGTCCAATTGATGTCATCAAGACGCGTGTCATGTCCACGTCGCATAAGCAGGGCATCCTCCATCTGATAAGTGACATCAACAGAGCCGAGGGCATCCGCTGGATGTTCAAGGGCTGGGTCCCCAGCTTCTTGCGACTTGGCCCGTAAGTTGATATATCTCGAATCCACACCACCTTGGTCTGAAACCTCACTAATGTCAAAATCTTCGGTAGACACACCATCTGTACATTCGTCTTCCTAGAGATGCATCGCAACGTTTATAGAAAAGTAAAAGGCGTGGACGAAAAGGCGACATAGATTGATCAATAGGTGGAAGAAGAAGAAAAAAACACATCTTGGATAAGGGGGAAACAGGAAATACATAAAAACTTTCTCAGGGAGTGGTTGATGGGAACTTGTATAGAACGTGGCGGCGTTTTGTTAGACTATTGGGCGACTTGCTTTTCTATTTTCTCGATTTGCATACTCTTGTAACATTTTTTTCTCATGTGTCATTTATATCAGACATATACATAGCTATGTAAACACCAATAGCAGAGGGGCCATGTTGCTCTCTCATGTCCTAGTATTTTCCAGCATAATCTCCGCATATGGATACAACGATAGATCGGTAGAATGAATGAAGAAAAGAACATGATATGCAAATAGTGTGATATTATTTTCTCCGAAACGTCTGCTTTATGTTTTCCCCCCCTTTCTACTTTTGAGAAGAAGATTTTGCACTCACCTCTCTTAACTATTAACGCTGTCGATCCCAAAATATTGTACAATCCAGAAGCGTGAAAAAAATAAATAAAAACTCATCCTTGCTTTATGCGAGAGTTGACAAAAAAAGAAAAGTCCCAGTCATCCCATTCAAACGCCTCCCCCCTGATCCGTTTACTGCCAAGAGCTGCCTTGGCTATAAGGTCCTGAGCTGTATCCGCCGCTACCCGACCCGGCCGCCGAGCCGCCATATGATGTCGAGCTGCCGCCGTATGCCGTACCGCTTCCATAGGCGGTTGCGCTGCCACCGTATGAGGTGCCTCCGCCGTATGCCGTATTACCACCTCCATACGCCGTGTTGTTTCCGTAAGGAGTTGTGTATCCGCCATCCTGCCCCCACGGTGTAGTGCCGCCGTCCATGTTCATATCCGGACTCCGAGGGCCGTCCATGTCGGCATCGTCGCCGCCATACTTTCTTGGGTCGAGGCCCTTTAATAGCCCTCCAATCTTCTGCTGCAAAACGCGAATACCCCCCTGGATGATCAAATCCGGCTCCATGGTTCCCGACGCTTCGACCTCGAAGTAGAATCGATTCGGCACAGCATCGTAGCTAAAGGGCTCGCCCTCTTGGAGGGGTTCTTCCCACTGAGCATATTTACTCTTTGGCCTGGAGCACACATTACGTTAGATTGATACTCTCAACTTACCTTTTCCTCGGAGAGAGAGAGAGGGCATGCGCTTACCATTCCTTCTCTGGATCAGTGTTGTTTTCAAACCACATGTCAAGATGGTGCAGCTTGTTGTGAGGATCGTACTCAAAGCCAACCGCCGACGTAGGCATCCACTTTGCATGTTCCTTTGCAATTCCCTTCTTCGCAATGCACGTAATCTTCAGCTCTTGACCCTTCCGCAGCTTAGCAATCAAGCACCCCAGGCCCTCCGGATCCGTAATGACGGCGTTTCCGACAGAGCCCGCATGTCGTCCATCCACCACCAAATCTCGCGCATAGACCTTCATGATCTCGTCGCTGGTGCATTTGGCGTGAAGAGTGAGGCTGACGGAGCAGTGCTCGCAGTACTGTTCGCAGTCGCAGTCACGGGAGTAGTTGAGCTCGTTGACGCCCTTGGAGTCGAGGGGGATCAGGCCCAGTCGGTGTGCGATGAACTCGTCGGCCAGCACAGAGCTGTTGACCTCGATTTCTACCAGATCGATGGCGATTGTCGGTACTTCGGCCTGGATGATTCGTCGCAGGGCGTTGGCAAAGGGCAGGTTCGTTCTTGAGAGCTCAAAGTCCACGCGCGTGCTATCGGCCTATGGTGCAAGCAAACATGCAAATGTCAGAAGATTTATCCATCAAGAGAATTGTGCCCTGGCAGCATATATTCCTCATACCGCTGAAATCTTGACCTGGGGCTGCTCCGGCTCCCCATCCATAGCCATCGGATCATAGTGCAAGGCATCCATCTTTAGAGAAGAAGAAGAAAAGCTAGCCCAGCTCCGGAGGCGCGCGCGAGAGAGGATAGCTGAAAAATTCGGTCCTTGCTCTCAAAAATTCCTCACTGCAACAATAAGAATATGGGAAAAGGGGGGAGGGGATTGCAGTGTTTCTTTAAGTAACTCTGATAGACGTTTGGCGTGAGAGAAAGTGAAGGAAAGATGAGCCAGCAAAGTCTCCAATGCGCTCCACGCACCGCTAGAACCCCTGCAGCAGCGAGCGCGCGCCACCCGTATCGATTAAAGAAGCACACAAGCTTTCGAACCGGATCATTAGTAATTCCACGTCTTATCGGACACCATGCTAAGCTTTGCGATAACGAAAAAAAATCTCCCCGCGAAAACACCAAACACTCGATATCGGAATAGTGGTAGACGCATATACCACTTTAAAACCAAGATCCCCAACAACTCTCCAAAAGTTTCAATTGATACAGCCGACAATCACCCAAAGTAGAGAACAGAGAAGCAAACCCCACAATGAAGATCAAAGCCATCAGCCGGTCCGTATCGGCCCAGCAGCCCCCCGGCACCGACACCGTCAAGCAGCCCCGGAACCTCGACTCGGCCATCCACCCCTTCGAGCGCGCCCGCGAGTACAAGCGCGCCCTCAACGCCGTCAAGCTCGAGCGCATGCACGCCGCGCCCTTCATCGGCCAGCTGGGCCGCGGCCACGTCGACGGCGTCTACTCCATCGCAAAGGACCCCAACGCGCTCGAGCGCTTCTCCAGCGGTAGCGGCGACGGCGTCGTCAAGGTCTGGGATCTGACAAGTCGAGAGGAAATCTGGCACGCCACAGCGCATGAGAACATTGTCAAGGGCCTCGAGTGGACGCGCGACCAGAAGCTGCTGACCTGCGCTGCGGACCGCTCCATCAAGCTCTTCGACCCGTACAATCTGCCCAGCGAGTCGGCGCCCATCTCATCGTGGCTCGGCTCCGGCGCCTTCACGAGTCTCTCGCACCACCGCTCGCGCAACGCCTTCGCCGCCGCGTCGAGCGTAATCTCCATCTACGACCTCGAGCGCCACACCGCCGCGCCCGAGGTCCTGCACTGGCCCACCGCCACCGACACAATCACAAACGTCGCCTTCAACCACGTCGAGACGTCCGTCCTAGCCTCGTGCTCCAACGACCGCTCCATTGTCATCTACGACCTGCGCACCTCCACGCCCGTCGCAAAGTCCGTCCTCACCTTTGCCTGCAACCGCATCGCCTGGTCGCCCATGGAGGCCTTCAACTTCGCCGCCGCCTCCGAGGACCACAATGTCTACCTCTTCGACATGCGCAAGATTGACCGTGCGCGCAACGTCCTCAAGGGCCACGTCGCCGCTGTAATGGACGTCGAGTTCTCCCCCACCGGTGAGGAGCTCGTCACCGCCTCCTGGGACCGCACCGTGCGCCTGTGGGAGCGCGACCGCGGCCACGCCCGCGACGTCTACCACACCAAGCGCATGCAGCGCGTCATGTCCGCCAAGTGGACGCCCGACGCAAAGTACGTCCTGTCCGGCTCCGACGACGGCAACGTGCGCATCTGGCGCGCAAACGCCTCCCAGCGCCAGGGCATCAAGTCGGCCCGCCACCGCCAGGCCCTCGAGTACAACGATGCCCTCGTTAAGCGCTTCGGACACATGCCCGAGATCAACCGCATCAAGCGCCACCGTCACCTGCCAAAGGTCATCAAGAAGGCCGGCGAGATCAAGAACGAGGAGCTCAAGTCCATCAAGCGAAAGGAGGAGAACGAGCGGAAGCACTCGAGCAAGCAGTTCCAAGCACGCAAGGGCGAGAGAGAAAAGATGGTGCTGGCTCGAGAAAAGTAAAAAAAGACAGAAAGGTTGCTGGGTTATTGGGACAGTGGTTACTGTTTGCTTGTCAAGGGTTTTTATACCAAAACGTAAAAAAGGGAGACCTTACGGTAGTTGCATGGCACGGCGTTCAGGATTTAAAAAGGGGGTTATTGCTTTGTTCTACGAGATACATAATGGACTGGACTTTTGTAGCATCATATTTGCCAGTAGCACTGACGAATCAAAAGATTATTCGTTAAAAGATATAGCAAGACAGGCGCAATCATTATCATAAAATTTCTCTTCAAGTCAAGCAGTCAATTCTGTGATGAAAATACTATATCGCCTCTTCATTCGAGAGACAAGCTAAATCTATCTCAACTAGACGCGAAGAAAAAACGACATCTTCCAATACTTTTCGTTCTGTGCTTGAAAAGAGAAGAACAAACAAACATGAAAGACAAAAGGTACGCAACTTTTTTCCCCATCTAGTCTTCATCGTAGAAAGTAACAAAAGTCGGCATCCGAAATCCGACAGAGAGAAGAAGAAGAAAGCAACAAAAATCAAGTCCATAAGCCGGCTAAAGTACCACATTTCCTTCGTTCCTGATTACCTCCCCTTAAACGCCACGGAGCTTGCCTAACATGAATCAAGGCAGTTAAAAGAAAAAGAAGAAAAGTGACAAAAGAAAGGAAAAAAAGACAAATAGCAAGGCATTTTCAATGCCCCCCAATGCAAAGGCAGACTTGTGCCCACCCGTGATCAACGGCTACTCTTCCTCATCCTCTGCCTGAAGAATGAAAGAGCTGCAGTTGTTCGTGTTATGCTTGTGTGTCCTGTTTCTCCCTGAATTAATGTGTCCATTCCCCTGTAAGCATCGCGATCCTTCCGCGTGTGCCGTTCCAACGCCAAGATTTGTTTCCGTTAATATTGTACAGCTAATGCATTGCCTGGCCTGCTTATCCCGGCGGATATCTTAAGAGACAGTAAAGAAAAAAAAAAAAGAAAAAAAAAAAAAGATGGAGAATGGAGGATAAAAGTGACCACACAAAATAGAAGCCATCAGACGGTGCCTCTAGCAGCCTTCTGAGGCCTGTAATTGGGAAGCTCCTCGAACCAGCCTCGCACGTCGTTATAGCGGTAGGCATGGAAGGCAATACCGTAAGGCTTGGGCTCGATCGAATAAAGCATGCCCAAAGGCACATCCATATCGGTAATGTCCTCTCGCGTCAGGTCCATGAAGTAGGCCATCAGGACGCGGCAGACGGACCGGTGCCCAATGATGAGAACGTGGTCTGTGATGCGCTCAATCTCCCGCACCATGTCGCGAAGGCGGCTGATAACCTGGAGGTACCCCTCGCCACCAACACCCGGGTAGATATAATTAAGCTTATCCTGGGCACGCTTCTTGAACTCCTCGGGGCACTTTTGCGCAATCTCCTTATAAGTCATTCCCTCAAATTGGCCAGAGTTGAGCTCGTTTAGCATTTCCCAGTTCTTGACGTCGTAGTCGTCGTCGACATCAAAGTACTCGGCTGTCTCTACGCTGCGTTGCAGCATTGACGTCCAGACGCAGAAGTTCTTGTCGTCGACATCGCTGTACATGTCGGGGTAAGGGGGAGTGTTGTCGCCAGGAAGAGGGGGAAATGTCGCCTGCGCCATCTTGCTCTTCTGCTCTATGATCCACTCCTTTCGCTTCTGTGTGATGAAGCGATGAAGAGCCTGGGCGTAGTAGTGGCCTTTCTCGGTAAGAGGCGCGTCACCACCTAATCTGCCCAGCTCATTGTCGAGGCTCTGGCCGTGTCTGGTGATCCAAATTTGTCGGGGGGCGAGATTGAAGCTCGAGAGGTAGGTGCTAAGCCCACCGCTTAAGAATCCCTTGAGCCTGTGCTGAATCAGCTTTCGGCCGACATCAACCATCTACAAGACCGCGTTAGCCACATGCTGGAATAAAAAGAAAGAAGACAAAAAAAAAGAAAAAGAAAATATTGTTGTGACAGCTTACCTGAATGTACTGCATATCGTGCTCTTCCTCGTAGTCTCCGAGGGGCTGGTATGCGCTGGCGTAGGCGGCCACTCGAGCCTTGAAGTCCTCCAGCGACTTGATGGGGTCTCTATCCCGATAATCCGGGCCAGAAAGCTTCAGGCGCATGTTTGCCTCAAGCAGGTCTTTATCATGACAAATGCTCTCAATGAACAGAATGCCAAGTTTGGGTTCTCTCTGCTTGATGTGGTCAACCACATGCTGCCTTCGCGCAATCGTGCTGTTGGTGGCATCAAGAATGCCAACCGCACCGCCCTCATTCAAGAGGTAGTCTAACAACTCGTCCAAGGTGTCCATTGCCACCTGCTCTCTCATGGCTGCTGCCTTTTCGTTCTTGGGATCGAAGAAAAGCGCCGATTGATCAGCCTCCTTCTGCTCGTCGATGGCTTGATTTAGATCAAACTCAGTAGGCTCGTCTCGGCCTCGGGGGCTCAAGCCGTCGCTGGGAGCCGGGAAGCCATTCAGCAAAATCTCGGCGGCCTGAACAGGAGGGTCAAGGCAATCGGGTTCTGGGGCCAGCTTGGGGTGGATTGAGACTTTGCGACCGGCCGTCTTGCGTCGTCGGTTACCCACGTTGAAGATGCGCGATTCATGCTGCTGCCAAGTCAGGTAGCGCTGCAGCTTCTTTGTGATGTAAGATTTTCCACGGGCGGGCAGGCCGACCATGACAATGACAAGCTTGGCTGCCACATCGCGCTGGGGGATTCGTCCGTCGGGAGAGACCTTGGACCTGGTCATGCCCGGAATATTGAGCGTCGTCGCATGGGGCCGAACTCGCGGAGTCTGGCTGCCAGAGTTCTGTCGCTGGGGAGGACTATCATCCCAAATGCCAATTAGTTAGTTGCCGTTATCGCACAAACGATATGATAAGAGATTGCGATAGTAGTAGTCAAATAATGAATGATGCATGGAAGACGTCAAGAGGGAAGAAGAAATATGCGGGGTGACGGCATTTCTGAGCACTCACATTCGCGGCGAGCTGGGCGCAGTCGACGTGACGCTTCTCGAGTACGGAGGCGTGTCCGTCAGGTCGTTCATGATGCGCACGGCATTGGCCATGGATGGTATCGGAGCTTGGAGAGGGCCGTAGACATCTTTGGTGGGGGGCGGCAGCACAGCCAGTTGGTGGGGATGCTGCTCCAGCTCGGGGGACGTGGGCGACGTCGACGAGGGAGAAGTAGAAGGAGGCGACGGCGGAGATGCGAAGAGCTGGTTGTTCATGACCAGTTTGGCGAGTGCCGATTGCTTTGCGAGTCGTCGGCCAGCGTCTGTTTGCGGCGAGGGGCAGGTGAGTAAGTAGGTAGAGGCGCAAAGAAAAAAAAAATAGAGAGCGGGATGAAAGAGGGCCGAAAAAGAGATGATTGAAGAAGGTGGGTAGATCTAAGAAAAGGAAAAAGGAAAAATGGAGCTTTGAGATAAAGACTTCCCGTCGATGGGGATTGAGTGCGCAGTGACGAAAAAGTGAGGACTGGGCTACACACCTTCTCTTCGAAACGATATTGCGGAAGGCATCTGGAGAGTTGCAAGATCAAGGTTGGCGGCCAGATGCCGGTGTTTTGACGCAAACGTCGGGGGAGGCGAACCAGGAAGGCGGCTCGCACTCGCAGGAAAATTAATGGCCTGCAGCATGTGTGCGTCCAATGGCGTGTTAGCGTTCTGCGAGACCGGCTCGTGGGTGGACGAGTGGGCTGGAGCGCCTGGAAGGGGTGGCTGAGGTTAGCGGGCCAGGGCCCTGGGGAGCCTGCGATTTGGGGGGGGTGCTCGGGGTGTCAGCGACCGCTCCAGGGAGTAGCCCAGTGAAGCGACAGCGCGTGGCGACGGGGGCCGGTGCTGCGAGCCGCAGGTAGCGGTACTTTGCGGTTGGGGGTTTGGGGCGTGCGCGCTGGGGACCCGAGTTGGAGGTTGTAGCGGGTGGTGATGCCTGTCGCAGCAGGAATGGCAGTCTGACAGCGGAGCCAGGTACTGGTACGGTTGCAGGTACCGGTACTTGGCACTGTCTGTTGGGGTGGAGCTGGTTGGCACTTTTTGGTCGAATCCGGTGCGAGCAGCAGATCGTTGCCCTCTTTAACAGGGAAGATAAGCTGGCACTAGACGAGACACGGGCGTGGGAAGGGAGACTGAGCGAGATGCTGCAATATATGGCCAGGTCGTCGTTGAGGGCCAAGCAAGCGGTGATGCTGGTAGCAACAGCAAACGAGAAGAATTATATAAATATTGCCAGACCTGTGTGATGAAGACGGTTAGCATCATGTCGCTACTTGTGTGCATGAAATTGAATTAATAAGAAGCCCAAAGATAAGCTGGGATCCATAATAGGGCAGCGGGCTCGCCTCATACAACAAAATCGCCAGCCAGCCCACAATAAAACAGCAAAAACACGGGTGATGGATCAGGTGTGAGTGGGAGCCAACATACGTCAGAAGCCCGTTATATGGCCACCAGGAAAGGAGTGTTTGACGACCGAGGAGACGGGATTGCTCCTAAATTTGGGTGTTTCGACAATACGAAGCCGAGCCGCCAGCCTCAGATATGGATGAAATAAGGTGAGGTGAGGTAAGGTGAGGTGACGTTCCAGGTTCGTGGTTCGCCCAGCTGATGGGTCGGAGATATATTGGGAGCAACGGGCCGGCCGGTACCTGACTGAGCTGGTCGATCGACGATGATGGCGTGAAGTAGATACGGCAGGCAAAAGGAGCGAATGGAAATGAAAAGGCCTATCAGGGCAAACCTTGGATACGGGACAAGAAGCCTGTGAAGCCCCGAGACAGACACCGAAGTATACCTCTAGTATAGAGGGGATCGATTGGTTGGTTGTAAGTCGAGCTTGAAGTATCAACTCTCAAGCAGCCTCCTCGTTCAACGAGATGCAGAATGAAAGTAAGAGTAGGGTGAAGAGGAGTCCGTGGTCCAGCAGACAGGGCAGCATCGACGGGGAGAAGCAGAGCAGGGCTTTATACAATATGTACGGCCCAGATGACTCTCGAGCCCCCCCAAAAGGGCACCAAGCTGGCTACAGAGCGACTCACTTGGCGGTCCCAACTCCGTGCATACATACTGTACATCCATCCATACCTGTAAACACACATGTACCATCGTGGATCATGGAGCTCCGGATGTACCACGGCGCACTCAAAGGCCCAGTCCAGCCCACTCTACTCTGCTCGTACATACTACTGCCTACATGTAAGACCGACCTGCCAGTACCGTCCACCACTCTTTTCTCCATCGGACATATCTCTCTCTCTCCCCTCCACATCCCACATCCCATCTCCATCTCGCATCTCTCATACCAAGGGCGTCTCTCGCAGAGCGTGTGGGCAGCAGCAGTCCGTCCTAAACTGCTTTGGCCCACGCCTGCAGCCACAAAGCCACCGCGGAACAAGCGGCCCTAGTAGCAAAAACAGAAGAAAGTAGAAACGCTTCTTTTTCCATCTTCACTCCATTAAGCACCGAAACCCTCCGTGGCGCCTTTAGTGGCCCTGTAGACTGAATGAATTCTGGGTCTCTGTGATCGGACTCGCGCCGAGAGATGGCCGGTCCCTTGAGGGCGTGCTTCCTGGGGGGCGTGTATCCTGGTTTTCGATGGCTGTTGCAATCTCCCGCTACCCGCTGCTATTACAGCAGGCCTATGGCATGGCATGTCCCTACTACAGTGTAGGTGCTGGTTGGTGATGGTCGTGCAGCGCGAGTACAACCTCCTCCATCGGCCGGCCTTTGCTTGTTTCTCTCTCTCCCTTCTCTGTGTTCTTCTTATCCAATGCTTGGCGCTCTTGGCGGCTTTCTCTTTAATTCCTCTCTTGCTCGCTTTGTGCCTGTGCGCACGCTTGTGCTTCCTTACTTGTACACGCGCATCCTCCATGTCTCACCAATCCCCAATCCTCCTCTGGGCCTCTTAGCTCCGGCCCCCAGGTCCAGTCGACCTCTTCCAAGGATCGATGTGGTGCTGCCTTGGATCTCTCTCCCTCCCCCGCGATTTACATTAATAGAAGCGTGCCGCGCGCAACCACCCAGCCGCAAGCCTGCCTGCAAGCCGCCGGAAGCTCCAGTGCCGGTGCTGCTCAGCTGCCTCTGCGTGGAGGCTGTCTCTTTGATCATATCGCCGCCGTCATATGGCCCACCTCGCCCATCACTGCTAATCATCGTTAGCCGCGACACGCCTGTGCTGCAGCGAAGAAGAAAAAGGTGAAGAAGGGTTTCTCTAGAGAGATGTAGGGAGACATCAGATTGCAGCTACGTAATCTGCGTTCACCGACGCAGCAGCGTGACATGACTAGATGTCGACAACGATGCGGCCAAGCAGCGTAGCAGATGATGATGTCGATGATGTTGATCGATTAGAACAGCGATGATCCCTTCTGCTGGTTTTCCTTGGCCTCGCCACACTCGGGTCTCCCCCAATCCACTCTTCCCCGTATAGCTAGTGACCACCGCAAAAGCACACCAAGCTGGCTTCTGCCCTTCCAGGAATTCAGCCATTCCATTGGGTTGGAAGAAACCACAGGAGTGGGTGTGTCCATCCCGTCCCAACTCACGGCAGCCTCTGTTCGCTAACACGTGCTAGCTTGCGTCGCTCCCTTTATCTGACTGGCTGCAGCTGTCTTTTTGCACCAATTAAGGTCAGACCCCCACGGGGCCTGGCTGGTGTCTGTCTCGATCCTCTAAAGCCTCGAGTCGTGCTCACCACAAGAGCACGCCTCGTCGGGTTTGTATGCAATGGTTCGTAATCTTGTCACGCTCCTTTGTTCTCCCTGCATGGCCAGAATTCAGGCATCAGCTATCGATACTTTGCAGAACCGTTTGCAGCTGCGACATGCTGTACCTAAACCCATGTCTTCCAGTATCAGTGGACTTTGCCCAGAACACCAAGAGCCCCTCATTCAAACCATCTCTTGTGTCGCCGATAGCGGCGTCCAGTCACACCGGACGCCACGGATCAACTCTCTCAAGGCACGAAAGTACATCTCCGTCGTCAGCTTAGGCACCGTGATTAGCAGGCCAGCCATTACCCTCCCTCTTCACGTAATAGGCAATGGGTGTGAAATTTGCATGCATCGCAAATCTGATAAATAATAATGGCTAGTCACCGCACGGCTCGACGTGATACAGGCGTACATGCGCCAAGAAGGGCCGCGCCAGCCTTGCTTGGCCCTCGCTTGACGATGCTTGACCTTTGCTTTAGCGCAAATACGAAGCATCTCGTTTATCTTCCCTCTTTCACTCCCGGGCTCTTTGGCCGCCGCCTTAGCCTGCGGGCGTGACCTCAGCTAGTAGCGTTTGAGAAGAACTGGAAGATAAAACTTGTTGAGCCCTGTTGTTGAAAAGCCTGTTCATGCATTGCATCGCTAGTAGAGGCTGGCCGACGTCATACGGGACTAGGGAGAGACGCATAACAGCTGCGCGTGCTCACCTTGGCGTGCTGAAAGTATCGGTACTACGCATCAGGCATTGCCAGACGATCTAGCTCGTATTAATACGTATTAAGTAGGCTGCAGCAGCGTTGGGACGGGATTAGAGGTACTTGCCAACATGCCCTTCACACGTTAGTGCTTCCTCCAGATGAATGGTGAGGCGGATGGTGTTTACAGGGGGCTTCAACACCAGCGAGCTGCTAATCCCATCGAGTCAGAACAGCACCAGGCCCTTTTTGCATCACACAGGCTGCTGGAACGAGTACGTGGCTGCCTGAGCCTGCGCCGTACTCGTTCCTGTACCGACAGGCACGGGCCGCTGGCTTCCAACTCGACTGTCCAAGCCCGCGCAAGGTGGCTGAGACACGAAATTGGCCCTCAACAGGCCAAGTCGTTGAGATTAAGGTGAGACCCCGTAGCACATGTTTAGAGAGAGCAGTCTATGAGATGACGGAGGGGCGACTCAGACAGGCCAGAGACATGGCTGCGCATCGCATGCTTAATTTGCCAGTTCGCGCCTCCTTTTACCCAGCTGTTTAGCCAAGTGGTTTCACGCCATGGTAATATCCCAAGAATCCCAAGACATTCAAGTAGTAGTTTGACAACCCAAGAAGAGGCGTGCCGCATATCTCACCATTGCTTGGCAGGCCTGACCGATAATGATGGCCCGGCGCCTCAGCCGTAATCCGTAATACCTACAGTACCAGTTATAGCAGCATGATTGATGCTACTGCCCCCTTTTGGCCAATGGCAGCACTGCACTCTTGGGATCTTCCTCTGCCAGTCATGAGACAACGTGCGCATCTTGCTGGCGAAGCAGGCATGACAGCATCACAGCGCAGTCGTGTCAGGCGGGAAATGCTAGCCATTCCAGCCCCTTGATATGCTTGTGTCCATCGCATCGATCGCTGCGCCATGGCGGTGGTGCTGCTGAACAGCACATAATCATGTGCCGTGCCGATGAGCGAGCGCGCAGCTGAAAACCCGGGCTTGTGCTGTGCTGGCACAAAGCATGCGAGTTTGATGAGTCTGAGAGGATCTGGCGATGATACCGGTACTCCCTGCCCTCAAACCAGCGGCTCGCGCGGAGCATTACCCGGCCCCCAGGGCTTGTTCCAGCTCAGAGAGCCAGGCTGCCAGGCCAGAGTCTCATGGTGTGCTGGGCATCGTATGTCACAGATGAGCAACGCTTATCTCGGTGACGGTACGTAGGAAGCCATGTCACCGTAACCTGTCAGCTCCGTTGGCCAACATCGCCACAATCTACAAGTAGGCATACTTTGCACCGCGCTGTCCGCTAGGCTCAACAGCACAAGCGATGCTCTTGAACGGATTTGAAGCAAATAAGCACGAGCTTGTAAGCCGTGCTGTGTATCGTGTGTTTTGTGTGCCATCGCACGCTCCTTGGCTGCCTTGGATATTGGATGCCAAGCTGCCGCAGCAAGAAACTCTGCTCGGTGTTTCCAGTCCCGCTCGCATTGCGAGCTTTCCAAATTCTTCCCAAAATGAACCAGGGTCGATAGTTGCTTGCTACAGTATGCACCTGCAGATGAGTTTAATACATGGCTGACAAAACAGAATAATGAGCTGTAATATTTGTGAATGCGTGCGCTTCGGACTCCGAGTGCGCAGACAGCATCTCCGGAGCATTTGCCGCTGGACGGTGTCCCAAGCGCCTGAAAGGCCAGGCGTGGCCCCCGTCGTGAAACCAGCACCAAGCGCGAGATGCGCAAAGCAAAATCATCGCAAGACCCTGATCGTCAAGTCTCGACGATCTCGGTGGGCTCGGCAGGACCACTAAAGCCAAACGTTGCATCAGATTTCCATTAGCTAGACGGTAGTCTGCGGAGCCTTCTTTATTACTGCCTACAACTCCGCAGTGTTCCTGTGCCACTTACTGTACAGCGCAGGAGCATGAGTACAGCTAGCTGGTGAGATGGTGAGATGGTGCGAGTGTCGCTTAACCTTCTTTCCCCCCATCATGCCCCGCGTAGTGCCCCAGGAATGAGAAGCCATTGACCTGGAGCAGACGTTGCGTACTACCCAAATAGAGCCGGGCGGATAAGAGGTTCTTGTGACAAGTGCATATTTGCAAGATGCAAAATGAGGGGCCAAGCTCCTCCAGCTCCCAGGGCGTGGGGGCACGACGCCTGCTAGCCCCGAATTCCACGAACCATCAACGTTCCTGCGTTTGAATCAGAGCCAGTGAGGCGATCGGGGCAAGGCTGACAGGGAAGGTCGTGTTCCGAGAGCAGCGTGCAGCAAGCATTTGGTGGCGTCGCCCGATATTAAAAAGCGCTGCTGGCCAGGACGAAGCCAGGACGAAGGCGCGTGCGAGGGATGAATGGGGTACGGCAATTGGTGTTGCAGCAGTCTCCACTGCCTAACTGGTGCAGAGAAGCCCGAGTTTGAAAAAGAAGGGAAAAAGAGTTTATGGCTGGCTTCTAGTACTGGGTGGCGGCACGCATGAAATGGTGGATGAAGCGATGGCGTGAATGGCGTGGATGGGCAGAAAAGAATTTTCTAGAGGCTGTCTGTGGCCGACGCCTCTTGCTATTACTAGACATATAGGCACATAGCAGCTGCAGTGGCTGCCAGATTTCAAAGGCGGTGGAGGTCGTTTGGCAGGAACTGCGGCTGTCACATGAACGGTTGCGTGTCAAACCAAAGTCAAACTTGACCACGCAAATCACCCGAAATATTTATCAGATGCAATCTTGCGTGTCTGCATGATTCGTGCGGCTCTACAAGAAGATATTTTAGAGATCAAACAAAAGCTTCTATATGTCTATGCATTGAGACAAGCACCTTGATATTTCATCCGCTGCTCCCCAGCGTAGCACCCTCTAAAAAAGTCAAACAGAAGTGAATCCGTCATGAGACGCAAATAGAAATTTTAAGTGGGGCATTGTGCCTGCCCATCGTGTGGCCAATCAGCGCCTGCGCTTGCTTGCTTGTTCTCCACTGATCCTCAACTTCAATCTTCAGCAGCATCGTAATTATCTGAATTCCTCAAACGCTCAGAGTTCCAAGATCCAACTTACTTTGGTCATTCTGCAAATGCAAATCTTCTGGCACATATCCGGTAAGTTATTTGGGTCTTGCCTTCTCTGTTGTCCCCAATCCTTTACTTTTCCCGATTATTCTCCATTGTGCACATCATGCAGTAACAGGCAAATTTCTGCCGTCTTGTGTTCGCCAAAGGGACAAAACTCGACTGCAGAACATCTTTCTAACAGAGACTCCAGCGCGATTCTCCCGCAAACCATTCTAAACTGGCAGGTGGTCTCATCCAAGTCCAGTATTCCGCTTAAGCGCCTTTAGAGAGTAGCTCTTTAGAGTCTGGGTTAAAAGGTTCTTTCAGGGCAGCCTTACCCCGTCCATAAGATTTACGCTGCTAGGCTACTTCAAATTCACCTCCAGCATCGCCCTATCCCAGCGAGCAAGCGATTATCGTCGTCGCCTTGGAAGTCAAACAGGCTTCAGCCTCAAGTTGGAGAAGTAGCTGCTTGATCATTCGACAGAGCTACTGGCTCCTTCCTCTCAGACTTAGCTAAGGTTCATAAACATCAGAATCTGTGGCAACTTCAAACATTGCTGGCTGCTTCTTTCGCGTATCAAAGACGGTCAAAAACATTACCATAGCAACTCAGCCGAGACGAAGCTTTCCTCTACTATCGTGTCGTCAACATCGCCGGACATCCATTTGGCTTTATCACAGTCGCCGCGACGCTCGGAATGCTAGCATAGGAGCAGCTGCCCACCGATAATTCAGGTCTCTTTGTTATCCAACAAGATTGCTGCAATCGTCTTGTCATTAACCATTCCAAAAAAAATTTCATTGTCGCATCCTTGACGGAGACGGTTTCAGCTTTACCACAGCAAAATGGCTGTTGAAATAGATGATTTCTTTGACGAGCCGGCCAACGAGAAACTTGAGAATTCAAATGGCAAAGATGTCCGTTTGGGGAGGCTTGCTTTGCCTAACCCCATAATCGACGACCTCAGAGATCAAAATCTCCCTCTGGGTGTTCTGATTCCTCTCAAAACGGACCAGGAAGTTTATCAGGATCACTACATTTCTCATGCGTACATCACTCGAGTCCCGACCAAGTCTGCCAATAACTTTGTCACGTAAGTACTCATTTCTGTTGTTCTCTTCAACAGTTTCCTTGCCGAGACAAGGTTATTCCATAAATAGTATACTAACTCATTTTCAGACTCTTACGCGACTTGAGCAATGCCGGTAATGCTAATACCTTACCGCATCTGCGACGATGTGCAAAGCCAGCGGACCTCCCGGCTCACCTAAAGACACAGCTGATGAATGACACACCAACTGGTCGGCAAATCCACACTTCGAAATCGACCTGGATTTACGTCGTGGTAGGAGAGTCCAAAGACTTTTCCCGCGTTGAGCTTCTTGAGCTGCTTTCTGAAGTAGAAGGAGTTGAGAAGGAGCCGTTCTTGAGCATCATTCCTGTCCCAATGATGGCACCGACATCTCAAATCCAGGCCGCTATGTGGAGTGCACAGTTTTGGCCGACAGTCTACCGTAAGAACAACCCGCTGGGTCCTCATCCGGGAATGTTCGCCCGTGGCACAGAAGACATTAAGAATGACGCACCAATTTGGATCGCACTGGCACATCGCGTTGCTCTTCAGGCCAAGGAAGCGGGTATTGGAGAAGCTATGGGGGCTGTGATTGTTCAAAGAAATGAAAAGGGCGCAGAGCTTGTTGGGCTTGCTGGAGATGCGAGACATTATCAACAGAATGGATTCGGTTTCGAAAATAACCCAATGTCGCACTGTGTGCTGCGTGCTATGAGCATGGTGGCTCAGAAACTCGTCCGGTACGAGCGAGCGGTTGCTGATCAGCCAATGGAGCGCCCCATCTTGGAATTCGACGCCTTCCAGGACACACCTATGCTTGAGCTGGAAAAAGAGTGCTTCGAGCAAGAGCACCCAAACAAAGATGGTTACCTGTGTCACGGACTGGAGCTCTATTCCACCCATGAGCCATGCGTTGCGTGCTCCATGGCTGTCCTGCACTCTCGCATGGGCAAGGCAGTGTTCTGTTGCCATATGCCTCGAACGGGCGGCCTGAGCGCAGATGATCGTCCTGATGGAGGTGGACGAGGATTGGGTCTTTTCTGGAGACGCGAGCTCAACTGGAGCTTGCTGGCTTGGGAGTGGGAAGGTGACGGTGTACCTGACCTCCCCCTTGTCGACCCAACCACTCACGTTTAGGATTACCACCTCCAAGGACGATATGAGACTCAGTACTGCCATTGCTGGCTAAGGCAGTGCCGGACAATGAAGCTCCCCCGGCGATACTGGCGCGCCCTAGCTGCGTGGCGTGCTTTTGATATAGGTATAATGCGCTATTGTTGCTGCTGCTGTGGACAGCTGCATCTTTTTGTACGAATGAATCATCATGGAAAATGCATACTACTACTACTACTACTACTACGAGACTGTTGGCGGCGACGACAAAAGGGAGAACTGCAAGATACAGAAGAGGGGTTAGATAATCCTCTATTCGCTGAAGGGACTCGGTACGACGTACTTGGCATCGGGATGTTTTGTCAATGGAAGAATTGTGGCTTTACTGGCATGGCATGGCACGGCGAATGGATTATTGACGGATTGAAACTTATGAAGCTGTTTATTAAGGCATGTGTTTTTGCAACGGAAACAAGACAGAAAACAGAACAAAGACAAGAATATAAATGTAATTCCTTGGTACGGTGGCAAACAAGGGACGGTGACTGGCTGATGTCTGGCAACCCGTTACGGCTTGACCGAGGCAACGTGATAACTGGACGGATGGCAGTACCAAGTACATGTATAAGTACAGGTATCTCCTTACAATTCAGAAACAACCAGCCTCTTTGATATTGAAACGGAGTGTTTGAAACACGGACATGTCACCTACCGTGTTGATCACGAACAACAGCGTGCGATGGCCAAAGAGCTGCAGCAACAGACGCATCCAGCAACAGGCAACCGGCCCCGGGCCTAGGCTTGGAGGGCTGAGCGGAGATGCCCCAAAGATACCCTAAACACCGAGATCACAGCAGGGTTCGGCGCCTCACTCTGCTGGGGTTGCATCGCGGCAAATGCGACCAGGCGCTATGCGGCGGCTCCACCGCGCTGTGCGGGAAAGCTGCCCCTCCTAAAGTCTGCGCGAATCACGCGGCCGGTGGGCGGCTGCTCTGCCTTGCTCTCCAAGGGCACAACCAAGAAACCCCCCAAACGCAACCCCCCCCCCCCTTTCGCTTCGTTGCCTCTGGCCTCTCTCGCCTTCTGTCCGAGCGCAGACCGTCCGCGCCAGTTCCAGTTCCAGCTCCAGCTCCAGCTCTTAAGCCCGGCCGGCCCCCGACGTTGGCGAAGCGCCATGCCATTGATGTGAAGCGTATGCGACCTCGCCCTCAGCCTTGTGCGAACAGCATCGCCAACGGCATCGCCAGCGCTCTTGTCCGGACCACGACTGCCACCGCCCGCCGCCGCCGGTACCCTGTGGTGTGGCAGGCCGCGGTCAGGCCGCAATCGCAATTGACTGCAGCGCCGACCCTGGCGCGACAATATTATGAGCTGAGCCCCAACTCGCCTGTTTCTGTGTCCGCGTTTCCTGGCCCTTCTGGTGGTGTATCCGATACCACCGCCACCACGCCCGACGCTATGCCCAGCAACAAAAACAAGCGGCCGGCCCCGAGCAGCGCTGCGACGCCAGGCGCCTCCAAGAAGAAGAAGATGGAAAATGTCCAGAAATACTACGCCGTGCAAGCGGGCTTCGTCCCCGGGGTGTACTTGACGTACGCCGAGTGCCAGGCTCAGACGGCCGGATTCAAGGGCGCTGTTTGTGAGTGGCCCATTCTTCAAACAAACAAAACAAAACGAGTCGCTGCAATGCTGGAAATGTATTTTCCGAGTGAGAGAAAAGGGAGAAAAAAAGAGAAAAAGTATAGCTAATCGTTGCCTCTCTCTACATGTAGTCAAATCCTTTCTTTCAAGAGAAGACGCCGACGCCTTTGCTGCTGGGAAAAAAGTTGCAGTGGCAGACGAGCCCGATAAATTCTATGCGGTTGCTGTTGGCAATCCGACGGGCATCTTCACAGACTGGTCCGAAGCTCAAAAGGCCACCACGGGCGTCAAGGGCCCCAAGTACAAACGCTTCTCAACTCGAGCAGAAGCCGTGGCATACATCCGACAATTTGGCAATAGGGAGGCGATAGAGGCATTGGGAGAGAAGGTGGAGCCAGTGGAGAAGGTGGAGGTTGAAGAAAAGCTTTTCACAATCCAAAAGTTCACTCCCATCCTCAAGGACAGTGAGGCTGATACGAAGCCGCGAGAGGATATTCTCGACATATACACCGATGGAAGCAGCCTGGCCAACGGCCGAAAGGGTGCTCGTGCCGGACTGGGCGTTTATTTTGGAGAGAATGACCCTCGCAATCTGGCTGAAAAATTGCTTGGCGACAAGCAGACTAACCAGCGAGCAGAGCTCATGGCTATGCTGCGGGCTTTGGAATCTGTGCCGGCCGCTCAGACTGTTCGCATTTACAGCGACAGCCAGTACTCCATCAAATGTGTAACTGAGTGGCCCATTGGATGGAATAAAAAGGGTTGGAAAACAGCCAGCGGTGAGGATGTTAAGAACCATGAGATCATACGGCCTATCCTTAAAAAGATGGATGAACGAACCAAGGCTGGAGGCAATACCTACTTCCAGTGGGTAAAGGGCCATGCCGCGAATCCTGGCAACATTGCCGCAGATCGGCTGGCCGTCATGGGCGCGAACCTTCCATGATACGGCGTGATGAGCGCATACCGACACTGCGGTTCTTTCGCCATGGATGGAGATGATGGAGATGTGTGTGTTAAGCAACGGGTGCTTTGTCTACCTATTGACGGGCGCAGCTACAATACATGGCCTACGAGGAAGAGAGATGGATGATCTGCGGCGAGAAATAAAAAGCATACCATGGAGTTGGGCATGGGATAATAATGATTGTAACGGCAACTGGATGGAGCCCTGGATAGGAGTTTAACATTTACATATCTTTTTTTTTTTTTTTCAAAGGATGGTAATTGATACCTCGAGGCTTGTATTTGGTAGATAATACTGGCTTATTCGGCAGTAGATTGAGCAGCCTCTCCTATCCATACATATACCCAAGCAATTGTGTCTATTACATAGGTAGCAAAGAGACTGGATGAAGTCTCGATTATTTTGAACAAGTTTCCTCTTTCCTCCGCATCGATCCGCCTTTGCGCAAATTTCCGGCGAGGTGCTGCACTCTCGGACCCGATCTTTCTAGGTACTATAGTAAATAGTAGAAGAAGAAAAAAACCTCGAATCCTTGGCCGACCAGCCCCCAATATGCGCTGTTCCATGTGGGGTGGCTTCTTCGCTCACCGGTTGACGCCACTTACCGGGATTCCTGAAGCGGGATGCAAGCTTGGCAAGCCGCTGACCGTTTCTTTTTTTTTTCTTTTTTTACATTGTCGCGAAACTTGTTTGATGCAAGTTTGCGCTGCTTGCATGCAGTCAAGAGGCCGATTGGATAATTTTGCCCTACAAATTACTACTTGACTCCCGCTATCTTCTCCCAATTAGGTACTCTGGTGACATTGCCGCCCGTTCGTCCTCTTGAGTCATTCGGTCAGACAACACGCCTTCGAAGAGAGAGAGAGAGGCCCTTGAAAGAATGATCTCTGCTATCGTCGCCACTGCAGTAACTCGATTCTCGCGTTGCTAACATTCAGCTGAGGCGCTGTTGCCATGGCTGATAACATCTGGGCTGTGCCGCTGGCGCTGTCGAATTTCAATATCGTGGTTGCTGTTTTGGGGGGGTTTATATCGCTGTTTGGGCTGGTGTCGTATCTGTTGAAGGAGAATTACTATCTGTCTGAAGCTCGTAAGTTTCAACTCTACTCTTGGGAGAGCAGCGTTTTTATCTGCTTGCGTGAGACAAGGTGTCTTAGACTGTTCGAGACATGAGTCTTGTCGAAAGTCAAAGACTCCATTCTCTTTCCTAAGCTCGTATAGTAGCTAATAATGCGATTACAGTCATCTCCCTCCTAATTGGCGTTGCCTTTGGCCCGCATGGGGCCAATTTCATTCGGCCGGATAGCTATGCTGGATGCAGCACGTCCGCAATCAGCGATGCCGACTGTATCGATTCGCGGCTGGGCATCATCACGCTCAATTTCTCGCGGCTGGTCCTCGGCGTCCAGCTAGTCATTGCGGGCGTCCAGCTGCCGAGCAAATACCTTTGGAGGGAGCGCAAGTCTCTCATGCTGCTGCTCGGCCCTGGCATGACCTTGATGTGGCTCACTACGAGCTTTCTGGTCTGGGCGCTTGCCGGGATGCCAAACTTCTTGCATGCCCTGGCCGTGGGTGCTTGCGTCACGCCCACGGATCCTGTATTGTCTGCTGTTATTGTCAAGGGAAAGTTTGCTGACAACAACATCCCCAAGGAACTGCAGAATCTCATTGTTGCCGAATCTGGCGCCAATGACGGATTAGGCTATCCCTTCCTCTTCTTTGCCTTGTATCTGATCAAGTTTGTCGGCTCCGGTGCTACGTCTGGAGGAGCTGGAGATGCCATGGGCCTCTGGTTTGCATATACTTGGGCTTACACCATCATCCTGAGCGTCATCTACGGCGCCGTTGTGGGATGGGTGGGCAAGGAGCTGCTTCGTTGGGCTATGAAACGCAATTACGTCGACCGAGAGAGCTTTCTTGTCTCTGCCATATCCCTGGCGCTGTTTGTGCTCGGCACATGCGGGTTGATCGGCACCGACGACGTTTTGGCCTGCTTCGTTGCTGGAAATGCATTCACCTGGGATGATTGGTTCCGTCTTGAAACGCTGGACGACTCATTGCAGCCTACGGTTGACATGCTTCTCAATGTGTCCATCTTTCTGTGGTACGGAGCTTACTTACCATGGACCGAGTTCCGCCACAACACTCTCATCCCCATCTATAAGCTCGTGCCGCTTGGTATTCTCGTGCTGCTTGTGAGACGGCTGCCCTGGATATTTGGCCTGCACAGATGGGTTCATCAAATCACGGGGACGCACCAGGCTCTCTTTGTTGGGTTCTTTGGCCCCATCGGCGTATCGGCAGTATTCTACCTTTTCATCACCTTGGAATTCATCGAAAATTTCTTGAGTGATGAAGAGGGGAACCCGAGAAGCGACGTCAAAGACTTGGGCGAAATGGTGAAACTTGTAGTTTGGTTCCTCACCGTTTGCAGCGTGGTGAGTTTTTTTTTTTTTTTTTTTTTTTTTTTCCCGAGGTTCAACTGTTATTACTCATGTTCCTTTCTTTACCTGCAATGAATGATGGAATTAATTCTCTTATTTAGGTGGTCCATGGGCTGAGCATCCCCCTAGGTAAAATAGGGTACCTCATGCCTCGGACAATCTCTCGAGTTTTGAGCGAAAACATCAGCAACAGCGGTGAAGACTCTCGTGTAATTTCACGCATCTCTACCATGTCTAGGTGGTTCTCCAGTGGGAAAGCAGACCCCGAGGCCATCGCCAAAGCGAGCATTGGTGGGCAGCCTCTAAGCAATGCAAGTGTATCTGGGCCCTCGGAGCCTCACCCCATGCTTCATCCCGTACCTCCTCGGCTCCATACTGTTGATGAAGACAGCACGTCGCAGGAGGACGCGATGCCCGCCCGACGACGTGAGATCCGATTCTACGACGAGCCGGAACCTAGGCCAGCTGATATGGTGGCTTCGTCCTCCGAAGCTCCATTGTATACAGTGCCACAGGCCTCGCCGCCAGGGATTGAGGTTCCTGAGTCCAAGGCTGTTGATACTCGGCTAATGGAGCTTGGCACTTTTCCGTCACAATCCCATCCACATTCGGAGTAATATTCTTTTGCGGTCAAGCTTTTTAGCTATTGAATATAATTATCAATAGCTGAGTTTGACCAGGTTGAATAAATGTTGGATGAATTGTCTACTTTGCAAAGAATTATTGACTTGAAGATAGATAGATAAGTAGAAAGAGAGAGAGATCATACCTACATGTATATGTGTCTATATCCACACACGCGCACATGATTATCTGTAGTTGTATTTTTCTGAAACATCAGCCATCTTATCATGTCATAGGCCTTTATAATGAAGAAGTTTGTCAACTTTAGTCGTAGATCATCGATTATAGACTACACAGAGGAAAGTGCGCCTACCTAGGTGCGTATGAGACGACATCTACAAGGCTTACAGTGCGACGAACTACTCAGTAGTGTCTATCTACTTAGGTACCTGTATGAAACAAGTTGTTTTATGTAGGTACTAGCAGGTAGTCAAACTATAATTTCTCCGGAGGCTTTCACTAGGAAGAGATGAAATGATATCCAAGAGGCTCAAACCTACCTATATGCAGGTACACGTAGACAGAGACACAGGAAATGCCCCAAGATGGCTATCGAGTAGCTGTAAGTGGCTTAATACAGTTCGGCAGCGGCGTAGACTGCCCCTGGCAAAGTGCATGAATATGAAAAAAAGTCAATTCCAAAGCAAAGAGAAGCTTGGCCTGTTTATTTTTAAACTTTTTCACTTCATGTATGTAAGATCGATGGCCATGACTTTTGGACAAGCTTGCAGCCGGATCACCTGAACCTTGCTGCAAGGCACACGCCGCTGGCACACGCCCGCATCGGTCATACAACAGCAGCAATGCCAGTATTTTTACAGACGAGCATTATCTCGTTTCTGTGACGATATTTAGGCTGCGGCGTTTCATGAAGTGGAATCTGGGCATTTGCTTTCCAGTGTGGCTGTGAGCAAGAGGGGTTCAAGGTTGTTGATTTTCGTTGGGGATATCATGGAAAACACGTAGAGGAGCGAGCTTCGCTTGGCTGTTCCAAGCACAAGCAGGTACGGGGTAAATACGGACATTATGGTGTGATTATACTAGCGGCACGAGGTAGCGCGTAGGTACTTGCGGGTTGAAGAGCGGGTGTTCCTGAAACCCGGGAAGAAGCGTTGAGGTTGGAGCTTCTGGGCGATTCTGCCGGTGCTACTGGTACAGTATTACAGGTCAACAGAAGAAATGGTTCAATAATGAATGTTACGCTACTGAAGAGGAACAGCGTGGATGTGGGGCCCCAGCTGCTATGCAGTTTTTTCGAGTAAGAATTAGGGTTGGGATATGCCATGGAAAACGTATGAAGCATATTTTGCCGCGTGTTTTGTTTACCTCTGCGCGTGAAGGCGCGGGTAGAAGTTTAAACGGCCTATCTGTGGCTTAAACAAGTGCTGCAGTCATAATTTGACGGACCTCTAATCTAATTGAAAGATATGGGCAAACTGAGAGAACATACAGTACGGCTGGTGGCTGTGGGGTCACGGGTCCAAAAGGGGAGAGCGACTCAGGTACGTACAATCTGCGTACTCCGTGTGTAGTTTTCCGCTGCAGGACAGTGACTGCACCCATGATTAGTGACTCGAGACCCGAGTTGCTGAGTTCAAGAGACTACATGTACCAGTAATAGCTTCAGCATTCACAAGCAGCCCTCAGGGACCTCGGCTGACGCTGGAGTTGGATGGAAGACAGCTGCTGTCAGATCGGCAAACCCGCGGTCCCCGTCTGAGTCCCAGGCACTCGGAGGGCCGGGGCCGGGGCTAGTTCTGGTGACAGAGATTGTTGGGGAACAGACGGGCAGGTTGGAAGGCTGGAGAAGCAGCTGCATACATCATCAGCAGGCAGCTGTGGGCGTCTTGTGTGTGTCAGCGATTGCGCGGCGAAAGAAGAGGACAGCGTGGCATGGATCTTGGAGGTTGATGCCGAGTATGCACTACCATAATGTATGTTGGTCTATCTGCTGGCAGAGCATACCGGCCTTGTACTGTAGGGAGCAAGTACCTATTCGCAGACGCCGTACACAAGCACTTGCAGCTGTCGAGGCAATGCCAGGAGATGTGCTACGTACTGTGGGTTGTGCCGTAGCATGGAGGTGAAATGATATAGGAGGGCGAGCTACATGCGCTACCCAGCCATGTACATGGCCCTGCCTCGTGATCATTGGCCAGGCTGCGGTACACCCTGGCGAGATGTGACGAACGAGCTGCATTGCAATCCCTGGCACTCACTGCACCGACTGTGTCAGTGTGCCCATCAGGTACTGCTGCTGCTGCTGGATTGACTTTATAAAGGGTGCATATGCAGAGGTACCTACATGTAGACAAGGGCTCGCCTCTGCCAAATAGAGGACAGTGCGAAAACGACTGCAGGAGACTCGCAGTTTACACGCAGCCAAGGACCTTACTGGCTGCACTGCTTATCAGAACGCCTGAGGAGGCGTCCGTTGTCGGTCCCTGAAAAGCCACCAGACACACGGGTACATGGAAGGGGCACGAGGCATATGGCAGCGTTGCAGCAGGAAATGTCATTGAACGGGAACCTCAGGCTTGCCAAAAGAGAAAAGTGCTCTACATGGCGTTTGCACGTTTGGTTGTGAAGCCACTGTGAGCATCTGTAGTCTTTGCAGCATCTGGCCTGGTACGGTGCCACGACGTTGCGAGCAGTAAGTAGCACCAACCCAGGGCTGCGGCGCCGTATACATCTGAGAGCCAGAATCCCCCGGACTTGCCCTCAAGATAAGCGCAGAGAGATGCAGATGGAGCCACGCGCATGCCGTCACCGCAGGGAGCCCTTTGCCTACTTGCCTACGCAGTGCTGAGTTTACTGTGCAGTCCAGCGCACTCACAGTGCTGGCCACCCAGAATCGCGCGCTGCACTAGCCAAACCCCCGCTAGCGAGTGCCGCGTGGAAAAAAACACCCACTTGCGGCTGGCCTCCAATAGCGGCGCACTGCCAAAACTGTTTCTTCCTTTTTCTACGTGCCTCTTTTAAACCTCAACAGCCCGCCATTCCTCGTGTCGACACCGCTCCAAGCCCACGAACCAGAAAGCCGCATCTTCACTCGATTTCAACCTCGACTTTCGCTCCCTCGTATCGCTACAGGGCGCCTTCCATTTTGCGATAATAATTTTTTTCTCCCATTCGGATTTGCACCGCATTGCACGACTCTCTCCTGGCTCTTTGCCTGCGTTTTTTTCTCTCTTGATCCCCGACTTTCTTATCCGGAGTCCTAGGGAGGACCCTTATCTGTCCCTGTGCGCTTGCGCCTTCGATTGTAAGACACAGTCTCCACATGCAGACCTGATACTATCGTGAGCCCGGCGCTTTATCCGCGAACCGCACTCCTGACACGGGACGGCAGCCAGAGGCGGCAGAAAACAAACATCAGCGACCGAATCGACCCTCCCTCCGACTCTTCTCTGGTCGACAAACAACAGCCTTGACCTGCATTCGATATATCGCCAGACGTGGCCAGTCGACGCCCGCTGGCCATGACCCCGACTGCCCAAAGTGGCGCCAGCAGCCCGCTCATTGCTGGGGCGTCACCAATGCAGAGCGACGGATTGCAGAATCTGTCCGACGATGAACTTGCAGCCTCGAATCTGTTGCACTATTTCCCTGCCCCGGACGACCTGCAAAGCTTGACAAGCCTCGGGCCAAGCCAGCAAAAGGCCTTTTTGAACCCACAGGAGCTCATCGCCAACGTTGGCTTCCCCGACTCACCGAACGGCTCGTTACCAGACTCTTCCTCGGACTCTACCGCATCCATCCAGAGGACAGGAAGCGCCACGTCAACGCAGACACCAGTAATGACAGGCATGACAACGGTCGACGAGTTGGACGACAGCATGGATTGGAGAAACCGGCATATGCCCGGCTCCAACGACCACGACTCAGCCTTGCCCTTTGTTCGCCAAGATGAATCCTTGAATCTCATGTTTCCCAGCATTGACAATGACGGCGAGGATGCCCTCATGAACCAATTTAATTTTCCATCAGCTTTTCCAAGAAATTTCGACACCATGCCCAGCAGTCACATGAACATATCTTCTCCTAGTATACCTAGCACCGAGACTAATACTTCGGCCAACGTGGATCTACCGAATGGACATCAGCAAAACAACTCAGTACGTGAATGCAACTTGGATACCGTTGCTCATCCAGGACTAACAATTTCCCCGCAGTACTCAGCGGCATCCGCAGGAGGACGAGCCAGAGAGGCGTCGCGAGAATTGTCGCCAATGTCGAGCATGGTTGCCAGCCATGGTGGATCGCCAGCGGGCACCGTATTCAACATTCCCTCTCCATCTGGTTCTAGGTGGGCGGCATTGCTGAACTCTCCACCAAGCATCTCAGATACACTGTCCAGCAATCCCAATTTCCAAATGCCATTTATCCAGCCTCCGTTATCACGCTTCAATAATGACAACACCCCTTTTAGCGAAAATGTTAACAACATCGGCTACTTCGACGGCTTTCGCGGGCACGATACTACCACTAACATTACGAAACCCGCTACATATAATTTTACCCAAGGATACGAGCTCAAAATCTACCCGACACCGACCAAGTCTCGCGTGGAGACGCAGATTCCCATCAAGATGGCACTGAGTCCGCTCCCACCAGGCATCACCAAATTGCATTTGCCACCCCACACAATTTCTAAACCCAAGCTCATGGCAAAGCCCGCTGCGCAAAGGTCTCCCGATACCCTCGAACTCTTCGTCAGCTTAGTTTGCACTAGCGCCATGGAGCAGAAAGAGGCGAGAGATAGGGCTTTGGAGAGGGCCGCTACGAATCCTCAGGACTACCTCCCGGATCTGGATGACGACGAGAACTCTCCACAGCGTGGAGGTGAAGTTCGCATTTGCGCTGGCTGTATCACAAGAGAGCGCAAGAGGGCGGCGAGGAAGAAGGTCAAGAAACCTGAGGAAGATAGGTTGTGGAGCGCGGATGAGCACCGCCGTGTCGTTGTTTTCAACACCTCGGAGATCAAAGATTGGCAGCCCATCAGTGCTCTGGACAACAATGGGCGGCCAGAACAGAACCGACACGCTCGCGCCATGCAAGTAGACGCGCCCATGCGAATTGCCTGCTACTGCCGCCACCATAACGAAAAGGCCGGCTTCAATGTCATCTTCACCATCAAAGATTGGAAGGACAAGGTCATAGCGCAGGCCATGTCGAAACCCATCATGATTACTGATGATCACAAGACCAACTCAACGACGCAGCCGGCAATGTCAGAAACCGTTTCGAGCTCTGCGCTGCAGCAGTCCATGGATGTAGACAATAACCTGGGGATGCAAACTCAGTCGGGCTCTCCCATGGCATTTTCCCCTAATGGCCAGGCTGCCTCCTACGGACCACCGTCCAGCAACACCGCCGTAGGAGTGCCTGGGCGGCCCCTATCACGGCCTCCTTCGCCCAACCAGGGCGGACCTGCTAAGAAGAGAAAGTCGAGTGCTTCTGGCAGAGTTCCCAATGGCTTAACCATGACGCGTATGGATGTCTCCCAAAACATGCCCGCTCAGAACAATATAAACCAGCACGTTTCCGCCGCAACCTCACCCTTCTCACCTAATCCACACAGTTTCCCGACGCCCGAGGCAATGTTTGGCACCATGGTCAACAACCCCCAAGTCCCGTTTACGAATAGATCTACCACGCCCAACGGTAACGACCAGCCACCATTATTCGGCAGTAGACGTTCCGAGAGCATGGATAATGTGTCCATGGCCCAGCTTTATTCTGCTCCGACATCTAGCCATCCCAGCCGTGCTCCTAGTCCTAGCGGGCTCCGGAATAGCGTCAACTCTGCATCGCTTTTCCCACAGCCCATTGGCCGTAGCCTTTATGCGATGCCCCCTGCCTCAGTAAACGAGCAGCTGGCAATACCCATCATCCACAAGGTTATCCCTAACGAGGGCCCAAAGGTGGGCGGCATCGAAGTTACCGTGATTGGAGCTTCTTTTGTCCAAGGACACGAGGTTTGGTTCGGCGGCGCCAAGGCTATTACCACTACCTTTTGGGGACCGCAGGCGCTCGTGTGCCTCGTGCCTCCTTCTGCGGTTGCGGGCTCCGTGCCTGTGACGATCGGGCGGCAAGAAGCACTTGCTTATACCCAGCCTCAGATGTTCAAATATATCGATGATACCGAAGACAAACTGATCCGTACCGCTCTTGCTGTACTGGGCCACAAGATGTCCGGCCGGGTTGTCGACGTGAATGAGCTTGCGCACAGAATTCTAAACAATGGCGGCCCAGGCTGGAGCAATGGACCATCTTCTGGTGGCTCAACAACCGGTGGCTCCGGCTCCGGCTCCGGCTCTGTATATCACCAGGCGGCGCCTAACGAGACACACCTGGAATCTCAGCTTCTCAAAGTTCTTGACCTCATCGACTTGGATGATAGCCCTCATAGGACGCAACTGGACCTGAAGGGATCCTCTGGCCATACCATGCTGCATTTAGCCTGCTCTCAGGGTTATCATCGTTTGGTTGCTGCTCTCCTCGCCCGCGGCGCAAGCCCTTATGTCCGCGATAGAGGTGGCTTCACTCCCTTGCATTTCGCCGCTCTCTATAATCACCCAGAAATCGCACGACGACTACTGCTTGCCAGAGCCGACCCGACAATCCGAAGCTTATCGAGCCTTACTGCCGTCGACGTAGCTCAGTCGAGAGCTGTTGTTCGCACCATTCGTAGCACGGCAAGGCACAACCGCTCTCGCAGCGGAGGATCTCTGCGGAGCACTTCTAGCAGCGCTGCTTCTCTGCGCTCGCTGTGGGAGCCATTGACTAGAGCTCAAACTCACGAAGAACCCATCTCTGTGGATCCGAGCGAAGAGAGCCCCGAATATACAACTGATGACTTTGAAGACGAAGACTCGGATGATAACGACCTCCTCCAGATGAGACGACCAAGCGGCATCGCACTAGACAACGGCGTTGTACTAGAAGAAGTTGTTGCTGCTGCTGCTGTTGATGATGCTAATAACAGTGTAGCAGCGCAGACCACAGCATTGGCGGCTGCACTCAAGAACCAGGTCCAAGAGCAGCTTCAGCAGTTCCAACAGCAGCTTTCCCAGCAGCTCCAGAATTTTACACACCTCCCTCAGATTCCTCAAATGCCACAGATGCCACAGATGCCAACGTTTGCCGGTATGCAAGCTCTGCCCGACTACCAGGCCTACCTTCAGCAAGCGCCTTTTATCCGCAGGGTCCAGCAGCTGATGCCCAACATGACCGGCAACCGCCCGGATAACCAGGGCGACAATGAGCCAAAGGTAGATGGTCGCTGGTGGGATTTCTCGTCGTACATGAATGGTGCATCGGCGGCCCCCCCTGCTTATGCAGACATTTACCCTGAAGCGGACAGGGACAGGGACAGGAAGATTCGGTCGGCGGCTCAGGCGGCTCTGGAAGCAGAGGCTGAATTGAAGTACTCGAAACTATACGATCAGCAGCAGCAGCAGCAGCCATTGGTCACTGTTGCCAAGCAGTCTGTCACTACGGCTGGAGCTTCGGTTGCGACTCCAGCTGGGCGCAGTACCGAGATTCCGGAGATCCTTGAGATTGGACGCAAGCACGCCATCACCAAGGAGCAACAAGAAAACTTTTTGCGGGCTCGGGAGCAAAAGTTGAAGAAGATTAGCAACGATCGAAACCTCTTCTTCATTTGGGTAAGTCATCAGAGAAGCCTTCTTTTTCTGTTTGTTATCGGAAACCTATTTGCTAACCCATGATTCCTCCCTTAGATTCCTCTCCTACTAGCTATGATCTGCGCGCTGCTTTATAATTGGTTCCCTGGGCTTTTTGCTTTAATCTGGGACACTATCCGGGCTATTGTTGTAGCTGGACGTACTTTTGCATCGCGTACTATTCGCGATCGATCCGCTGATGAAATTCGCGCTGGCTTAACATGATGGCGACTATGCTGTTGATTCCTCCGTTTTTTTTTTCTCTAACTCTTCTTCATTCTTTTTTTTTTTTTACTTGTCTTGGGATGATGGCGGATTGGCGCACAAGTGGAATGAATTGATATCTCATTCGTTTCTGGGAATGAGTTTGCTATGTTTGAGATGGTTTTCTTTTTCTTCCCACATCTTATTGACGACCAATTTGGTCCTTTATGGAAATTGTTGTTTCACTATTACCTTTATTAAAGCATCTCTTATGTGAAACATCTTTGTCAAATTTGTATTATTTCGTTCGCTTGGCTTTGAGACAGCGGGTTATATGGGAACAGCATTTGTGATGGAAGAATGCATGGATATGGATATGGATATGGGATTTCCTTAATTCTTCTTTCTCTCTCTCTTTTTTCTTCTTCTTCTCACACACGCCCTATTCTCATGCTTATTCAAGTTGTCCGGGCTGTGAACGAGTCGCCCTCATTCCGCATGAGAAATAGCAAGGGTGATGAATTCTTCCTATATTTTTTTTTATATCTACCCAAAATGGTTTATGGATGGCAAAGATAGGATGGGATTTTGGGGAGGAAATGCACTTGGTATAGACGGGGGCTGTCTGATGGAAGGGGGTTTGATCAGAGCAACTGATTTTGTACCCGAACTGGAAGATATGGTTTGGTTTCTGTTCTTTGCTTAGGATGGAGATTATGAATGGGATAATCTCCGTTTGTGCTCCTTATTGGACTCTTTTTTTAATTCTTCGTATTTTTCCGTCTGCCTTTAATTCTACGTATGGTGAATATGATGTTTGGACAGTATATGGTTATATAGACAGGTAGTACTAATTCGGTGATTTAAATTTGGTTGCCAATTTTCAATGGAAAAAGATATATTGTCATCTAAGGAATGACAGCCGTTACTTTATTTTCTGCTTTTGCTTACACGTAGCTGAAGCTTCACACGGCAGGTGAAGCCTGGATTGTCTTTGGTATCACGGTGAGCTTCCTCAATATTTTTTTATAGGCATTTACAGCAACATTTACCTCAAGGAGCAGACTAACAGTCCCAAATTGAAAGCAATCTAATCACAACAATTGGCACAGCGCAAAAGATTGATGTAATGTCTCTTGTCATTCATAAAATAAGTTAATAAAAAAAAGCAAATACCCTATTAGTACAATCACCCCTTCCTTTCCTCGTCCCCTCACCAAAGTCATTATCTCATTCATCAAAATCTCCTTTTTTCTTTCTTTTCCCGGCCCTTCATTCTCCCCGTGTCGTATTCGATCAACGTATTACCGTCGATGCTTTCCGTAGAGGGATTATAAACCGGCTGCGGAATAGAAAACAAAATTGGAGATCCGAATATGCAAACGAATGTCAAAAAAAAAAAAGAATAGCAACGGTTTCCTTTTCTGTGTCTCCCTTTTGCAAATTTGTGAACTGAAAATCAAAAAATTCAAAAAAGCAAGCAAAACAGCTGTCGAACAAGAGAAGATCAATCCTAAAAAGGATAGGAATTTCTCAGTAAGAAGGAGAAGAACGAAATGCCCCCCTTGTTTCTGCGCCATCATTTTATAGTGACAAGCAAAGGAGGGGCTTTTCTTTCTCTCATCTTCGCCTTCTTCCATCGTCTCTCCCGTGAACCTGTTTGTAGTATTGATCCTCTTGCCTTGTTTCTGTCGCTGCTTGCTGCGTATTGGCACAAATGTCGTCAAAGTCGTATATATACGTGATTTCTCATATATTGTTCTCCTTCTGTCGTGACACATAAGGTAACAAAGCACAACGTCCCCTTTTGCAAATGAAGACAATGTTTTGTTAACAACGAAGGATAAAAAAAAATACCGTCTGTGCTGCTGGGAAGCAAAAGACGGGTTGTTGGATCATTACATCGGTTGTTGAGTTTTTTGTGTGTATTTTCTTCCATTTTTTTTGTTGTTTTCTAGAGATTTTCTGGTCGCCCTCCGAACGGATGGGGTATATGTGAAAAAAAAAGAGTTCGATAAAAATTCATATCATATCTCGTGATAGAGAGAAAGAAAATTCGTTAAATATTGAATCCCGGATGATTCAAGAACAAGCAAGTTTTGAGATGAAAAAAATGTGGTTCCGACAACGCCCGCAACAAAAGTCCAGTAATAGTAGTTAATGCGAATAGAAGTCTTCACCGTCTCAGCCCTCGCCAGGCCTGTCCATTTTCTCGATCTTCTCCAAAGGCATACTTGGCGGGAATGCTTGGAACACCGGGGATTCCTCGGTTTGCATTGGGAACCACTTTGAGAGCCTCCGCTGCATCAGCATCAGCCTTGCCAGCAGCGCCAGCCTTGGCCGCAGGCTTTCTCGGTCTCAGGGCTCGAGAGCTCTTGGAACCAGGACCAATGGCCCGAACACTATAGACGCTGTCACCACTCTCTCTCCACGATGAAGTAGAGTCAATGGAGCTTCGGGGTGATGAGCCCGCAGATGATGGCGCTGCGCACAGCAAGTGAGAAGATCGCTTGCTATGCTTGGAGTCTCGACTTGATGCGCTGTGGCTATGATAGTGATGGATCACCACAGGCGTGAGACCGGCGTTGCCTTGGCTTTTTCGACGATTTGATCGGCTAGCCACGAGTTTCCGCGTTGATTTAACGGTACGAAGAACGGGAATAGTGAAATCTTTAGAAGTACTCTTACGGATCTTCTTGCGCGCTTCTCTAGGAACTTCGGTGGGCTTGCTCCTCTCATCCCTATCATCCCTCTCGTCCTGGTGGATCAGGATATCGTTGTTGTTGGTGCTTTCATTTACAGTCCGTTTAGTGCCTCTCGAATCAGCACTCGCCGGGGTCATGGCGCCCAAAGACGTCCTATTACTCCTAGTACTCCGGGGCGTTTTAGGTGTTTTAGGGGTAGTGTTGAGAGGAAATTTCGGAGGCGGAGGCAATGGAGGGGGAGCTTGAAGAGCCTGTCGTCCTCGCGGCGGCGTTGACAAATTCGTCGGGACAGAAAGCATCTGATGGCTGGCGCTGGTTGCTGGTCGCTTTGCAAAACCGGGCGGAGGAGGCTGTCGGGTAGACTGAATGGCATGAGAAGTGAAGAAGCCCGACTCAACCAGCAAATGATAACTCGCCAAGGCCTCTTCTCTAGTGGGCCTGTCGTCGTAAATATTTGCTGTTGCGGGCTTCTTGGGCGGGGAATCGGCCTTCTTCTTTGGCTGTTCAGGGGAGGGGGCTTCTTTTTTGAGCTGGAGCCGACCTCGAACGCCATCCCAGACTTTGCCCAGCATGCCCTTTTTCGACGGAGAAGACGTGCTAGTGCTCGGAGCGACACTTGGAGCGACACTTGGTGCAATGCTTGGAGCTTGAGACAGCCATAGCTGAAGCTGACGCTGGGTATCTTGTGACCGGCGAGCGTTTCGTAGATTTAACTGATGCTGCTCCAGTTCCAACTCGAGTGGTCTCTCCAGCGATTCAATCTCCCCAGGACCAAGGAAGGAGTCTGGCGGCACGGCGGACACGCGGTCATTCATGGAACCCTCGTGAAAGCGACTGCGGTTCTGCGGCGCCGTGAGGCCCCTCGTCTTCGGGGGGCCCATTGCAGGCGAGCGGGTGAAGCAGGTGGGTATGAACGCAAATAACGGAGAGACGACGGGGATCAAGGATCAGTGATCCAAAGGAAAAGGAGCGTCGGCCGCAGATGTCTGATTTGCGGTGTTGACGACTGAGTGACGGTATCAAATAAAAGGACAAGTCAAGCAATCAGACAGCGTTCATCTCCGACATCAAGGGCCTCGTTGTTTTCTCTCGTCTCTGCCGCCACCACCAGCGAGGGATGATGTTCACTCGCTCTCGGCACTCCAAAACAATGGTGGTACGACCAAACAACAACAGACCAAAAAACCAAACCAAAACACGGACCAGCACCCTCCCTTCTGGATGGAACGGGGGGAATGCTCTCGCAGTTATACGCAGCAGGTCGTCGGTCTTGTTGTCTCGCCGGGCGCTCGGGGAAATTGGGATGCACTCCGCAAGACTTTTTTAAGGTTTAATGAGGGATCGTAGCTGGGGCCATGGTTAGTGAGTGCAGTTTAGCTTGAGAAATCATCTGGTGTGTATAGTATGGTGTGGCGCTGATTGTAAGAGAGATCAACAAAAAAGGGAGATGGTGAAGACGGGGGGGGCCTTTTTTGTCCTCTTTTGCTCTTTTTACAACTCACAATCAATCTGGAATCCGGGAGGGCGAGTCTCGTTCTTCAATCTGGATCTGAGAGCCACCAGAGAAGAGACAGCAGCGCCGCTGGGCTAGAACGGGCCCAGTTTCTGCACTTGCAGATGGGATCATGTACGTTGGCGGCCTGGGGAGCAGAAATGCGCCCGACTGTTTTGTTTTATGTATGGCTCCCGCTGCTGGCCCATTCACACCGTAGGCCGGGTATCCTGGCTGCACGTGACGGTTGTCGTGGCAACGCGCAGGGATGGCCTCTTGACGGAGGGTCTGGCAGGGATCGGGGCCGGGTCGAGGCAGGGATGTTGATTGTGCTCCCCCGTACTCGTATATTGCTAGCAGCAAATAGGACGGTGGCCGAGCGAGCTAGCAATTACAGTACAGGACCTGCCGGCGCCTCCTCCGTGCTGGCTGGCAACATCTGCACGCTGCACGCTGCACGAGGGTCGCATCGAAGGGATGCTGAAGAATCCGCAGAGACAACGGCGGCTAAATCTGCATGTGTCTACAAGCATCTCCTCGCTACTCGTCACTCGCTGTGCAAACGAGACAACAACGCCATCAAAGGTAAAAGACGTAATCAGCTGGATTTGAAGCCCAAAAAATAGGGAACCGACTTTCCTTTCCTTTCGCGCCAGCCACACAATTATATACCCAGGTCACAAGAGAGAGTAGCGCATCTAACCCTGGTCTCTCACCTACTCATTTTAACGGGCCGTACAAGTAAAAGAGCCACTCTGTACTCGGAAATACCCTCACAGCTCGACCAAACTGAGGGTAGCATTTCACCAATCTCCTCTCTCTCTTTTTTTTTCCCTCATCCATTCTTTTCCTCCCACTCTTTTGAGGGTTTTTAGTTGTTTATAAATGATCTCTTTAGGCATCTCGCTCCGGCTCTCTTCTTTTTAGTCTGAAGCAAGTAGCGAGTTTTTTATACAAAGTTATATTACTTGGGTCGCGGCAACTCCCTGACAGGACTAGCACTACGCTCTGCGGCTGTGCTGGCCTGAAACGGGCAGAGCACGAGCTACAGTGCTCAGTTACTGAGCTGTGTGATATATGCTAGAGTTATTCAAGGATTATACAATTCTACAGCGCATTATATATCGCATTCTAGTTTACCACAAGTCACAAGGGGGGGAAGAAAACTGACCCCCGGATTACTGGAATCGTTCTCAGGGCCTTCTATGCTTCTATTGTAATAAATATCCCGCCCATCCAGAATTTCAAAATCACAACGCGCTTTCTTGCGGTGCCTGTCAAGAAGTTTGTGTTGGTGAACCGTTTTATTTTTTAATGAAACTGATAAAAGACATGTGTCCTAACTCGGGTATTTCAAGAAAGACACAAGAAAGACGACTGCTATTGAACCAACTTCGTTCAAAGACCCCTCTGCACCTTGCACCAAAAGAAAATCAAGGAAAAAAAAATTGTATTGTTGCTGTACTATTCAAAACAAATGGACAATTAAAGTTTCCCAAAATCTCCAGAGTTCCCGGCCGTCAAGTTTTCCCTTCTCATTGCAAACACATCCCAGTACCATTACTAGGTCTGCATGAAGCCAAGCCGCCATGAAAAAAAAAAAGCCTAAACAAATCTTCCCTTCACATTATCCAGCATTAGCAGACTGATGTTGAACCAAGTTTGTAAAATGGAAAACATAATAGGAGATGGTAACGACGATAATAATAAGATATTGGGAACATTGATCGCTACAGAAAAGATAAAAGAAACAACTACTTGTGCTAATAGGTTGTATCATTCGAAAAAAAAATAGATATAACAGAAAAAAGGTCCGTCCAAAAAAGGCAACTATAAAGAATGATAGTTACAGCTAAATAGTAGTGCCGCCCAAAATTAACAATGGATATAGATACTGAGTTCAACGTAGAGCGTAAAATGGTAATCTCATCGTCTTCACGTCTCTGTTTTTCCTCGTTTCGGCAAACTATGCGTGGTGTAACCTGTTGGAGGAAAGAGTAAAAAATAAACGTGATATATATATATATATGTATATAAAAGCGAAAAAAAAAAAAAAAAAGTTGCTGTGTTCTGTCGAGCCATCCTGCTTTATAAAAGCTTCAAGCTGCTTGTCGTGCCCCAACTCCGTAAATCACTAGCCCATTCATGTTGCCCTCTTGCGAAATAATAAAAGAGGTATTTAGTAGTCGACACAAGCCCCAAAACGCCCATGAGAAATCTATCACACATCAAAATAAAATGCAGATGATACTCCAATAATTTTGAGTCACTCATACATCGGAGTCGAGTTTGCAGTATGCCAAGGGGTTTATATCTGGTATTGGTTGAAAGTGACAACGCCGATATGCCCGTCGGCTCTTGAGTAGACACCCTGATCAGGCTCGGGGGTGACTCCACGGTAACCGTGACTAAAGTGAGCATCAAGTTGCCGCTGGCCATTGTACAACGGCTTGGTGCTCTGGGAGAAGACGTAGTCGTGCTTTCTCTTGCCTCCTGTCGACATCATTGGCGGAGGAGGAAGAGGCTCTGTCTGGGCCTCGATGGGCGGCAGGGGCGACACCAAAGACGCAATTCTAAGGGGCGCCAAGGATGATTGAGCCGACGACTCTCGTCTAGGCAGCGGCGGAAGAGAGGGTGCAGAGTAGGGTGCCGCCGGCCCAGAAGGAGCGTAAGGAGCGTGCGAAGGTCGCCTGTCAGTCGATGAGTATGGGTCTGAGGGCCGACTGTCGTAAACGGCGTGTCTCATGGGCGGAATGGGGGATGGGCTAGGCGCAGGAGGTCGAGCACTGTAATTGTACGGCTGCGAGTCTGCCTTGGCATATGGAGATGGCGAAGCTGCCGTTGGGTATGGCCCAGTAGGCGTTGCAGGAGGGATCGGAGCGCTTTGCGGCTGGCCATACGGGCGAGGAGGAGCAGGCGCTCCATATTGCGGCACTATTGCGTCGCCGAATCCAAGATGGCCAGGACGAGCAGATGGCGGTGGAGCGTCATAAGAGGGAGGAGGAGGCGGCGGCGGCGGCGCGTGGTGCATTGAGGGAGCATGGTAGCTTTCAGCAGCAGATGGTCGTCGTGATGGCTCCTGTGGCATATAAGGCGCGCGGTGTTCGCTCGCGTTGCTGACGGATCTGGCCCGTAGGCCGTGAGGGTCCTCGGCGGGAGCCGGCGTGACGGTGCGACGCCGAGCATACTCTTCTTCGCGTCGATCATAGCCGCTACCCTTGCCGTCACGCTTCCTCATGCGCACATCGCGGCGGATACGGACTCGGCATCCTTGGTCGGCAACAGTCTTGCTGAGGGGAGTGCTTTCCATCAGTCCAGGGAACTTCTTGGCGCTGAAGACGTTGAAGGGCTGCGTCTTGATTTCCATTCTCCAGTCAACACCTGGGGGAAGATCGGATTCTGTAGGCTCCAGATCAAAGTCCTTGGCCTCCTTGGTCGTTTCGAACAAGCTGAAGGAGAGGCGGAAGTAGCCCTCGTGTCGGAGGGAGAGATCGGGGAAGATGAAGTATCCAGCTTCAGTAGGTCGGTCGAGATAAGCCATGCCAGACGCAGGAACACCAGTCAGGATGGGAGGGTTGTTAGTGGCGCCATTTGGGACACGGCCATGGGCCATGGGGCGGGCTTGCTCCAAGCTCGCATAAAGGAAGAAATTGGCGTTGTAGTCGAAAGTGATGTCCTTGCCTTCTTCAACGGAGGGGCCCTCGATAATGCGAAGTTCAACAACAGGCGGCGGATCAACAGGTCGTCGGTCGCTGTTCGCTATGAGGGAGTGAGCAAAAAAATTGGCCTTTGCAAAAGAAGAAGAAGAGGGAGAAGAGTGAAGCATCATCAATCTGTCACATCCAAGACCGTACCTTTCATTCCCGAACCACAAGCGCGGGCTCGCTCTGGCTGCTGCAGAACCGTCAACTGGTACCAGAGGTGACGGTTCTCTCTAGTCACGCGGTGAATGCGCTGGATCATGTCCCGCTGGCCTGCTGAAGAGGCCACACTGGACGGCGTCGCCATGATGTCGCGTGGAAATGTAATTGATTGAAGAAGAATATGGAGTAGATCAAACAAGAGGCTGCTTGGTTGTGTTAGTGCTACAGTTTAACTTGGCCGCGATAGATTAGGAGACCGAGGAGAGGACAGCAGCTGCGGCGACAGAGAGAAGAGACATGAGTGTGCAAAAAGAAGACAATGTAGCTGTGCCTGCTGAAAGAAGAAGCAACTCACCTTTAAATGACTCGAGGCAGTCTCCGGCCGCCAAACCGTCAGGGCGGGAAGCAAGGAACCCGCTGTTCAGCCCAGGACTACAGTACGCGGGTAGTCGAGAGTCGTATAATCATGTATAGCAGCGACAGCAGGTTGTATCGAGAGCGACCGAGATGGTGGTGTTGTCCTGTATCCGTCGTCTCTGGTCTCGTCTATCGTCTCTCAGACCTTGGGCGATTCTCGAGGTTGTGTGCTTGAAAGGTGCAAGAGGAGAGAAGCCAGCGGGAGGACGAAAGAAGTGGATGTGCGACCGTGTAGGTAGTTACGGCCTAAGAGGTGAGAGACGCTGGCAGGCTGGCCAGGGCTGGACAGGCGCTGCGACTAGAGCCAGAGCCACATTTAATGAGGGAGGGCCCCGGGAATCTGGGTCTAGAGGAGCGGGTCGCAGCTGAGGGAGCCTGGCATGTCCAGGACTTGGGCCAGGACCAATCAGGTAAGCCTTGGCCGAAAG